TTATAAGGGACCGAACTAGGCTTTAAAAAACTACTCCCGGTAAAAAATAAACTCATTTTATATAATAAAAACATTAAGACAACGGTCGAGTGGTGCAAGTTATTTTTTTAAATCGTTTTAATAATAATTTGTCAACATAGCCGCGGTACTTATTATAAGGTTGTAATTATTTTTGCTGAAGTAGGTTTCAAAGAGCGACCGTCCAATAGAAATTAATCTATAAAATGTCTTTGTACTTACAGTTTGGAGCTGATGAAACAATTTAATCTTTTAAGTCGATTAAAAACGGGTCGGTTTATCGAGAGAGAGAGGAAAAATCACGAGTACATAATCGCACTATGTGTGATTAACATCGATTTTATAAGAATACATATTATAATACTCGAGTTCAATGTTTGAAAAATCAGTCTGTCTACATAGTTTTGTGTATTGAATGATCTTCCAAAAGTCATCTATGATCTAACGAATATAAATTATTTAATCCACTGATCAACTGCTGTGTACAATAATATATTATTAGCATAGACCAACTAAGCGGTTTATACGATTATTAGTCTTTACTTTTGAACTGAATTAATGTGTAATATACAAATTCATATACATACAAAACCGTGCATATGAATCGGTTGAAGTCCGTAATTGTGACTAGGCAAATTAATGCCTTCATGTTGGATTAAAAAATAAGTTAACCGGCTTATCGGTCAATGGTATGTTATTATTATTTCATTTTTATTGCTGTAGTCTTTCGCAACGGCCGATTTTGAATGAATGCAATTTACCATAACCCGTGATCTCGCAATACTACCAAGACAATGATAACACTTTACAAGGAAATTCCAATAGTTATCACTTATCGTATAATTCCACAATTACCGGTCACGACGATTGTCATATTTTTATGTCTTCTATAGGATGCGATCATGGTAATATTATGAATAATATAGAATACTGTACAGTCATTCACCGTTTATTTAAAAATTGAAATTTAACATTAATATTATTGTAATTGATAGTTTCATTGTAATTAATAATGCAAGACAAACATTGTTTGCAAAGGAAGAATAAGGGATATCATTTAACACGAGTGTAGGTATATCTAACGAATGAGTAACTTTGGACGGGTAAATAATAGATATGACTGTAACTATACGGTGTTACACAAAAACTATACTTAAATATTAATTCTGGAAACGTTTTGTACACGCACAGCGTACCACACATGGCCACACATGCCTAACAATACGGTTGTCACTAAGTATCGGGATTCTGGTCTAGTCAGCTTACACGCGTGCAATTTTGTCGCCAATTTATTATACTATATACAATATTATATTACATATTATAATATGTATACTGTTTTTAGGTACCTTTTTACTCAGTGCGTGTATTAACCTTTGGACGCTCTAATATTGTTATAATATTTTGTCGAAATTATTAGTTTGTTTTTGTGTGTGTAATCTTTATTAGGAAACAATCTTTTGAATTCTGCGCAATGCGCATATAAATAGACGAAGTCATACCTGGAGATAAATTTAATCATCAGACATCATCAGAGTGTAGCCGAAAGGGTCAGACTGGCTTCTGACCTAGTAGTTTTTTCATATTGATTACCACTACATCTTTGATACAATAAAATATGTAAATTAAAAAAATGTTTCTTATTCCATGATTAATTTTGGAATTAATCATGGAATAATAATATCTTAGCAATCGAGTTGGTCTTAGTTTGTGTTTGGTTAACGTAGATTGAACACCGGTTTTCTTGAAAGGATAAAGAATCTCTTGTCACCTTATTTTCTGGTAAAACGGATGTTATAGACTAGTTTTTTTTAGGAAATTTCATGGAATGTGCGTGGCGGAAAACACCTTATCTTATACCCTGGAAGTATAGTCAAGTGGTTATGGTAAAATAATTTCAATAATTCTGTACCAAGCGCACCGCGGTCGCATTGTTGATTTGCCACCCTTAAAATACAGAACTATATTTATATTATGCTATGAAAGTAGGTCGACCGCCGAACGAACCCCGAGATTTTTCGATTAACTCTGTAATATACTGTACAAACATTATTAAACGGTGGAAATTGGAAAAGCGAGCACTTGTAAATCATAATAGAGCATTGTAGTGTAGTATATTCAGTAGGTAACGCACTAGGATTTATTTTTGGGAGAGGTTTTAAAACCTTAAATTCTTCTTTAGTCGCTCCATTATTGTTAACTTTATTAACCGACACTATCCATCATATTACAATAATTGTAGGTCTATTCAATACATTATTAACGAATTAAGTAATCTAATTAGTTTTAATTAGGTATGTTGGGTAATGTTATGTTATGTTATAAAATGGGGACGAGTTAAATTGCGACCCTACCACCCACTAATTTACCTGTATGTGTGTATAGAATTTTTAAGGGTAGCCGCTGCTATCTAGTATCCATAAATCACATCAACTTTTTGTGGCATTGACATCAGCTATCGCCACCAAAGTCGGGAGTAAAAATATTATATTATGCCAGCGCAGCATACCATCAGAAGATGATTGACTGGTCAGTAAAATGGAGACACTTGTATTTTCCCGGTACTTTAGTCTTTAGTGGTTATAAGATAATGGCTTGATGTTTTGCAATGTACACGCTGTACGCAATAAGCGACGAAGCCGTGTGTCCAGACACTCAAACACCCTACCTAACCGCTGTATTATGAACAGAATGCCGGTACCGGTTACGTTTCTACTTAGGATCATCGGTGGAAGTTTGTGTTATGACAACCTGTCCACCTCTAACTAAAAATATTTGGTGTAATTTTATATTTTTAGACGTAAATAGACGGCAGAGGACCGTTGCATAACTCGTTAAACGCCAAAGTTTATTATTATGCGCACACTACACGCAACAATAATAGTAGTATGTTTTTTACTACAACTGCGTCGCCATAAAAAAGGCCTAAGGTCCGAAAAAAATGAATGTCGAAAAATTAGTGTTTGTTTGTCCCGCCCGTCGACCTTGGTGAATCGCCGTTGAATATTATTTCGGGAACTTGAAAAATAACAAATAAAGACTCGATTGGCAACGGATCAATATAGAATAAATACTATAGTATGTCTCAAAATTGCCGTTGAAATTTTCAATACTCCGTTCACCTTTGTCCGAGTTAAGTTTGAAAATTGACTAAAATCTAAGATATTTTTCGTCATTAAGATCAGAAAACGGTCCATAAAGAGTGGATGTTTTCAAAACTTTTCTGAAGCTCTGAAGTTAACGAGTAATTGTTTTGTATTGTCAAGAAAAAATATTTTATTTATTACTATTTTTTAATAGTTAGACACTGCTGTATAATATAATTATGCATTAGCGCGTTACCAATCGTTGATCATAATAATATCACACACTTCTTGCGTCCAATAGTAATAATCCAGCGATACGGTAGTGGCGCGGAGCTAAGTAAAAAGAAAAGCATAGCATCCACATTCGTGTATTCTATACACGAAGCATCGCACTTCCATAAAATGTGTGTTCATTTTACCATACATTTTGCCACTTTTTTGTGAGTGAACAGTTGAACAGAATTGATCATATGAGATATCAGTAGATTGGGAAAGTTGTATAGAAGGATACAGGCACATAAACATATAGAGTGGTTGAACACTTCTTAGTTCCAAGCAAAGTAGTAGAACATTTCTGAGGTCTCGAGATACTTGTTTTACTGCTTGTGGTCTCTGCGCGCCAAACAATGTTGCTGAAGTGGTCGGAGAGGGATCGGGGGAGTCCCCACCACTACGTCTTCGCTGACACGCCTTTACTGACTGATCGGTCTGTCGGGCACCGGCACGACGTTGTTGCTGACCGCGGTTTATTGACCATGTGTTGTGTTTTTCTTTAGCTGCGACGCTTGCCCCTGTGATTTGTGTGTGTTGGGTATTTTGTGTTATTATTTGGTATTGTAGTCTGATTATGATTTGCAATTATTATTGTACTACAAGTACTACATTTTTCATTAACATATACTCATGTATCTCTTAGGTACTCAAAAAACGTTGGCTCACTAAATGTACAAGTTATAAAATAAAATTTTCTCATTTTTGCAATTCTATATTCTGTAATAATGAGTGAGTACTCTTTGTGTCATTTCTACTTCTATGTATAAAAAAACTACTGATATCCCAATTCCCAACAAAAACACTTTGTTAACTCATTGTCAGTGTAAATGGTCGCTAAGTAAAAAAAAAAAAATAAGCGTTTCAACATAAGCCTTAAAATACGTGACATAGGAACTAAATAATTAATTTTATCTTTTGATTGGCCTTTTCATTGTGCTTTGAAAACGCGCTTTTGGCGGAGTCTAACTATAAAAAAAGACTGTTCGGGAGCGGACGGCTAAATAGTAGGAGGGTCCCTCAGCATAAATATAATAATTGGGTCACGGGTTATTGTGAGCGCGGACGTTCATAATGGTTCGTTCGATTCCAACGTTTTATTAGAACCCAGTGGTAGAAATTAATAAAATACACACATACACTCACCAATGAAGCGACGGTGTAAGCAGGCCATAATTATCCTTGTTGATGTTATTGTTATTATTATTATTATAACTACGATTTATGTCATTATATTAGTTCAACCTTCGGCCGTGATATGAATAATGACCGCACATCGTAATAACCACGCTCGACATCCTGGTTAGGGCTGAACGGTTCCGTTCTAGATAATATGCTGGACTGTGTGTGGCTGTATAGAGTATGATGTATGCTCCGCATCGAAGCTAAAATCAGCATGTGTGTGTGTGAGTCGTTTACTCGTATCATTATGCGCGTCGGCTAGTGTATAGATCGTTATTATTTCACTCCGAAAAGTTAAAATCTGTGTGTTAGATCAAGCGTAAGCAGCGAGTGACATCGCTGCCAAACGCCCGCCCGCCTTTGCCTAAACAATATAAGCTAGAGAATTACAGGTTAATGTCCGTATTTTTATAATAAAATGTTTTGCATTTTTGTTTGTATCAGAAATCAGCCGTTCAAAGATGCATATCGAGGTCAGCGTGGCGTTAAACTTTGTGATCTCTTACCTGTACAACAAGCTTCCTAGGAGACGCGTCAATATATTTGGCGAAGAACTGGAGAAATGCTTGACTGAGAAGTTTGCCGGCCACTGGTACCCGGAAAAACCGTACCGCGGGTCGGCTTACCGTTGCATTAAGACCGGGTCGCCCATCGATCCGGTGTTCGAAAAGGCGTCCCGGGAGAGCGGCGTGGCCATACAGGACGTGCTGGAGAACTTGCCCCAGGACCTGGCCGTCTGGGTCGATCCCGGCGAAGTGAGCTACCGTATTGGCGAGAAGGGAGCTGTCAAGATCTTGTACAACGAGAACGGTGGCGGCTTACAATTCGACGCCCACGACGATCGCAACGCCGACCGAGAAGTATGTATTATTATAGCAAATATGTAGCATGTACTGAAATATTGCAGAGGCCAGAGACCCTTAGAACTTTTATAAGAAGCCCGTCCCAGATAACATCGTTCTTAAAAATTAAATAATACAATTATTTTATTGATTTCTGATCAATTGTCAATAGTGTACAATTTTAACTTAAAGTAACAAATTATCTAAAATAATATTCTTCGCTATTTAGTGCTAGTCTATTTATTGAAGCTGCTCTATGTATAAGCCGCTCGATTCCTCTGAGCCTTTGTTGACACTAGAAAAACGTAATTAAAAATAACAAGTTGAGATAATCTTACGAAAAGCGAGAAGCTCTTTGGGGTTTTGAGCGGATTTTATTTGAAACTATAGAGACGCTTTCATTTTTTACAGGTGGTCAAGACGTTCAACCCCGAAGCCCAGTGTTTCCGGCCAATCGACTCGGTGGCGTCCAGTCTTAGCTCGTTGAGCATTTCGCCGCCGGACAAGTGTATGGCCGGTTCACCGCCCTTGGGCAGCGGTTCGGACAGCTCATCTCCCACACAACACTACCATCACCTTCTCAATCAGCCGCAGCAGCACAACATCCCGTTCAACAAACCTATTCCGCCGCCGCAGCAGCAGCAGCCGCGAAGTCCCAGCAGTGCATCCGCATACGCGCCGGCCAGACAACCGTCGGCACCGTTGACGTTCACCACGGCTTCGTTCGCACAGACAAAGTTCGGCAGCACTAAATTGAAGTCCAACAACAAACGGGCTAACAGGTTTCTGTTAACTGAATTTCTAGACAAGTAGGCGAAACCGTTAAACGATATGGTATTAAATCAAGAAATACAGCCGGGGGTGGAGTATCGGATCGTTTGGGATTCACCTTAAATCGAGTATAAACATAATATGAGATGCATATTGATTACATCGGGATTAGGGTCGGGTGTCTGGGCTGGAATAATATTATTGAGTTACGGGCTTATTATATGGTGTTTTGTATTTATAGGGTACAGGATATTTTTGTTTCAATTAAGCTCCTTAAGCCGACCGGTTGCTAGCTCTAGGTCGGAAAACTCCTTTTGTATTAGAGCGTTTTATGGGTAATACCCCGAGTTTAAAAAAAACTATTTTCAACATATTTTTTTCATTCTACCGGCTGCTCTTTTTTTCGCTAACCTTCGTGTAGTATGTCATTGTACGCGTAACATGCCATTGAACAACTGGTTACCAACTGCAGTAAACGGTTGCGCATTCGGTGTGTTCGATGGTACTATTGTGGCGGTCGGCGGAACAACTGATCACACACTCGGTGCGCGCAAATGGAAATTAATGCGGTGCCGTTTCTTTAGAGGCCACTTTGTCGGTAGTGTTGCAAAACGCCAACAACATTAATTGTACGGCTCATAGGTGTCAAACGAAATGGTTAACAAAAAAACACTCGTTATAACTGTGACAGATGGCGATTTTATATACTGTTTATATATATATATATGCGTATGAGTGTGTGGTTTTTCCTCGTCTCTGGATGTGTCGTTTAGTTTTTTTTAGCAAACTGCAGGCATAGACATACTTATCTACTTTTTATACACCCGATGTTTACAGAGCCGTTTAAGAATAGTCGTGAGCTCAATTACTGTCCTTTGGTAGAACAAATCTGTTGTTAAATTGTGTACAGCCGGACTCGAACGGATGAAGTAATTAGCTCTTTTTTTTTACTCTTACCTTTAAACATTTACTGTTCATCGATGTAAAATTGGATTAAAACGATTAGCTAGGTTGTACTATGGAAGGACATTATTACGTTTTATTAGCGTTAAATTTCAATAAAAATGAAAAGTGGAGAGACATTAGCAGTAAGCGCACCCAAGCCCCTTCAAATTGCTTTCTGGTATGTTCGGCGTAAAATACACACTATATCGATTTCAGTAGGCTTGGCCTACTTCGGAATAAAGTAACCGCCGGCGGTAGCATATCCATGTACCCGCTTATTAAAAATGTTTCAGTTATTAATCAATATTTTGTTACATTTAATCTATTCTTAAATACACAGTGATCTTCTTCTTCTTCTTCTTTATCTTCGCCTTACACTCCCAACTACATAAGGTCGGCCACTCTAGTCCTACACCTCCATAGAGCTTGATCTTCTACATCTCGTTCAAACACCCCAGCTATATCACTCTCAATTCCGTCCATCCGTCTTTTATTTGGTCTTCCACTTTCTCTTTTTCCCTCTACATCCATAATACCTCTCACTGCCTTTGCCTTATCTCTTCTCATAACATGACCGAACTATCTCAGCCTATTCTCTCTCATTTTCTCCATAATTTATACAACCCCTAGACTCTTCCTTATGTATTAATTTCTTATTCTATCATCCCTAGTCACTCCACTCATCCATTTTAGCATTCTCATCTCCATTACACTCATTCTCTGTTCAGGATTCTTGTCTACTGCCCAGTGCCCAATATTCCGACCCATATAACATTGCTGGCCTCACTACCGTCCTATAAAATTTACCTTTCAATCTTATAGGTATCCTCTTGTCAATCAAATATCTGACGCTCCCCTCCACTTCATCCATCAATAATTGAAGTGGAGGAATACACAGTGATCAAGCTGATAATTGCTAAAAATTGTTTATTAGTAAAAGAAATGTCCAATTTTATCAATTAAAACTTGATGTTCCTGTTTTAATAATTAAATGAAATTTGAAAATATTGCATCAAAATTACAGACAAATTTGTACATTAGAGCGCATATTGAAGCTGTACAATCTCTTAAGAAACTGTTAATTTGGTCATTAAATACTGGATGACTGTAAAGTTCTCAACAATTTTCTTTTGGCTTAAAATTGCGTACCATAATAGCATTGCCGACTTCGGCCGTCTGGTTCATATTGTTCCTTTAGTTATTGTTGTCCGTTACGTTGTTTGCTTATCTACTAGAGTAGAGAGGCATGTCAAAGGAAGGCCCTAAACAAAAACTGGATGGGTCACATAATATATAAGATTATCATAATATTAGGTAAATTGTGCTGAAGACAACGTTTAAGCTGACCAGTTGGTCCGTCTTGTTACAGGATGTCACCGACAGAATTTGCCAACTACATCAAACAACGAGCGGTCTTGCAACAGCAGCAGCAGCAAATAGCCGGCGGAAGTGGACAGCGGCCGGTATCCCCGGTGCAGCAACAACACCACCGCGGTGGACAGAACGGCGAGTCGGCGTCCAACTACTTCTTCCAGCAACAACAACATCAACAGCAGTACAACGGTTATCAGAGACCGCGCCAATCCAACGGATACCGAAACAGCGGCGGGGTGTCTGATTACTCGCTTTCACAACTGCAATTTCCCAACAATAGCAGCGGCGGCAGCAGCAGCGGCTGGTCCACATACAGTGAATTTGGCCCTCGACCGTTCGGCTCACCGATGGGCCCTTTGTCGCCTTCCAACTACGGCGGGGCGCAATCGTCGGGCCCGCAACAGCCGCCGTCAGCGCAACCAAAAATGGACAGTTACAACAGCATGGGCTTAGGCTCATCGTCGTACAGATCTAGTCCTTATCAGCAGCTGTTGGTTGCTAACTAAATCGGCGTCCCTTCATTAAGTAACAAAATCACTTTGCCCCCGATCCGCCCACCTTTTTTTTACATCCATACAATATATTGATATACTTGCCTATTTCTCCTTCCTTACTTCCTCACTTTGACTTAAGAAAATACACCATGTTTAGATGTAAATTATAAAACACAATTGCCCCTTCTAGACTTTCATTCCTAAATACCTCCCACCCACCCAACTCGCAAGAGTTTCTTCTTACTTCTAAACAGACGCCTGTTATAATAATTAGATAAGTTATTTTCTAATAGACACTTTATATACTACGTTTTTCTTTAAATATAATATATACTAAATAACATCAATGTGATTCATCACCGTAAGTATTATTAATTTTTTTTTTTACAATTTTATTTTTCTTTTTGACTAAAACTTTTTAATAACTTTTTGAATTAACACGTATATTATATAATTTCTTTTTTTTAAGTAATGTCTCTTATTATCGCGCAGAATTTTTATTATATATATATATATATATGTATATATATATACACATACTATATTATATACTATAGATACTGTTTTTTATTTGATTATTATTTTTACCAATGAGAGGATTAGAACTTAATTTATCAAAATTCATATAATATAATTTATTGGTAAACTCATTTTACAATTCATTACATTAATGTTTATAAGAAAATATGTACATTATTTAATGTTCTGTGAACAGCTAAAAATACAATAACCAACCCCTATAAGTTAATACACATTTTTATTACGCTTAAGTTATTTAAGACAAGGTTATACTCTTTGTAAATATAATAGAATCTCCCATAGTTAAAAAAAACCCTTCGACTTACCCCTCTCTCTCTTTCTCTGTGAGAATCATCACTTTTCAATACTTGCATGCTAATTTTAAATTTGTAAGATTATTTAAATGGAACAATCTAATCGCAATAATCACATCATAGTAGATGTTTTAAATATATAGTCTTATCGGCTTAATTAATTAATTCATATTTATTTAAACGTCATTCAATTTGATAAAAAATTAATGACAATATAAAAAAAAATTAAACAAATATTTATTATGTACTGGAAAATATATCGATGGATCTCGCCGGTTAAAAAAAATGTACTTGCATTTTGCTATTTAATTCGAGGTTTACTTAAAAAAAAAAACCAATAACCATTTTTTTTGTTTTCGTCGTTATTATCCAATTTGAAGTGCATGCGTTTTTTTATTGTAATTTCAAAGCTTTAAATTAAAGGTTTTATTTAGTAAATGTTTTATTATTTTTATTTTTTAATTTATTTGGTATTTTTTTACTCTTTATATTATGATAAATATACGTACCTTATATATATAAATATATGTATATGATTGTTATGAAATATTTGGGTTTTTTTTAGTAGATTTAGAAACTATTATTGTCTAAGTAGTCAAACTTATCGTGTTACAATTTTTTTATTATTATTATTGTTAAAATCTATATTTTTTGTGAATAATGTTGTCTTAGGCCATTTTTCATACTATATATTTATTAACATAAACCAAACATGTTATATATTTAACATGATGTATGACATTTTTTTTAATGTTAATTTTTTACTGTGCACGTTTTGAGCGAATGTAATTTACTATACCTACCTGTTCCATTGTATGAAAAACTTACCTAAACTATTAATAATTATTGTTACCATCAAGTCGGCTGATGTATTATTGTCGGGTCGTACTTACATACAATTTTCCGTTTTATATGCAATTGAAAATAATACATTAAAAATAATAATGATTTCTCCTAAGTTTAATGATTATGTTTGAGTAGGTAATATAACAATACTTAGGCTTAAGAATACACGTTTTTGATCCCGTTGTCTTCCAAAGATATCTCCATCATAAAATTTACTTTGTCCTTTCTCCAAAATTTATAAACCTTAAGAATTAGTTTACATTTTGAACACAAAGACTGCTATTGACATAACCATAGTTTTAGTTAACAGGCTCGTAGTTCATAAGCTTAAGTGACTGACAATTTTTTTTTTAAAGTAATAACAAAATATAACTATAGTTCATGGTAAAAAAGACTGGAATGTCAACGACTTGTACTAACTACAAAATGACCTTTCATAATATATTACGAGTGCAATTAAGCAGTAATATTGAAAAAAATATTAACACTAGTTGCATTATACCTGTTTGTTTTATCATGCATACAGTATCCATTTTTGAGTGTAAAACTACGTTTTTATAATATAATAATATTACAGTATTTTAGTATTTTCTTTGACAATCTTATTCGGCAATACCTACACATACGTGTTTAATGTTTTTCCTAAAGTTGTTTATTATCAATTTCTTTTATAGTCCCCTCGCTATCAATATACCCGATTACCACTTAAAAATATTTATATATTGAACTTACTCCTGTGATGTGTGAATATAATAAGACCTTTTCGGTATTGACAATATTTTTATAATGAATATCTAGATCATATTATAATAATACAATACATTTACATTAATAAGCTACTCTGGCGTAGGAATTATAATAAGCGACTTGAGTGCGAGTGTGTTTGTAAAATAACCTTTATTTTTCATAAATTCAAATTAATATATTGTTATAATTTAATAAATGCTTAGATATTATGTATCTATGCAAATGGAACAGATAATTATTTGGAATCTAAGTGTTAACTAAATTATTATACCAAGTAAAACAGATGTTATAATAAAAAGTTCTATATATTACAAATATCTTATGTAATTATACTTATTCAACACATACACAATATTATCTAGACATTTTCAAACTATTTTTACTATTTTAATCATATCATAAGAAAATTGTTTTTAAATCTTTATAATAATTTTAGATTTTATCAATTTATACCATAATATGCATATTATTATTGTTTTAAAAATTATTTGTAAAACATTGGTCTTAGTAACCAATTATGTTTCGGTGTTACAAGTTACCTATAGTGTATTGAAAAAAAAAACAATAATTGTTTAATCAGTTTAAGACTTAGGACGTTTTTTGCTTTTTTTGGTATTTTTAATATTATAAACTAGGAAATAAGAATATATATATATATATATATATATATATATATACACACTATATTACTGTCAACAAAACTTACGACATAATAATTTTAAATTAATAACTATTTAATTTTTAGATGTTTGAACATTTTTTAAAATTATTATTAACATCAAGCATTATGGATATATTTTGTTTTAATGATAATGTTTTTGTTATATAAAAAAAAAATTAAATATATTATTTTAAATGTATTGTTTAATTTATTTTGATGTATACAAATTAACCTAAAAAATCAAAATAAAGAATTTTTAGAGAGGAAAAACGCATACTGATTTGTTATGAGAATGAATTAATAATTTAAAAAACATAGAGCATTCATAAAATATAAATTTACATTAGTATGTATTACATATTAATGTTTATATTAGTATATGGAACTACCTAGGTATGATAAATTCCAGTAATAATATTGTAAAATTACAAAGAGAATCTCATTTAAATTCATTAATGTTAAGGGATATTTCACAATCAACTCATAAAACAATTTATATATAAAATAGTAAAAAAAATAGTAAATAAAACAGTGTTTTACATGAAAATAAAAATTGTTTTAAATAATAAATAAATCATGTAATTGAAAAAGAAACAATGTAAAAAAATTAAGTAAATATTAATATATATCAATACATTTTTTAGATTGAAATTGATATTTGCTTACTTACATCTAAATACTACTCTAACTTATCTTTATATCTCTACTAAATAAATTGAATAGTACCCATATTGAATTAAAATAAAACTAATATTTTGAATTATAATTATTATTTAAAAATCAATATAAAATTATTATTATATATTTTGAAACTTTCATTTATAAGTTATAGCATACAATGTTTTTTATTTTACCAAGCTTAGGGATATCATTTTTATATAGATATACTACATATGGGTACATGTGTATAAATGTATATCCACAAAGAAACAGTCACATAAGTATTTAAATTAATTCAATTTACATGTTTTATAAACCAGTTTCTTAAACATGATTGACATAAGGGGTTCTGTTTAATAACACAATTAACATAATCTATCTATATTATGTACGTTTATTTGTATATACTAATGGATAAAAAAAAAAAATTAATAATCTATTTGTCTCTAGCGGAGTGATTGAGAATGCAAAATATTTTAAATACCATGAAAATTCTCCATTATATAACTGACATTTGGTTTTTCTTCAATATTGTATTGCATATCATCATCATTGCAATCATCTATTAATACTCTGATGTCCTGACTATTGTTATGAATATTATTTTCAATAGCCTTTTCTATAATGACGTCTTGATCCATATAGTCCAATTCCACTACACATTCAGGCATATCCTCTGTTTTAATAGTAGTATCAGTCTCAGTTTTGATTGGTACAGCCAATGGCACACCAGCTTGCAATTCATGATTCGACATGTGATTATTGAGTTCAATAATATTGTCAAACATACATTGGCAAATAACACACTGCCAAATGTTTGGCTTTGCACTATGTTTAGCACAATGGTTATGATATAAGGTTATGTCGGTAAATTTTATTTTGCATTGTACACATAAGAAATTTGTCTCTTTAGTAGTTTTAGTCAAATCGAGAGATGGAATAGGATCTAAAGACAATCTTAAACAATTCTTGTTATGTTCGATAGCTTCTTTGTAAGATACAAACTTTAGAGAACAATTCTTGCACAATAACATTCCATTGACAAATGAAATATCATCCTTACGTTCTAAATTTATTTTATCAACTTGCTGGTTTTCGTCTCGATTCTCTACTTTAATCTTCTCATCTGGTCCCATAGCATAATGTATTTTTAACTGAAAATATATGCAAAACTGTGTTGCGTGACTTATGCAAGATTCTATATCTTGAGATCTGAAAGTACAGTTGATACAAAATTTATACTTGATGTCATTTTCAGTTCTCTCTTCAAACGATTTACAAAATAATACATGACTGCGAAATTGACTTGGACTTACATTATCAAAATGGACATTACAGTATTTACATTTGAAACAATTTGCAGGCATGTCACCAATTTTCATACTGTAGGTACATTGTTCAACATGGGCACTAAATTTATTCAACATGAAGTTTTGATCACACAAAGGGCACAATTTTATACCTTTTTCTTTCAACTCTATATACATTTTGTGTTCTTTTTTAGCGTGTTCTATGTATTCCACAGCTTTGAAACAAGAATGACCACAAATTTTGCATTTGTAACTGCTTAAATGTTTTTCGTTCAGCACTTTACGAGGCATAGGGCTGCTTTCTTGTACGTTGGTATTAACCACCGATTTTTTAGTTGGTTCTTCATTATTTTTTGTGAAGCATTTCAAGTAGTGTGCTTTTGTGTCTTCGTTTCGTTCAAATTCTACATTACAAACTGGACATCCAGGAAGTTGACTTGGTTGACAAAGAATGAGTGAACCGTGAGTAGTAAGCTTGTGTTCTGCCAAGTCGTGTAGAGTTTTGAAATTAAGCGCACATACATTACAGATTATTGGAGGTGAACTATGCATACCATGATTTACATATTGAGTTTTTAAGCATGAGTGCAAACATTTGGCACAAGTTACAAATTCATCTGGTATACTAGCATGCTGTATGTAATGACGAACGTTAGTTGATTTTGTAGTAAATACCTTATCACACTTAGATACTAGACACGTAAATAAGTCATTCTTTGAATATTCATTAGAAAACTTAGTCTTTGAAGGACTGGGGAGATTAAAATCTAGGCCCAGTTGCTTGTATTGGGCAAGACTACGAATCATCTTTCCAGAATGGTTTTGTAACTTATGTAAAACAAAGTTGGACATTATAGGAAAATTAATTGAGCAGCAAACCAACAATTTTGATACATCTTGACATTTGTGGTTTGATTTTATGTTGGATCTTGGGCAATCTAAGATCGCATAACATTTACGACACAAATAGGTTTGTTTTTGAAGATTTAAATGATGTCTATAGTGTTTTATAAAAAGTTCAATGGTACTAAATATGTAGTAACAATTTGGCACAAGACAAGTACTAACTGTGTTTGAATGTTTGCTGCATAAATTATGAGTAGCATACTGTAAATTTGTATTATTAACATTCATGCAAACAGGACAAGAATTTCGTAGTTTATGAATTCTAGAACTAGTTGATGATTTTGATTCGAGTTCAAGAAGTTTTTGTTCTAGCGACCTACTGGTTTCTAACCCACATGTATTTATATCAAGTTTAATGTTGGAAGTTAAATACTGATGATTTTCATTATGAGAAGAATTGTTCGCCTGTGTAAAATAGAAAGAAACAATATTAAATAAAAACCTACATATTTATTTATTTACCATATAATTACCTTTGCAGCTAGAAAATCTATGATCATCTGTGCATCTGTTGCTTTTTTCAATTGCTCACGCCATACATCAATATGTTGTATGCAATTCTTGCATAACATTTTAGATCTTCCATCATCTCCATTTATCTAAAAATTATATACAAATTATTATTACATTTGCAATCAAATCTACAATTTTAACACCATACTGCAAAAATGAATTTAACATTGTAATATTAATAAGTACCACAATATAAGTAACACAGTAAAATAAACAGTAAAATACAGTAAAATTACTTAAAATATTCTACCACATGGTATACAACTTTTTAAATGGTTCAATCAAACTACATTAAAAGAGACATTTGTGGTCCAAAAACACTAGCATGAAATAAATCAAGTAACGATTTTTGTGTATATAAATATAATAATAAGTATAATTTAAAACAATTATTCCATCCGAGTTACTACTTTGACCCAATATTTATTCTGTGATGTTTTTTCTAGGATAACCTCTTATGTACTTCTGCTTCTTAGAGTGCATTAGAGTAATCTTATGTATAGTTTTAACTTATTTAAAATGCTGTAATGAATGTGATATCTCTCTCTGCCGCACCTAAAGCTAACAGTCAATTTAGAAAGGAATTGTAAAAAACCCTGCATAACAGACTTTCAAAATTTATATTATATACGCTGCAATAAGAATTTGAAAACCAAATTTTAAAAATGTTTTAATAAATATTTTTGGTAATGTAGTGAAAAATTGAAATCCTTTGCAAACTGTAAGTAAGTAGTCTTCTTTTTAAAAAAAAGAAATCAAAATCTGATTCTTCTATGAGGCGCTCAAATTATCATTTTTCTCAATAAGAAATAAGGTAGAACTAAATTTTTAATACATTCAAAATTATAGATGATTTTTTTTTTATTAATATAAGTTAAAAAACCTTTAATTTTCAGAACAGATTTTTATTTTTTTTTATGGGTGGTTAAAATTAAAATTTTAGCAAGTATTGTTTCTAATATTATTGCTCAAAAATGGCAAACTCAGACAAGTTTGCATTTTTGGTGACTGTGGCAACAGCAAACACATTGCAAAGTTACACACTTGTAACTATAATGTTTCATATTATCGACAAAATTATTGTTGTTAGCTCTCTATCAGGCGCAGGGTTTCAGTCAAACCAAAATTCAACTTTTTATGTCAGGCATCACATATTATGAGACAAGGGTAAATTTGTACCCCGAAGCACTGTACCTGGGGTTAAGATATGGCTGAGGCCCTTTTCACACGTACACGGTTTCCATATACACGGCAACCGTGTATACATGTATACATGTATACTGTGTTAACTTTGAACCGTGTGGACTTGCACGGGAATTGTGTATGTGTGAAAGGGCCTGACAGCTGACCGGTACATGAAAGGCATGGTTGATTGCATGCCCATTTGCTTTAATAGTAATAATAATTATATAGGAATTATTACATCAACGAATTGCTCAGATTTAAACATTCCATTGTAATATATGACAAATACATTAAAAAAAAAAATTCTTATTTAAAAATTATTTTTGAATAACTATTTAAATTTAACTTATAACATATAATATAATATAAAATAATAATAAACATTTGACAAAATAAATATTATAATAAGCTATAGAAATAGAAATAAAATAACCAATATTTTAATGTTTTTTTAGAATATTTTTTTAGACTTAAAAAAAAATATATCCTGTTTTAGTAAATTATGAACGCAATAAATTAATATTATGAAATTAATTTGAAGTATAAATACAATTATATTTTATTAAGAATACCTGAATGGTATTTTTTTTGTAAATTTAAGGCTTATCTCGTTTTACTCCTTACAAATAGGAGGTCACTGGTCTCCAAGAATTATTATAACTGAAAGTGATAAAAATCACTTTTAAATAAACGCTTAGATACAAATCTGGGGATAATGGGTGTAAACCAATACAGTCCAAACCAAGCACAGTAAGAAAGTATTCTACATTCGAAGGGGTACTTAAAAGTAACCAAACGGATGTTTTGGGGGGCAGAGTTTTTGGAGTACAGGGTTTTACCGGTAGGAGCGTGTAAAGCTACTTTTCACTAGTCGGTATGCCAAGTGTCATCACTGGAGAAGGTTCTGTTTTGCTTGTGTTTATTTTTTTGTGACAGTTGTTTTACGCGTTCGTCGTTTTTGTAATGGATGATTTCTGCAAACAGCGCGTGGCCGTTAAGTTTAGCTTCCTGATCGGGAAAACTGGCAGAGAAACTCTTGAAATTTTAAAAGCGGCTTACAAGGATGATACTATGGGGAAAACTCAAGTGTTTGAGTGGTTTTCTAGTTTTAAAAGTGGGGATATATCAATTAATGATCAACCTCTCTCTGGACGTCTTTCGACGGCCTGAAGTAACGAGAATGTCCTAACATGTTCGATGTAAGAGGAGTCGTCCATTTAGAGTTTGTTCTACCAGGTCAGACAGTTAACTAGGTTTTTTACCTGGAAGTTTTGAAATGATTTAACAACAGTTTGCAAAAATAAAAGGCCAGATTTGTGGTAGTCGGAGGGCTGGTTTTTCCACCACGACAACGCTCCCGCTCACATTGCCCTATCTGTGCACCAAATTTCGACCAAAATTAGTATGACCATTGTGCCCCATTCTCCCTATTCACTTGATCTAACCCCCTATGACTTCTTTTTATTCTTTTTATAAATTAAATAAATCACTTTGTACAAAAATAGTTCGGTTTCTTTTGGGTACCCCCTCATAAGTATTAGTAGGTAGTTTCTGTTCTCGGTTAAGAGGGCGTCGCACCAGTAATTTTCAGTGGTAAAAACATGTTTACGCCAACTGAAAATAACTCGCTTAATTTTGGTTTTAGAGTAAAAGCTCCCATTATAAAATTAAAAGAAAACAATATTCCAGTGCGTTTTTAAAAAAAAATAATTTATTGAAAAGTTACAGTCATTTAAAAGTTTTAAAATAGTCGTTATTTCTAAGCTATGTATTGAGCTATATGAATTGAGCTTTATACTTGGAATAATGGAAAAAAACGCAGTCTTGCCTTCCGGAATGTTGTTTTCTTTTAATTTTATAATGAGTGCTTTAACTCTAAAACCAAAATTAAGCGAGTTATTTTCAGTCTACTTCAACATGTAGAGATGAAAAACATTTTTAAATTGCTTTCAAGGATGCTGCGATAGTCCAAAAAATAAATTAACTACCAAAATAGAGTCCTAGTTATTGAACTAATAATTACACATCACAGTTTAAATTTTTAAATAAAGATTCTGTAAAAAATTGCCTATACTTTACTCTTAAAAATGGGCGGTGCGACACCCTCTTAAACAATATACTGTATAACTATACTTTATGAACAAAATTAAATTATGAACACACAATCAAAGTAATATTGATTTTTTTATTTTAATTATAAGTAATTACAATCAGACTAATGTTTATGTAAACAATAATTTTGTAATTTACCATCAGTGATTATTTCATGGAAGTGACAAGGAGGGTAATTCTAGGGAGGAGGCTCCCTAGAATATAGTACATAAATAATATAAAAATCCATATTTTTCTTTTTTTTACCTGCAAAACACAGGCTTGGGAGTTAAGTTTTGTCATCTTTAGTCTTCATATTACGGCACATCCCAACAAACATAAATATTTACTTAAGTAGTTTTGATAACATAAAACTCTGTTCTGTGGCTATAATATGGTTTGAAATTTTTAGGTTTACTATTAATATAGTAAATAATATTAAAATAACAAACAATTTTTTTTCACAGAACAGTGTAGGTATATATTTTGGATACAACCAATTTTAATTTGAAAGAGTATCACTTATCAATAATTGACATATTATTAACATTTATCATAGATATCAATATACATTCGGAACAAATTTATTTTACTAGACACCTTTTATTTTTTATCTTGTAGATTATTTACACTTAATTGAAAAATGAAGTCAGATATCCACAGAAACCATAAGTTTACAAGTAATAGCTACTTGAACTTGGAGAATTAGTAATGCGTAAGATGACTTCTCCAACATCAGTCGTGACATCCGCCGCAGCCAGCTGCAACAGGAGTTTTGCGCAATAATAATCCTCAAGTACCTAAGAACTCCTCTAGTTTAGTTCTCAGATTCCTTGTAAACGGTGAAAAAATTACAAAATAGCAATACAAAATAAATGCAAAAAAGGATGTCTAGAAATTTAAATTTATACCGATTATATTTTATAAGCTATCAGATATTAATACATGACATTAGTACCAGTTTGAAATTTAAGTAGCAACGCTCATTAGATTTAATAACGAACGATATATAGGCATTTTATTGCTAATAATAACAAGTAAAACTTTGTTGTACAGACTTTAATTCGTTACATTAAACGATAGTACTCACTTTAACTTGGTAATAGTAAGACACTTCATAAGCCAAATTTCGATTTACCATCCCATTTTCAAACACGTTTATTAGTTTATCATTATCGGTTAAACATATACGGCATAGTTCAGGGTTCACTACAATGGGCGTCATCGCGACAACTGCAGTTCGGAAACAACTCGATTTCAACAAGGGTTGTTGTTAAATGAACTATGAAGGCAGATCTGCCTACAGTCAAACAAACCCGTATCCGTTGAGGAGTGACTGTAACGATTAACGATAAATAATAAACAGTAAACACAAGCGGTTAAATGTTAATACAGGGGTTGTGGATTCATGTTATAACGATACCATAAGAAAATAATACACTACCGAGACCTATAAGAAGTACACTGTACGGGCAGACACAAACAAAACAACGCCGCAGTCCAAGCCTCAACAAAAATCGACAATCTACCAATTCGGAATTTGATAGGCTAACTGACTACTTGGTTGATTTCTACCATGGAGATAAAAATTGAAACCAAACATTGCTAGAACATCCTTGAATATACAATAAATGATAACAGTTATGTCATAAAACATGGTTCTTGTTCAAACCATCGATAACAAAGATTAATCGCCCTTACATTTACATTGCTGAAAATTGAAAATTATACAATATATTATAAATTATAATTCTGTAGAATGTAGATGGTAACAGGTAGAAAGTAGAAACACAGAATACAAAAAGAGGATTAAAGCATTGCAAAAACTAAAAAAATTAAAAATTATATTTTGAGTACTAGAGTCAATATAATTGGGGTGAATCATCCGTCTTTAATAATTTGTTTCCACTGTTATCCAAATATCGTAATTAACAAAAATACAATGAAAATATTTTTCAGATACCTCTTTTTCTAAATTTCAGAATTTTAGTCCCAAAACTGCATGAAAAAAATAATTTCCATGCCTCTAATGGAAAGAAATTTTCATTTTTTTGGTATCATCATATAGTTAATCATATCGATAGTATCTGAAGATTCCCTACAAATTTGTAACTAATTCGACTATGTTTTATTATGTTATAGCACGCTGTAATTTTTAGTTAAACATTATGTAATATTTTTGCTGTCATTTTAATTTTGAAAGGGTGAACTTTAAATTTTTGGCATTTTCGGTTCAACGGTTTAGAAAATATCGTGGGTCCAGACACAAAAATAAAAACACATTATTGTAAAAACATAACCTTTTTAACTCCAAATCGAAGCTAAAAAATTATTTAAAATAATACACAAATTATTTTTAAAGTAGCTATGTTTTACAACACTACTCACTAGCAGATGTTTACCTATGCATCGATGATTTTTAACTCTTAAAAAACACATTTTATAGCTGCGGATCATTATAGTATAAGGTGGGCTTTATTTTAAGGTGCAAGTAGGACACTAATAATTGTATTAGGAATTATAAAATGTGAAGTTGACTTAAAGAATAAGTTTACCTGTACCTATGTCTTATAATATTATGAAATATAGGACTAATTACAATTTTTGTCTTAAGTAAGCTAGTAAACCTTGTTTAGTTATAAATTTCCCTTTTTCAGGGCTACTTCCATTTTAAAAAAGTCTTATAGGTTTAAATAATATGGATTTTTAGTAAGAACATAATTTGTATTTTTGTTAATTGGACTTCCATGTTTTTCTTAATAAACTTCGGTAGGAATGCCATTTTATAAGCCACTACTAAAATGATTTAATTAATATTTAAAAAACGCCACGCGCCTTTTATTTTAAGCGCATAATCTAACCTAACATTAATGTCCTAGGTATTTTGTTTGTAGTTGACGTGAAATTTAAAGGAATCCGTACTCAGAAAATTAGGTTTCACAATATTATCCCGGTTTTCAGATTGGAATTTTTTATCTTAATAAAATAGTCAAATTTTTGTTTTAAATAAATATTTTTTTAATTTTTAATGGATTAAAACGTAACTTAATCCGAAAATCTAGATAATTTGTCAATTCCGTATTTAAATATTAAATTATCAGGATAATTGAAAAAAATCTAGATTTTAATCCCATAGTTAGTAGTTATACAGGATGGGCCAGAGAAACAGAAAAATTTGAAAGTTTTATTTGCAGCCCCAAGGAGCTTGTAGAAAGGCGATAGTGTTATTGTTAAGTTCACAGGTGATTGCCATTTAGTGGGTCGGTTCACTATGCACGTCGGTTTATGAGCCTTCATCTACAGGCTGTCAATAAAAGTGGGGGTTGCCATTCATTTTTTCCACAAATTTCTGCTTATTTTCGTCGTGGGCTCTTTTCAAACGACGTCTGAATTGCTTCAATGTTCGAAGGGGTTTGTTGAGTAAGCTGGAGCTCCTAGTGGTTTCTTTTTGAGAGCTGAACTCGTCTCCTCAATATTCTCAACCCAAGTCTTGATTGCGTTGCATGATGGAATATGACCATGACGTCCCAAGTTGTATTGACGACGAAATTCCCTGCGAGCGGCAGTCAGACTCACATTCACGGTATCACCATTTTTGTAATATGCCTTCACGGCAAATTCGCGTTGTGAACCGATCCACTGAAGGCACTGATCAATGATTACTAAATGGCAGGTACCTGTGAACATAACAATAACACTATCGCCTTTCTACAAGCTCGTCAGGGCTGCCACTAAAACTTTCAAATTTTTCCGTTTCTCTGGCCCACCCTGTACATTTTAAGTAGGTGCAAAAATGAATTAGGTACTATACTGTTTTTAATTTTTTTTACAAATAATTTTTACATTTTTTTAATACCTATGAAATACTAATTTGAAAAATAACCTTAAATGATGTTGATGGTAATAATGACTTCTACTTATTATAATTTTTTTTTTGTCTGGACCCACCCTATATTATTTCGTATCCGGACACGATTTCTTAGTGTACCAAGACTATAGTTAAGAAATTGTACCTTAAATTACTTTCTTGGGCCAAAAATTAAAAAAGTTCAACTTCATTAACACTAAAGCGTTTATTTTAAATTGATAAAATTACTTCTCAGTGATATTAATTCCTAAAAGACTGTGACCTCTCTGACTCTACCGTGCTGTTTTTTTTTATAAATACAACAAAAATTGTTTAAAATGATTAATAATAAATATTATAATAACTGATTTGGAACAAAAAATTAAAGTTATGCCATTATGAATGATTTATAAAAGTTTCATTCCAGGAACATTTTATATTCGTTCAAAACGGATAACTCAACATTAAAATATTTTTAATTGACTCTGTGTTTTACAAGTTCAAAATTAGTAAAGCTATTAGATTATTATATTATTAATACTTTTGTATTTTTATGTAACTATTGTTATAAGTTATAACAATACATGTAAATTACTTGGTTTGGAAACATTTTTAATTCCTGATATTTTTATATTCTAATAATATGTATATACAACAATTAATTTATATTTACATAAAACATTTTTATAAAATGATTACATTTTTTTAAATGACTAAATGTCAATAAAATTAATAAAAAAAACATATATTTTTGCTCAATATTTTCTATATTTTCCCTGAAGAAAAAACTTTGTAATGATACATTATATATTTAATTACTGTTAATTGGTATAATAATACCAATACAAAATATTTTACTGTATATTAAATTATTAAGAAGTACATACATTTTAGGTTTACTTTTATATGGCTGCAAACAGAGTAATAACAAAATATATAATGCTAAAAGTACTTATTATAGCTTAATTGTAATATTCTAGAATACTTTTAATAAAAAAAATGTTGCTTAATGTATTTAAAATTTTAACTAATTATTAAGTATACAAAATCAAAAATAATGCTTTATTACACATGATTTTTACAACAGTGATTTATAATAACTAATATAAAAAGAAAAACCTTGGTTTAATACAAGTGTTGTTGTACATTAAATGTGACGAGCTGGAAATTTATTACTTCTTGGGTAACACTTATACCTCTATATTTTTAAAATACAAATGTGTTATAATAATAAGTTGATATTTCAATTAGTCAAAATTATCTAAGCTCTCATATTTATTTTTTCTGTCGAGAGTTACAATAAACCGAATTAACTTGTATCATTATTTGTTTCCAATGGTGATTCATTTTGATCTTTGTCAACTAATACGTAATCATGTTCATTGTTTTCTGTGGGCACTTTGTTATTTACAGTATTATCATCTAATGATTCACTACTAATTTGAGCTACTTTTTCAACCTCGATAACATCCTGTATATTATCAATCAACATTTGTTCATTGTTAGACTGAACATTTTCTTCAGTAATTATGGATACATCCATTTCAGATTCACCAAGTAAATCTCTTTCAACGGAATTTTCTTTAAATGATTTATCCTGATCTTTCGTAATTTCATTTTCAAAAAGATCATTGTTAACCATTTGTCCTTCAGCTTCATCATTTCTTTCATAATTATCATTATTAGTCTGATTTTCAGTTTCACTTTCTTGTTTGTCACTGAAGTTATCATTTATATTGTTTACAGTATCATCTATAACTGCAATTAATTCTTTTTCTAGTTCTTCTTCATATTGTAAATTGGAGTCTAATTGGGTTTCTTTCGAAGAACTAACAGCTAATGATGTTGTCTGAGATATGATTGGAAGCATAACAACACAATCAACAGTTTTTTTATCCACAACACTAGATACTTCCTTTTCGTTATGAGAATGTTCTCTATGCATCATCAAAGCAATTTTGTATTTAAATCGATTATGACATTTACCACATTGGAAACGTTTATACTTATTAGATACTAGTTTTTTACCATGTTTAATTCTCCAGTGTTCAGTAAATCCAACGCATGTATAATACTCTTTACATTTAGTACAATAATAGTTAGCAGGGAGGTTTTTTTTCGATTTTATTTTTTTTACACCAACATTAGAGCAATGATTCCAATGTTCAGTTAAACCAGTTTGCGAAACGAATTTTTTAGGGCATTTAATACAAAAATATAATTTATTTACATTTGGAAACATGTCAACATCAACTGGTTTGTTTTCACTACTTTCAATCATATTTTGAGAAGTATCATCATTTGAATCTTCCATTATCAAGTCATTATTTGATACAACAATGTTAGAATTAGCTAATTTATTGTTTGAAGAAACTGTGTTAGTTTTAAATTTCAGTCTACTGTTATACAGATTCTCTGTTGTTATATTTCCATGTTTTTTCAAATGGTTACTTAAAGCACCCCGAGTTTGGCAGACTTTTTTGCAAAAAGTGCATTTATAAGAAAACTTAGACTTGGAAACTAATAGTTTTGATTTAGTTTCATTAGAAGAAACTTTATTCTTAGATTTAATTTGACATTCGATTAAATGGTTTCTATAAGTATTAATATTATGCTCAATTTTACAAAATGGACATAAAAGTGTCTTTTTATTTTTAGCTACAATGGTGCAATCGTGTACAATAAGTTTATGCACACTTAAACTCTGTATGTCATCATACTTCGTATTACACTCAAAACATTCAAACATTCCTGGTTTTTGACATTTACCTTGCATTTGATGTAATCGAAGGCTAGCAAGGTCAGGGAAATCTGAGACACATTGCCAACACATAATATTATTTCCGATATTTAAATGGTCACGACAATGAGCTTTAAAACTCTGAAAACTTTGAGAAATTATATTACAAGACGGTTTTAAGCAAGTGAATAGAACTAGAGTTGAAGTGCGTATCGGGTGAATATTGGATAACATCATGGTGTTTTTTTCTTTTTTATGTTCAATCACATCCTTTTTGATAGCTTTCTTAACTATTGCCGGTTTTGTGGCCAGTTCTTTTTTATTACTAAAAGCATTTATACTAGGTTTTTCTTGTCCGAGTGTAGCTATTTGGTTATCTCGACATATTTTAATGTGATCATTAATCTTGGATAAATCTGATGATGATTTTTCACAAAAAAAGCATAAATAATTTCCTGTAGAATTAATAAGTCGACCATTATGTTTTGTACGTTTATGTTGAGCTAATTCCACCATAGTACCAAATAAAATATTACAAGTATAGCATTTAAACAAGTTATTCATATTACCATGAATATGCTGACCATTAATATCTCGTTCAGTTTTCTTATTCTCTTTAAAACATTGGCGACATAAACCAACTCCACTCGGCATGCCTATATGTTGTCTATAATGTGGCATGAAATCTCTCCCAGATCTAAATATTATAGTACAATTAGGTACTAAACATGTAGAGAACTCCTTATTAAACTGTGAACAATCATGGTTGAATTTTTTCTTCTTACAAATCGAACAGTAATACATCTGATTGTTTTTTTTATCATTACAAGTTGTGTTTTCGTCATTAATAGATTCTTCACTATCTGATATACATATTACGTCATTTTTAGAGTCGTCTAATGGATTTTCATACACATCATCTGATTCACTTGAAATAGATGGTGACTTTTTTATTGGTCTTCTTATATGATTTTGGTTACTACTTGTACAATTTATTTGATTGTTAGTTTTAATTTGATGATCACTAGGTAAGCTTGTATTTCTTTTCAACGATGAAAGCGAATGAGATTGACTGTCTATTGGCAATGTAGGTTCAACAGAATTTGGATTTATCACTTTAGGCAACACATTGGTACCAAACTATCAAAATAAAAAACAAAAATTAAATTTTAAAAATAGTATAGTGTATTAGAAAGTAATATATGTCTTAAATTTCTAGCAAACATTGAAAATATAATATTTATTTAAAAACTTCTATGCTAATAATATACGTTACAACTTAAGGTTTTAAAAGTAATGATATTTGGAACAAATTGACTTTAGTGGACACCTTTTTTTGTCATCTTGAAGAGTTTTTTGAACCGATTACAAATCTGAAGTCAGAAATCTGTTGACTTCTTTAGTTCAACGGTTATAGCTACTTGAAATTTTAACTTTTCCATGGCGACTGGCGGATGCAATAGCAGACGGCTGCTGTGGAAGGTAACGGTCAGTGGCCGCTGAATCATGCAGCTGTTGTCAGCGACGCAAATCAAGATTGAAAACCACAGCAGTTTGTTTGAAATTTGTTATCAATAAATTTCCATAATCATAATATTATATCAACTCCTGGTTGGAAAAAAAAACGACCACAAAGGGCAGGGTAATACTTATTTTACATACCTATGCTTAATGCGATAGTTTGTTAAAACAGGGAAAAATTCACAAAAAAAAAAAATCCATTTTTTAAATAAACACTGTAGAAAATATATAAACTAATTGCTATATAAAACGACTCTCTAGGCCTACAGGCTTGAGCCCCCTAATGCCCAGAGGAAAAAATAGTTTGCCTAAAGGACTGAACTAACCTGATACTCCGCTCTGGAAGTGTCAGCGTCCTAACGAGACTGAACCTTACCTAACCTACCCTTCAAAATAACAAAAAATAATAGGCTCTTATGTAACTGTCCGAGAGCTTCACGCCTGCTGTTATAAAACTATAACTTTTGAACTAGAGGAATCAGCCGATTTCTTACTTCAGATACGTAGTCAGCGTTTAAAACACTAGATAACATAAAAAAAATCTCAAAAAAAAGGGTGTCTGGTAAGTAAATTTATGTCTGATATTTTAGGAATTGCCACCTAAGACAATTTTTCTTGATTCCGTTTTGTATAAGTACTGAAAGATATTTATAAAACTATTAACTCAAGTTTATGGTTCAAATTTTAATACCCTTTCCACACAATTTATTGTTCTAAAAGCCTACGAGTATATATTTATACATTATAAAAATTTCAGTTAACTTCTGCTCTTCAATTATATTTTATAGATATATCTAGTTCTTTTACAAGTCCAAAATAAAAATAAAAGTACTAAAAACTTACTTTTTTAGCAATATAGTTAATTACAATTTGTGATTCGGTAGCCTTCTTTTTCATTTCAACCCAGCTTAACAATGATTTATGACAGTTCTCACATATAATCTTTGGTTTAATGTCATCTTTTTCAACCTACAATACATAAATATTTAATTATTTATTATTAACTAAATTTCAAATTTGTAATCAGCTTACTCTGACGCCTAGTAATTCTGTCATATTTTGACTTAAACCATTATCACTAGCGGTTGATGTAAATATATTTAAGAACTTGATTGTTCTATTGGATTCTGGTTCCAACAAGCAAATTCTACACAAATCAAAGTTCTCACTATGTAAATGTGTTTGTGAGTTATCCATTATAATTTTTCTCTTTTTAATAGATTGAAAATAAATATAGTCTACTTAAAAGCAGTATGGTAGATGGACTTTAAGCTAGGTATTAACTTCATATTTAAGTTGATTTACAACCACTAGTTAAACAAGTAATAGTTTTAATTCAATATTTAAAAATAATTGATTCAATACAATTAAATAAAAATGTTAAATGAGTATCACACGTTCATAATACAAATTACAATTTACAAAGTTAATCTACAAAATATTATGAAACTAAAAATGATTTATGAACTATTCAACTATAGAAATAGATAACACGATTGAGAGTTGAGACCAGCCGCGAGTAACGAGGAAAATAAACAATATTAACACGATGTCTCCAGTCTCCGGATAGGCCGCTTAAGATGCAACACCTCATCTCATTTTTTTGGCCAAATCAAGTTGGCCACACTGTTTAATTTAAATTTTCGAGAGGAATCGACTGTTGGGCAATGATTATAATAAAGTTAATAAATAACGCTATAATCGAATAATGGTTTATAATGTTATTGAATAGTAATTGAAACTGATTTCTTTGCCCTCCTGAAAAGTTGAACAAAATGAGATTGAGGTGTTGCGACGATATCGGATATGCAGAATTTGGTTTTAGTAAAAGCCATCGAGATAAAGAATACTATTCTGTGTATTCTTTATCTCGATGGTAAAAGCTGATGATAAGCGGTTAAACTATTATCATTTTTTATGGTTGTGGTGGTTCATAACATTACAAAATTCGGGTCAACCATATAGGTAACACCATTGATTATAAAATACTTTATATATATGGAAAAATATATGGACCTATATAAACCCCAATATTGGTATATACGAGGAGAAAATACGCTGACTTAAACCGACTGTATAATGCACCCAATTTACAAGATTTTTTGAGGTCGAAAAGGGTAGAGTGGGCTGGTCATGTATAGGGTGCGGAGGGTGGATTGATTAGACAGGTACTCATTAACAAGCGAAATAAAAAAACGACCTGTGGGAAGACCAAGACAACGGTGGATGGACCGAGTAAAGGTCGATTCATACATATTAGTGACGTGACCGTTCCGAGATTCCGCCAGCCGTGATTTCTATTCACACTGGTCAGTGTTTCATCCGTCATTAGGTCTAGAGGTCGTGGCAAAATGCTTTCGGAAAATGAACTACTGATGATTGCTATGGTTTTGGACAAGAAGAGGAAGAAAAGGTGGTTAAAAAACGGATGAGGGCTGCTCATAAGGCATAGACAAACAGGCCTACAGAATGGGAATTTTCTACATTATATAAAGAATTAACAGATGATAGAACGAAGTTTTTCGAATATTTTAGAATGTCGGAAAATTCGTTCAACTTACTGTTGAACAAACTGGAAGTTCATCTGAAAAAGCAAGATACGCATTGGAGAAAAGCTCCAGGAACGTCTCGCTGTTTGTTTAAGGTAAGTGTATAATGGAAAATATTAAAATATTATTCCAAAAATATTTTGGAACAAATCTACTTTACCGGACACCTTTTTTTTTTAAATCGATAGTATTTTGCATGCTGATTACGAATCTGAAAAAATTTTGGGCCACTCGCACTTACTTTGGAAGTTACAGACGTTTGAAGTTCGCAGATTTTGACTTACGCGCGCGCCCGGCAGGCCCCGTCTTCCGGCGGCCCCCAGGTACTTCGTTAGTAGTTCGCCGCTCTCGACATACCAGCCGTCTTTGGACGTCGCGGTCGTACTTTAGCGAACACCTTTTTTTTCGATTTTTTTATTGCCATATGATAGTTTTTTTTAAGCTGATTACGAATCTGAATTTAATATCGGGCAGACTTCTTTTTTCAGTTAAGTTTTAATTACCGGCGTCTTACTTGGGCAACTCATATCCACGCTAAGCGTCTCGTCTTAAACAACCGCCTCCGTCAATTACGCTTCCTTCTAACAACAAAACACCTCAACCTCCAAAACAAACTTTTAATTTACAAACTACTCCTCAAACCCATTTGGACCTATGGCATCCAGCTATGGGGAGCTGCCAAACCATCCAATATCTATAAAATACAAACATTTCAAAATAAATGTCTCCGTCTATTAACAAGAGCCCCATTTTACGTCTCCAATGATACCCTCCACAAAGACCTCTCCATCCCAACAGTCCTTAACTTTGCCAAAACCTTCTACAAACGCCTACACTCCAAAACCATTAGCCATAAAAACCCCCTGATCTCGGAACTATCCGTGCACACAATCCCTGGTGACCCCAGAAGGCGCCTAAAGCGAACGTGGTGTCGCGATCTATTGATTGACTAATCCACGATCTCACACGTCATGAAGTACCAGCTCTGGCTGGCCTCTTCTAACAAGTCTACTGTATCAATGTATTATTATATATTTGCCTACCATGTAATTTATCCTTTGTTCTTATTGTAATTACATTTATTACAGATTGTACAAATTCTAAATAAAAAACAAAAAAAAAAGTTTTAATTAAATAAACTACTAACTATGCAAAACAACTCCCTACGCCTGCCGGCTCCGGGAGCCGTCTCGTGTATTTCACGCAAAATACACACAAATTATTTTCTAAACATAAATATTATTTAAGTCTTATTATTGCACTATACTTAAACTACGCCTTAAGCCGGGTCCACACTAGGAAACATTGTGCGCGCACATGTTGGCGCACACTGTGTTGGGCAACAATGATCGTTGCGTGTGGACGTGTTTGCTCGTTGTACGCGCACACTGTTTCGATGTTCGCTCTACAGGCGATATTTGAGCGAACACTCAAAGGGATTGTTGGACAACACTATTTTAGTGTGGACGTGTTCGGCAACAACTTAAGCAGCAAAATTACATACCCTATTAAAATACAGATAATTTTCTTATTCGGCACACTAGTACACTACACCAACGACTGATTGAATTGTGCTACATTACACCTATGGCTAAGTATTTTTAAGCGGGTTGGTAAAAAATAAATTTGAGCGAACACAGATGGATCACAACGAACATTGTTCGCGTACATGCTGGCGCACAAGTTCGCCAACACCGGGCAACATTTCTTCGAACAAGTGCGCGCACAATGTTTCCTAGTGTGGACCCGGCTTTAGTCTACGCCTTAGTGTTGTAATTTGGATTCGAATCTTCGAAGGATTCGAATACCTAATTTTTAAATATTCGAATACTCCAATATTCCAATAATTATTCGAATAGTTGAAAATAACTATTTGTAAATTAATTATTATTACTATTTGAATATTCGAAGTATTCGAATCCTTATTGAGATTCGAATCCCGAATATTTGAATCCAAACTATTCGAATATTTCCCATCACTAATATATATATAAATTAAAAATTTCAATTTTAAATTATTTTTATAAAATATATACTTATTAAACTCTACAGCTATACATATAGCTATAGATTTCGTATACGAGAACTATTCACTGACTATTTTAGTTCTGATGTTGGGGCTCTCCCTTGGTTAAAAACACAACTACAGTAAATGAACTTGTTGATATAATATAAGTAATTTTAGTTTTTCAATTCATACCATTTATTTAATTTTAATTAAACTGTTTATAATACATCCCTATTGCTCATATATACAATTAACATTTTTTCATTTATACTATATGAATGAACTAATATATATATATATATATATATATATATGAATATCCGTATTTAATCACAATCTGATTCATTTCTGCTCCTATATTCTTCCAGACAAAATTATTTAAATTGGAGTTCATGAATTTTAGGTTTGACTGATCATATAATACAGGATTGGCACGCACTAATTCAATTAGTTTTTCGTCATTTATATTTTTAAATCACTATCTACAACGACCAACTGAGAATAGAAAGAAGCAGAAAATAGATGGAGTTTTTCTATTCACAGTTCGCACAACACGCAATAGCTGAAAACCCTACCGACACGCGGCCGTGAAATTGAAAAAATATCGTCGGGAATTAATGTGATGATCACAGTACGGTGTCGCCAAAGGCACTGTTTGCACTGTCACTGTCACGCGCCGGTCTTGTATGAACAGGCCCCTTTTAAATGCCTGGAAGAATATTTTCAATCTTGTCGGTGGGACCACGTGCCGGTCACGGCACTGGTATTTGTGCAGTGTGAATCGACCTAAGATGACTTAGAGATTAAGAAATGGAGCGAATATTGATGATGCAGAGGATCGAGAAGGTTGGAGGGCTCTGGTAGAAGCTGCAAAGCGCCTGAATGGCGCATGAAGCAAAAAAAAAAAAATTGTAATTCTATTGTTTATATAGTGTTAGAATTTATGTTTTAAATAGGTTATGTAATCTTTAGTGACACATTATTTATTGTTGTTTCTTATATTGGTTTCTGTTATGAAAAGTGATTTTAATGATATATGGACTTTTTTCCGCATAGACAAGATTCCGCAAATTTTTCCAAAAGAAAAACAAGAAATTCTATTCTGTTATCACTTAAAAATTATTTCATATTTTTGTAAGTAGATATTATGGGCCAAATTTCTCAAATATTGGACTTGTGTGCCATCGTCAGCATGTTCCTTGTATGATTCATTTTGATTTATGTTTGTGATAATTATCATGTTTTTACAACACAAATAATTTAACTTATCTTTAAACCTGTGATCTTCTCCTAGACTGTAGCCTGCAAACCTAGGATATTTTTAGTTAGCGCCTAGCGGAGCGTAGCGACGGCGCCGAGCGAACGAGTGACAAAACACTCGGTGACTTGCTGTAGGATAGTAGATTGAAGCTTTAAACTACTTAACTTTAAACCAGTTACCTCCTCCTAGTCTGTATCTGAATAAAGGGTTCGGACTGTTTATTAATTTACGTTGACAACGACAAAAAATATTTTTCGTTTCAATTTTCGCACAATATCAGAATAATGATCATTCGGGAAAATAGTCATGCGGAAATTGTGTTTACGGAAAAATGTCCAGCGGAAAATGGATAAGGGAAAATGTACCCTAATCGAGGTTAATTGTAATTGGAACATTGTTAGAGACTAAACGTATGTAATTTTTCACATTTTTAAAAGATCAATTTTGTTTAACTTTATAAATAAAAGGAGATACTACATTTTGTGTACTAAGCTTAATTCATTGTGCGAAACATTTATAATCATGTAAGAAGTAACTCCAATTTGTGTGTACTTACTATGTTTTGAATACTGAAATAAATTAAACATAAAGGGGCAATTCCATTTTAAGGTATAAGGAATAAAAATGTTGTACCAATAAAAAAAATTGTATTTTCAAGTTCTCAAGTACAAATTTTAACTCCAAATTGAAAAATATTCAAGTGCTGTCGATGAGTTGAAATTTCAAATAAGATTTTCCAACAATTAACATTTTGGAGTTATTGTGTTTTTGCTTAGTACAATAGTATATTTAATACTGGCACTGTAAGAGGTCGCGGTCTTTTTTGGGAACAGGTAAAGATATAAGAAATACATTTAAGGCATAAAAAATATTATATATATTTTACGAATTGAAATCACCTATATTACAGCCACTTATAATATTGTATAAATTATTATTATATACATATTTATAACACTGAACTGGATACAGTTCAGTGATTTATAATATATCATTTTCAAGCAATAAATACTTTATAACCAACAGATTTGATAAATTAAAAAATAAACATTTTGGCGCCTAAAGTATAATTTGTTTGACAACGCAATATATAAATATTTTGATACGCTTTTTTTGGATTTTATCAAAATTTAACGCAGTGAAATCAAGAAATACTGGTAAAATAGTGTGTCGGATGTTAAATTAGCGTTGCCTTCCTATGTATATATTTTAATCAGTGCTTTAACTATTGGATGCAATTTGAGGGTAACGTCTATTTTAGCTTTAAAAGCACACTAATTTGTAATAAGTCAAAAAAATTGAAAAGCACTTAATAGGTACATAACTTTGTAAATTGTTTTTCGAGGTTTTGTTATAGTATACACAGTTAGTGTACTGTTACTTAATTTTTAATCGGAAAAACTCCTAGAAACTCGAGAAACCAAAGTTCAAATTCTACATGGTTTAATTAACTGTTAAATCAAAACAATCTATTATTTTTCTTGTTTTAGATCACTATTATACAGTACATACTATTTTCAGTAATGATAAAATACCTTTATAAAAGTACAACATTTAATCGAACTATTTTTTTTTTGAAGTTTCTATATTCATATTTTAATATTAAAAATAACGGTAAAAATTGTTTCATTTCTATGTTAACACTTTTTAAACAAATCGATAGTAAAAATAGGAAGATATTTGTTTAGCCAATTTCTAAAGTCTGATAATGTAAGATACATATTCAAATCGGACAGTTTAAACGATTGGCTGATTTATTTTAAAATAAAGTTCAAATATTTTAGTGAAGTTGAGCTGAGAAGTAATAAGCTGACAATAATGTATTTTTATTTTTGTGCCTGGACCACAAAATCTACTAAACGATCCACTCTAAACAAGTATCTGCTTCCAATAATCAAGTAATCTAGTTTTATTCGATTTAGATTAGAAATGTATTTTAGTAAAAGGGATATAGTAGTTATAGTAGTTAGCCAAATGCTAATAATTAAGACACCCATAAACAATATGCTTTATTAAACAGACTGTACAACACAAAATCTATAATTCTTTAATAAACCCTAAGAATTTATAAATAAAACATTTATATTATGAGGCAGACCATTATTTTACACAATAGGAATACTTATTAAATAATACTCAATAGTTTTTATGCGGTTGGCAGAATTATTTTTGTAGGAAGACTAATCGAATAATTTAAAGTTAATAACATTATTGTTACTACTTATTTCTTATTTTACTATATTAATATAATATAATTTTTGTTTTTAACATTTATAAAGCATTTTACCTTCAAATTTGCATTAGCTCTTTGAGGGGCAGTGGTAAAGTAGATAATACTTCTATATATTTTTTTTGCGTTGGTTAGAAGTGATGATCACATAAAGTCAACTAAACACACCATTAGAGAATTGCGGTTACTTATTATTTTGATTTCTCCCTTGTATAGCTGTATCTTATATTTTTTTATCCAACCATTTTGCTGATATTATCAAATTTAGTTTGCCCCTTAAGAGTATTTTTTTGGTGATATTACTTGCCCCTCAAAGAGTTAACAAGTATAGAAAATGTATATTTTTTACAATGTGTCCTTTAATAAGAAAATACATTTAACACTTAATATATAAGTTGATTAGCTATGCACCATAATCTTCATAAAGTCTTTAACAAAGATTGCTTGACAGATGATTTCTAGATGCAAAAAGACCAATAGAAAGCTAAAAATAAAAACATTTCGGTAAGTAGTAATCATCAACAAAGCATTAGACTAAATGATGATAAAATCACACAATATCCACATTCCATACATTAATAATTTCACATTTTTGGACATAACCTAATTTGCGTAAAAGAACAAATTGCTGTAAGTATATAGTTTATTTTTTGCGTTTATAAAAAAAAATTAATATACATTACACAGAGATTCCACATCTTTGCAAGTCTTACCATAATAGACATTAAACATCATGCAGGAAAACACGATGAGCAGTTAGCTTTTGTTTGTTCTCTTACGTAGTCTTGGACATTAAATGATTCTTTGTTTTCAACTCCTGTCTTTTTAAACAGTAACTCTCTAGAAATCAATAATATTATTAAACTAAGTGTCAAAAAAAAAGCTTGACAAAAGAAACATAAGCAAATTTCTGTAAATGTTTAAGCACTTTGCAAGCCTCGCTTTGTCTGGCCAAATTATAATATTTTAACTTTTGCTTGTGTAGTTTTAGTTTATTACTGTTGTTTATATACTATTCAACGTGCAATATCCAACGATACAGTCTCCCAAAAAAAGTAATATCTAGCTAAGGGTTCGTGTATTATAGTTTTAAAAATATTTTGTAATTGGTTGGTAAAGAAAAATGTTTTCTCGTACATAAAAAATTAAGCTGAATACTGAAGACATTGAAAAAAGGTTATATCATTCCATCTAGACTGTTTTTACTTTAAAACTATAATAGACGGAATTCTGCCTATTTATGTTGGGAAACTAGAGAAAGGATTCGTGAGTAATGGACGCTGTGTCAAATGATGAATGTGTTTGGAAATATTACTAACAATAAGTATTCTGTACTACTGTACTAAGAAAAACATGTTATATTACAAATGTTCCATATTGAGCTCTGCAAAAGATGTCTATACCAAATCCCTCAATAAAATGTGTGCAGGATCCTCTTAAGAAAAAATCACTATACATATGGCTGTGTATCTTTAAAGTTTACCTAGCCACAGCCATAAAGGCAACTTCGACATTTAAACCTGACTTAGCAGATGTCTCCATAAAAGTGACTGAATACTCTTTGGCTAACTTTTCACCGTCTTCTTTTTTGATCATTCGATCACCAGGATGACAGTCCGCTTTATTCCCTAAATCAAAAAATGTATTTATATTTAAACTCAATTATGTTTATAAGTACAAATAAATCTATATAATATGTACCTAATAACATTATAACAACGTGATCATTTGCATAATCTCTAATTTCACTTAACCACGCCCGTATGTTGTCAAAGCTTGTTTTATTAGTTACATCATATAAAAGTAAAAGTGCTGCAAACAAATAGGGCAATAATTATTTAAAATTAAATTCCAAAACTATTAGTTTACAATTTCTAAAAATCATTCCATTAATTAATATGATAAGTAGAATGTTATATATTGTTAGAGAAGTGAATATTGAGTAGAAAGTCACAAAATAAATATTAGAGAATTGTACTGTTTTTACAATACACCTACATTATACAACATATTAAATCAATGATTATAAATACTTATAATCAATGATTAAATCAAACTAAAATTCAAATTTGACTTGGTATAACGAGTAAGTAACTAACCATGAGCGTCTCTATAGTAGGCATGTGTAACACTCCTAAATCGTTCTTGACCAGCTGTATCCCAAATCTGTAATTTTACTTTTGATTCGTCAACAGATATTATTTTATTCTAAAAAAAACCAAATAAATAAATAATAATTATTTAAGTTTAGTACAAACAAACAAAACAGATTTAAAATATATATAAGTGTGGTTGAAGTCACAGTTTTCTGACTCAGTGATATCAGGGTCATAAACATTAATGATTAAACTATCACTGTTATAAACTTAATTAATGTCCAAATGTATTTAACTTAGATATGAAGACAAGGAAGTACAAAAAGAATATTAGCTCAGAGATTTTTATTGTTGACATTTTGTAACTGCAACTGCAAGTTAAATATTTTTCTACCTAGTTTTATAGGGGAGTATTTTAAACACTTATTGGAAAAATGAATACATTCACCTACTAAACGTTGTAATTTATAGAACCGAGTTCGGCGTTCTTCTAATTATAGAAAATAAAGTTAAGGTTTCTATCACCTAAATTTTAATAAAAGTACGCCTCTATTTGTAATCACTATAGCAGTGTGAGCATAAGTGTCTAATGAAGCATTTCCGATTAACACATAATTTACAAAATAGTTAACATTTTATTTAATTTACACACGCGACTTATTGAAGTATTACACTTTATAAATGATAATGTGTTTTACAGAAAAAATAATATTTACCTTTTCGAGTTGACATGCTCAATGCACATATTAATGCACTCTAAGGGTGGATGTTTTTTGCATTACGTATCGAAATAAATCGTACATTTTCTACGGTGCACGGAAAATATTGAATCATGAATATGTTTTTAGATTAGATAAATGCCCCTTCCCATTCTGTTCTTTCTTACTTTACCCTCCGGCCTCATTTCTTCTCCTCCCCCCTAATTTCATTTACCCTTTTCCTTCAATTCTTCAAATCTAGATTAAATGTAATCCCTTATTAACTTACTCTTATCAAACGTGACAGATTTATTGCATAGAGTAATATAGATGAGTCCTTCCCTAAATCGCTACATTGACACAACAACTATCTCGTTTTGATAGTTTGGCAATAGACATAAAAACAAATTTGTATGTATAAAAATTATATTTTAACAACCTGCTCTCATAACGTACATGGCGTAATAAGCACAATTTTAGATAATAAAACCTTAAATCATGGTATTAGTTACATTAAACACATTTTTTGATCAGTCATCAAAGTAATGATGAGGGGGTGTGAAGCCCTTGCGGGTCATTTTAGGAAGAAAAACGCCAGCCCCCCAAAAAATTAATCAAATCTCCGCCTATGTTTACTAATTACCTTATAAAACTTTTATCTATTGGACTGCATTGTAAAAAGCATACTTGTCGAGTTTACTTGTCGAATTAGCATCATACATTTTCCGCTACCGTTTTTCCCACACCGTTTTTGACTGTGACAGTAGACACTGATTATGTAGTTATATATTTATATTTTATTTTAACATGGAACATGTAAAGAAAAGGGAACCTACCATGTCATAATTCCAAAAACTCCATCATGCAGGACTTAATGATTATGGTTCACGACACTCGGAATCGAGCTACGAATAAGAAGGAGAAGTCTTTAACTTTTGAACTATAATAGTTCAAAAAAAAAAATCGGTAGGTACACCAGCTCCCATTAAAATACCAGCAGTAAATTAATGGTCATACAAAAACAAATTTCGCCTAAACTCTTAGATGTGTTTTATTACAATCGTAAGTATAAAAATAAATGTATGATGATAAAGTGGCACATTATGTTTCCGGGTTTCCCTATGAGCACAAAATCTTTAAAATATATCAATATAAATATACAGCATATATCAAATATGAGAACACGATTAAAAAATTAGTAATTAATTGTATATTTTATACACATTATACTATTACATTTTATATTATAAAGCTATTCTAATAGATATCACTCTAAAAATATAAATAGGTTTATTCTTCTGCTCAACCCAGGACAACATTATTTGAACGAAAAACATGAAAATTTATTTGTAAAATTTCAATTGTCTTTTTTTATATAGTGTTATGCTGGAAGAATGTCTATTGGGGCCTAGTAGTTCAGTCGCCTGGTGTTAACATTTTAATTGCATCATTTTGAAAATTCGCGTCTCTCAAAAAGAAAAGCTGGCCGTTGACGGATAGTGTTCGCCGTATCCACTCGACAGGCCACTCTATCTCACGTAAGTCGTAACAATTAACTGTTAATACTTAAGAAGTCTCATACCTACTCTCAATACTTATACAATTTCATATAAGTTATAACTTCATAATAATTAATAATCATTAACCGATAATATATCAATTGGTAACATCATATTACAGTAAAACAATTATTATACATTCACATGTTTGATAATTTTATTTTTAAAAACTGAATTCCCTCAACCATAAAAAAAACATTTGATTACATTTAATTTTCTACAAATTATTATCTTTTATATGTTCAGTTTTAATATTACTGTAAGTTGGCAAAATACTTTTTTGTTCACAAGTTAAAATCTGTAAAAAATAATATTTATAAAAGAACAAGTATCATAATATTATACCTAGTGTATTTTGTTGGTCATGCACACCGTCGAATATAATAACATTACTAAGATATTAAAATGTCAATACCTATACATAACAATAAGTATACTAAACATACTTTGTAAATCGTAGTTTATGTGATATTATCAACACATGTTCACCACAACTGTCTAAATAACAATATACCGTCTACCCGTTGATCGTATAGTACACCTGCACTATCTACCACTCTCTCTCTTATCATATTGTACACAGAGGGTGTAGGTACACGTGTTCTCATCACACATCATTTCTATTATAAATTAATCCGCTATTATACAGCCCGAATTAATTTTGTAGGCAGGACTCCATGACGTAATATGTATATTGCGACATTCTGATTAAAATTCCATGGATTCACGCTGTTCATATTATCTAATTTATTTCGATTGACGCGTGTATTAATGGTATGTTTAATCGACGATAATATTTTGTAGTATCCTCACCCTGAAGTCGACGCCGACTGTAGAAATATAATTTCCACCCAAGAACATATCATCTCTAAAACGGACTAGTAAGCAGGTCTTCCCCACTCCTGAATCGCCGAGAACCATTACCTAAACAAGTATAAAATATTACGATAGGTACCTAATACATTGATAAATTATTAAATGAAACGCACAGGGGAAGAAGGGTAGCAGTCCATTTATAACATTTTTTTTTCAAATAGTATTTTTAATATATTTAAGTAATATTTTTTATTTAAATAAATCGATTGTTTAAATAAATACATTTTTTAGTAGAATAGCACTTATTGTAATTCTTATGTAAGAGGGAGAGGAATTCACGAACTTTGTTTTTGCTATACTCTAAAATGTTCATACATGGACTACTTACCCTTCTTCCCCTGTGCCCTTCAAATATAAAACGTTATAACGTAAAACTACAATAGAAGATAAATTTATAATTATTTTACAAGCAAGATACTTGAAAGACATTTTATAATTTAAATATTGTTATTTGAAAAAATTAACAATTTATTTTTTGTTGACAATTTAATAATTAAATTCTGATATCTGATTGGTGATTTTTTTGTTTTTTTACTAAGTAATCGCTAACCTGGGAGAGAACTGTTTACACACTACTTCCTCCCAGGAAATGATTGGTTGATCTGGTATCAAAGTAAAGCTAATTTTAGATTATTCTTATTTTGTAAAATAAGTTTCAAAAAATAATTATGTTTTACAAGTATAAACATAATACATTATAACCATCTTGATAGAAAAAATAAATTGTTTTTAAGGTAACTGGGATAATTTTAGGATTAAAAGATAGGATTCAAGGTGTTGGACAAAGAACTTTGTTAAATTAAAAACAGGGAACAGTTTACAAATAAAACATAATTAATAAAATAAAATTAGTAAAACTAAACATATTATAATGTTATAATAAAGTAATTTAAATAAACAGTGTGATAAAAAATATATCTAATAAAAAAAACCCTTATTTTAATTTCTACACAAACGATATGAAATATAGCCTAATTTATTTGTTTATATTTTGTGGAATAATAATATCAAATATGTGGATGAACAAGTTAAATCAATATAATAACCAACGTACCTACCTACAGAAAATATCATCATACATTAAAATACCATCTGCGGAATAAGGGTCGATCTGCTTATTATGAAAGAAAGAGATTATCATTATATTTTAAATTAAAAAAATGCATTCATAATGTAAGTAACCTCTTGTCTCGTTTTAACATAGTTTGTAAGCGCAGGTGTTTTGATAATAATATCTTATAGATAGGATAAAATGTATTTTATTTAAAAAAAATTCTTCCCTATTGAAATTATAATTTACTTTTATTTTTAGCTTACAATTATTTATTACAAGTTGATTTTGTGCCATTATTAAAATATAGTAAATAGTAAATCTACATGGTTTATGGTATAATATGGTTCATAAACTATGATATAGGTCAGTTAGTTTTATTTTACGTATGATTTACTGTTGTTAATTAACTTTTACAAAAAATATTAATTTAAATTATTAATACGTTACCATTAATTATTAATTATTTTTAATATATTAGCTTTTAATTGTATTATTAATTGTGGAGTATGTAATAACTAATAATACTAACAGTTTTATAAAACAACAGTTTATTAATAAACAAATTTAATGTAAATTTAATACTTTGTAATTAATAACTCCATATTTTTTGGTTATATTTTAAAATATATTTACCTAAAAATTACGATATTCTATACTATTGCTGTTCCTAAGAATACCCCGACTTAAGTTTTGAACAAATTTTCGAGTTCTTCAAAACATTTTCAAGGCATCGGTCGTGGCACGATTTTAAAATTATTTTCAGTTAATTAATTATTTCAGTTGAAAAACGTTAAAAATTGTATTTTTTATATTGTAATAATTAATTAACTGAAAATAATTTAAAAATTGTGCCACGACCGATGGTAACGTATGTTATGGACAGTATACGTTTGAAGTAGAAACATGTGTTTTTGTGCAAAAATAAATCCTATATGCGTTATTGAAGTTGAAAAAAAAAATTATCGAAATAGATACGTCTTTCCTATGGTAATATGAATGTTTAAAAAATTTTAGCTTCAAGGTTTAGCGAAAAATTGCCTATACAATGCGCCTTAATAAATGCTAGTGTAGAAGCCTCTTAAACATTATTTAACATAGTATGCCACGACTTTTAAGTTTTGTATTTAACTATACTTTATTCAAAATAAGAATGGATTGTCCGCTAGATTGCTTAATTTAACTTAATATAACTCGTACGATAATAAGATAAACGCCCTCTGTCTAAACTTTGGTGCATAATTATTAATTATTCTCTAGTCTCACTTTGATAAGAGTGTGCTGTGATATTCCTTTCGCAAAAATAAACCACTTAGGCCTTTCACCAAATTCCTTAGACTTCTTCCTATTATTCTTATTGTTTATAATTATATGTATCTTTTGAATCAAGAATATGCTATTCATAATTGATACACATACTTAAGTCATAACATCAGTTGCGGGCCCAAGTTAGTTTAGTGATACAACTGTGAACTGAACCACAATTATTAATATTTGGTGAAATTGGCTTCAGTTTTTAGATTACAAAAATTGATTGGAGTCTCAAAATGTATAGTATATTATATTATTAACAGCTGTAACTACACACCACACGCCCAGTCAGCAGTACTAAGGATGAAATGGTATTTAGCCGATTGAAACTAATTAAGAGGTTTTTACGGTCAACTATAGAGAAAAAAATATTTTCCAATTAATTTCATTATAAAATTATAAAAAAACAAATTATACTACAAAACTTTTTTTCAGAAAACTGAGAAAATTTTACATAAAATATGTAAATTTCAAATTGGGATCTCTGTAAAAACGCTTTAAAAAAAAAAAAAGGTAAAAATGCATAAAAAAGTTGACAAAATGGAAAATTATCTTATATTTACACTACATTTTTTCAAATATTTTGAATACTGTCGTCGTTTTTGACTTCCAATGTATTTTTACCTCTTTTTTTTTTTGTTGCATTTTGACCTATATGTTCTGTGACTATTGAGTATAGAAGGATCGTTTACTTTTGAAAGGAGTCAAATTCGTATCATAGTTCATTTTATGATGGCGATTGTGAAGTTAGAAAAAAAATTCCTATTAATGATTTATATATTTTTATAAACATTTGTTTAAAAGTCAAATAACATGTATTGGTAAAGTTTTGGTTTACATCAATCATTACACACAATCCCGTTTATGATTTACTAATTGTATTTATGAAAAGAGTTAAGTAACTGTTTGCTAATGAAAGGGTTAAATTTGTTCAATCAAAACTATTACTATAGATTAAAAATAAGTTTGTAAAATTGGAGTTAACAAATTTAAATAAGTATAGTGCATAAGAATTTAAAATATTTTATTGTAATTCTATCAAGTTAAATAGCATTTGAAAATCAGTTATTTTTAATTTTCCGAAAGTTTAACTTTTTGGACCAAACTACTGAAAAAATCTTACGAAACGATATAAACTTTTATGAAATTATATTAAATGTCTGAGTATAAATATAGTACAAAAAAATTGTTTTAAAACAATATTGAGTGAGAAAAATTATCAATTTTTTTAGTTTTTTCATTAAATTTATAAGTTTTAATAACTTTGATACATAACTAAAAACTGTATCTAAAATGATTATTGACGAGTTTTTTTTATAAGGCTAGTATTTTGTAAAAAAAATTTGCAATTCCACCCCTAATACACGTTTTATTTAATTTAAAAAATAGTAACACGTAGTAATAATAATGCCTATGTACAATTCAAATTTCAATTAAGTTAAGTTCTATTATTATTTCAAAGAATTTCGTAACTAACCTCAACCGAGCTTGTTTTACTCACTTTGAAAAACCAATCACAATTTGAATCGGGATGTGGTTGGAACGGAGTCCTCTTGTGTTGCTGTTGACAATAGTACTTGTTGCCACTGACGTTTCCGCTAGAAGCCCAAGAAGCTGTTCTATCATTGCTAGTGCCGACCGACCCGTTACTGGCTATTGGCGTCTCGGTGACCTGCACCAGCGAGTCTGGCTTAACCGAGGTCCTTCTTTTGGACACCATTTTCCGTTCGAACACCCGTTCCGTCGACATGGTATAAAACCGGTATTTGTTCGTGCAATTTAATAGTATTTATATTACATTAGAATCACTGCACAGATGTGAACGTCACCACTGATTGTTCGAAAAACATGATAAAACAAAAACAAGTGAATAGGTGGTAACGAGAAAAAAACCGCTTTCAGCGAAAATATAGTTTAGTCGGCACTGGCAATCGGCACGCGAGCTGTAGTGGCGCTTAAACACTTGTGGCATTCGAATTAACGCCGTCGCCTTCACCGCCAACCCGACAGTACAGTGTGCAACACAAATACAGTAGTTAAACCGAAAACCCAGCAGAAATGTTGCACCGGTACCTGCCTGTCAGTTTTCCGGACGTATCTATATTACCACCAAGAGCTATACTGTTAATGTACGAAACTTTCGTTAAACTAATCTAGTATCGCATTATCTATTATATTTACTTATTAGTTATTATTTAAATGTATACCAAGTAATTACATTTTATAGGTCAAAAATACTACAATTATATGGGTTACCATATATTTGGGTAACTTTGATAATTGTTTTTTGTTTTTAGTTCTTTTAATAGTCATGACAAGGTTATTAATCCTGGATTACTAGATTATTTTTTTAGTTGATCGAAGTAATTTAGGTTTACAGGATTTAAAATAATCCATTATTCCAATAGGCGAAAGAACTAAATAGCCCGTTTTAAGCCTTACAAAGAGAGAGAATATTGTTGTAGCACAACCCAAGTTAGTACTCACATTATGCGTAATATTTACTTCAATAAAATAACGATAAATTGTATAGTTAATTTGAAGAATTAGTTCTAATAATATAAATAAAAATTTGTTATAAGGTATTTTCAGATATAATACCTATATTTAAAAATTGCATAAAATGTTGTACACATCCAGACTATTTAATCATTTACGTAGATGCTCTATTTCTCTGACAATAATCAGTGTAATATAGTATATTATACATAGTACTTATTAGTATGCAATTCGGTCATATTTATCTTTCTAGATTTTTCTTTTAGTAACGTTTGGAACAATTGATAGCTTTTCTTGCACTTTTAACCCTTTCAGACCCAAAGTCATTGTTAAAACAACCCTACTAAAAAATGTTGTTATTGACAAATAAGTTAACTAAAAAGTTCTAAGTAAAAATATGACAAAAAAACTTTTTCTCCCACTAAAATAAGTATAGGTCCGAATGGTTAAGTATTCCGTTTATATAACAGAAAATCGTGACCGATAATCGCTTATTCATGTGGACGTACTTATTTTAAACAAATATTTACTAATATTTAATCGAGTTTTAATACAAATAGTTTAACATACTGCTCCGCATCGATGTGAGAACAATCAAATTGTAGTGTAAGTAGTATATTAAGTATGAAAAGTATACATACCGTAAAACCTATTCCAACAGTTGCAGAAAAATTGCCAGTCTGAAATTGTCCAGTATCAAAGCGAACTAATAATGAAGTTTTGCCCACTCCACTGTCGCCTAATAAAATAGTCTGAAAAAATAATTTTATAGTCAAAAGAATATCAAAAAGAAAGTTAATCAAAATCAGTCAAACAATTTATGAATGCGAAAAAATAATATTAATACAAATGAGCTAAATGTTTAAAACCCGATGTATTTGCACACAACACATTTTTCAAATAGTTCTATAAATTTAACACTTTTTCTTAAATACACATATCATATTCTGGTCAGGTGGCACTGCTGAGAGCCTTCCTATTCCTACATTATTAAATATTGTCACAGTATCTTTGTCATCAGACTTGCTGATTATACATTTGTATAGATTGTAAAAAAAAATAAAATAAATAAATACACATATATTTACAATGTACATTTTAGTTTTTGATTTAATTTGTTCTTAAATTTCCAAAAAAATTGTTATAAATATTTCCTTGTTAAATTGATTTTGCCACATATTTTTGACTTTTAAATAACAATAGCTTACATATTTGATTATTTTAGTAATGCAATAATTTTCTTCTATAACTAATGCCTTAAACTTCAGTTAAAAATAATTTTACATTTATGCAAAAAGATAGTTATGTACCTACTATACCTCTTGCTGTTACTTTTAAAAAATGAATAAGTAAAAATTAGTTATCAATCTAAAACCAATCATTATATTTTATAGTAATATTCTATAATCAAAATTGTATTTTTACAATGTCAGACTATGTATAGTGACCAAAACGTTTAAATTTATTAAAATTTGAAAGCATTTGTCGATTTAAATGGATTCTTGGATCTACTAAATCAAAATTTACTGCTAAAAATATGAAATTCTAGATCATTCTTAGAACTAAAAATATTCAGTGGTAACACTAAAGTTTAAAGCGGCTTTTGATATAATCTTTCTCTAATTTATTGAACATTCACTTTTAAAATAGGCATATATGTCTGCTGTTTTTTAATTTTTGATATTTAAAAACTCGCTCCAAAAAGAACATTGATTTCCTAAGAGAGCCGTGCAAGAATCGTATTTTCTCGTAAATATTACTTATGCTTCAAAATGATAAACGAAATTCTATAAAAACATTATGACAGTTAAATGACAAATGTGGCCGAGGCACCTATTTTTTTAATATTAGAAACCAACCTTGTGGGAGCAGTCATTGAAATTGAAAAAAAAACCTGAAAAATTAGGATTTTGTGGTTAGTTTATTAATCGAAATGTGAGTCGTTGTTAAATTCAAAAAACGTTTGTCGAAAAAAGTATTTTAAAGTACATTTTACCAAAATTATTTATAGTGACTTAAGTTTAAAATTATTTATGTTAATTTTTTTTTTATAGATATGTGTTCAATAAAATAATGATTTGGCCGAGTTATTATTTTTTTGTTATTATAGGTTAAACGTAACTTTAGGGAGGGGAGGTCACGTCTTTATTTACTACTTGATTTTACCTATTAACAACTTAAGGTTAGGTTATACTAAACTTAATAATGAACACGAAATAGATTTAATATTATAAAATATAAAATATTTTTTTAAGAAAGTAACAAATAATTGAAAAGTTTAATAGTTAACATTTTTATGGTCAAAAAATATTTGTTTAAACATTTTCATGAACTTTAAAGTTAATAATTTAATACTTTGATGTCAGGGTAACATTACGTTCCATAGATTGATAGACATACAAAATAACGCTTAACAATAGGACAATTTATGTCAACTAAAGTCGTCTAGTGTATTACAGGTTTTAGTGGATTATATTATAATTCCTAGAATGAAGATTAACATTGTGTTTACAATGTGTTAAATTTTAAAACACTCATTAATAGCGATTGACAGACTAGCTGCTAGATTTATTTTAACCATAAAGTATAAAAACAATATTTACCTTGTGTACAATTTTTAAAGATGGGTCAGAAGGGTTTCTAGTAGTTTTGTGAGGTTTATAGTCCCTGTATCCAGTCGACGAAGGCGTTTTGCCGTAATTCGTTTTATTAGTTGATAATTTATTGGCGTCAGGGTTACTTTCAGCTTCTTCGACACTTTCAAAAACGTCATCACTCATAGTGTCGTCCAACGACGACATCGCCAACACTGGTGTTTTTATCTAAGAATAATAAACACGTTTTTATTGGAAAACAATTCTTCAGAATTTTATACCGCATATAATTAGAAAGAAAATAATGAAGAATGTCAATAGCCAAAGATACTAAGGCTAAATTAAACTATAAGTAGTTTCAACTGAAAATTTAGTTAAGTCAACTTTAATTTAATTATCTTAATGTTCGGTAAGAGTTGCAACCAAAAATAGTTTTACAAAAAACAAATATTATGAATACCGAATTATTATGACAACTATTAAAATTATAAGGCATGACAATTAAATTTAAAAGAAGTCAGTAATAAGTTTGTTTAAATTTATGCTCGAAAAGTTGAACTTTAAGTATACACTATGCACATAATGTTATTATTTTTTTTTAATAAATGTAGACATAATAAACATTTGATATTATTTTGTATTAGCTTCTAACTTCAAACCATCATTATATAATAATGTATTTATTATTATTATTTAATTTCTATATTTGAGGAGGATTTGGGCCTTCAAGTTTTACGCTACGCCACTGGTTATTGCAATTTCAGAGTTGAAAGATAATGTCCACATTGTTTTTTAACACTTTATATTATTATTATCATATGGCTTCTTTTGACCGAGAGGCGAGAACAGAAGCTTATAAGACCTAAGATCGGTCGGCTCGGAGGAGGATGCAAGTTTCTCTTCAAGGTAGACCTAGTCAACGTATTACCGCTTTACCCACTCAGTTACTCGTCTTTAGTTCTTATAAATGTTGTATACATAAAAACCATTTTTCCTTATACTTCGCATAATAATAACAGTAATGATGAATATTTTCTTATCACAAATCATCCTATCACAGAGAAGTCATGGGTATTAGACAATAAGACAATATTATGTTGTCTTGTTTTATGTTGAATTACTCAATTTTGTCATATATATTTTAAAATATGACTACCTGCTATAAACATAAGTACGTACGTAATTAACAGAATACTAACACTAAGAATGATAATAACTAAATAATAACAGTACCTTTTTCATAATCAAACGATATCCTTTTTGAATTAACAAACTTTCACTTTCCAATTCGTGTAAATATTGGTGAATTTTCGCTTTCGTTGAGGTGGATGAAAAAATAACTGATGCATATTTCTTAATAATATACTTTTGCGGATGTGTTACTCATAGAGACACTTGTTGTATTATGCAGTGAAACTTAGGGATGACAAATAAAACTGGAGCGAACACAATCAATTTTGGGAGTTTCCCCAATCCGGCAGCGCATGCTCTGTTACCCTTTGACCCAGTGAGTAACTATTGATAAACCTTCATCTTATAAGTCACAGCTGTTCGATTCGTTTTTTAGGAATTTGTTCGATAATCAAAATATCTAAAAGTTTTGAACAGTTGATAATTGACATGAACATTCTAATACAATAGGTTCTAGATTGTTTGATTAATATTAATTGTATTTATAACAAAGCCGGATAGCGAATTTGTCAAGACAAATCTTATGATGACAGCGTTCAGCCTTCAAGGCCTGTTAATCTACACGATGATGTTATAAAACGGTAAAAAAAATCCTGAAACCCTTATCAAATAACACCAGAAAAATAAAAAAAGGCTATTACTAGTTTTTATAAAAACCCAAAATCAAAACCTATCAATACAGTAAATTAAAAGTTTTTCTGAGCAAAAAATATATATACGCATAACTTTGGCCTCAGACATACTAGAATAAATACTTTTATTACGAAAAATTCAGAAGTTTCACTTTATACTTGTTAAAAAAAAAAATAATAAAAAAAAACTTTTTTAAAACCATGCTTTTCTAAAAAAAATTAGTAAAAAGTGAACTAATAAGTAAAAAATAATTTTATTACAAGAACCATTTATCAATAAATTGTAAGGCATTTTATTTAAAATGTCAATTTAAGGCCCACGCTTTTCTTTTTTAGTCAAAAATTAAAGATTTTTAACATTATTTAAAATTGTAGTTTTTCGGTTTTTTTCAAAGTAATTGTCATTTTAAATAAAATGTGCTACAATTTATTGCTAAATGGTTCTTGTAATAAAATTATTTTTTACTTTTTAGTTCACGTTTTACTATATTTTTTTTAGAAAAGCATGTTTTTAAAAAAGTTTTTTTTTAATTATTTATTTTATTTTCTACTTTGTAGTTCTATTAAATGTACTTAATAATTGGTGAATAGATTACTAAATTCATTTTAGAAGATTTAAAAAAAATAGAATTTTAGTGAAATGACCCCCACATTTGACCCTGTGTAGGGCGACCTGGACGTCCAAATCCAAATATGATTACAGAATATTGTATTGTCATCCGAGATGAGTGTCTGTGCCAAGTTTCAGCTTTCTACGACATCGGGAAGTGTTAAATTAATTTTGCAAGATTTGAAAATTATCCGTACAAATGTACGTACGTGTTAGCAAGCTAAAGAAAAGCATGTAAAAAGTAGCCAAAATTACATATTATTATAATATATGTTTTATAAAACTCGGGTACCCAAAATAATAAAAAATGTTGAAAACCGGTATTCAACACAAAGCTATTTTATTTAATACCTTCTTTATTCTACACCTAAACCCAGATTCTCGAATGAAATTAATTCCAATACAGCATTTTCGTAATGTAATAAACGCTGATACGGGAAATTATTTATTATTATTTAATTTTATTAATAATTATTACATTGGGGTCGGGACATTATGGGGACGGAGCATGTTGGGGCGAAGGAAGTCATATCTATATAAATAATTACAACTAAAATTACTTTCAAATAAATGCTTTGATGCGAATCTGTACTAGTATAAAATATACAAACATCGATAATAGGCTATTATTAATAGCTTTGTACCCAATGAAAATAATGTTCATAAAATCATATGTTTAGTAGTGCGGTGGATCATACGATTAGGGTTGATCGTCTAAAATACAAATATTTAAAAATACCTGTTGGCTGTTGATTCACTCACATGTAACAAACATAAAAATTGACTACGGTCAAAGTATAATTTTTTTGGTTTTGAATTGCCCAATGCCCCTATTCTATATTTACCTTCGGTTTAATTTTTTAACCTTAACCTGAAAACTTTACCTATAAAAGCGAAGTAAAGAAGGATTACCTTTCAACAAGTTAGCTCTTTTAAATATCTAGGCGTTAATGTAAACAATACAAATTGTATGTACGAAGAAATTAAGCTACGCCTTAAGTCTGCTAACAGAGCGTACTTCGATATGGTTTCAATGTTCAAATCTAGGTTACTGTCTAGAAAAACCAAAGAGAATCTGTACACAATTTATTTAAGACCAATTGCTACTTATGGATGCAACACATGGGTTACAACAGCAGGCGATTACAATAAACTTATCATCTTTGAGAGGAACATAGAAAAATGTATGGCCTTGTTTTCGACGACAATAAGCAAAGATGGTTAAGGAGATCAAATGAAGAATTGAAGATTCTGTATACGAAAGAGGATATAGTGCAGTTTGTAAGAAGTTCAAGACTTGCGTGGGCTGGTCATGCGTGGAGGGCTGATGGTTCCCTTTTAAAGATGGTAATGGTAAATAGATCGGAAAAGACCAAGGGGACGTCCAAGACAAAGATGGCCTGATGTTGTTAAGATCTGCAGAAGTTAAAAACGGATTGGAACGGAAACTTGGATCTAGCTTACGCTCGAGAAGTATGGGGTCAATTGGTTTTAAAAGCAAATAGCCTAAATGGGTCGTAAAAGCTTAAAAAAAAAAGTACAAGGTAAGTATCATTGAAATTTGGAAATTAATTTCTTTAAGTTATCACGCTATTGATCGTTCAACGACCATTCTTATAAACTATAATTAACTAAAACTATTTAATAGGCTGTTTTGAGCTAATCCGACCTTCCTTTCCCAACATATTCATTTGTCAATTGTCTGTAATCGCCATGTCGATCGCTATCTCTATCCAGCTATAGCCGTTCACGTTTAACGTACGCATACGTGCTGTAGTTTTACTGAGCATGTAGTACATACACATAAATAACACAAAAAAGGACATTAATAATACCCCCGGGTGTTTACAGCCAACGCATCGTTTCAATGTGAATTTCTATAATTATTTGGGCACGGGCGCACAAGCGACGGCTGATCGGACAGGCGACAGATGTTTCAGCACGTGAACAGCTTGCGTTCTGCCGCCACCGCTGTCGGTATTCGGCTATAGACTATAGTAGTTCTGGGCCGATGTTCACACAGGGTCTGCCGATCCATTGGGGTTCTTCGTCGTCTCTTAATATGGAGCAGGGCAATCGACGAACAATGTCATTACTCCCTCGTCGTTATATGAAATGCGTTTAAATTAAATTTCTTTTATCCTTCTATTGTTATTATTCAAAGTATTAAATAGGAGCAGAGGCAGAGAGAGGCATCCGAATTGAAGAACAATTGGAACGGTCGTCTTATGGTCCGACAACGACCGTAGCGCGTAGAACGTGCCCTTTGAAATGGGTTGTCGCGGTAGCTACGCGGGCTACGTCCAACGCGTGTAGCGTATATAGAAGTGTCCGCGCCACACAATGACGACGGAGTTGATAATGCCGCCAGTTTCATCTGCCTACCTATTTACTCTACACCCGTCCCGCCAAAGCAGTATATATACATAATAATCGGATAGCCGAAAAAACAAGAATTCTTATTCGAGCGATTCACATTTCCCGTGAATACATGCAAACACGTTGTACATCTGCTCTGGTTGGTCTCTGGTAATCGCGTTCGAGAGATTTCAGAACACCGGCAGTTGTGAATCCGGCGTGAGCCACGAAACTTGTCGTTGATTATTTTAAGCACAATAATTTAAAAAAAAAAATACTTAAGTATTGCGCAAACTAATTTCTTTTTTACCCCCGCCCTACCGTCAAGCACGTACATATTATAGTGACTGTCGTACTTAATACTTGATTACAGTTTGAACGATCAACGGCCGTCGGTGAATCCTTACTAGGATCTGCCGCTTTGGATTTTTTCGATTCGCGTACTCCACTGACAATGACGAACATGTTACGATTTACAAATAAAATAATAAAAAATGTATACAATCGTTTTCACACAAAAACTCGGCAAGAGTTTATCGATAGTGTGTGACTGAGTTAATTAAACCGTCTTTAAAAAACAATTTATATCGTATGGTCGTAGACACTGCACTGCACGCGCGGAGACAGCGGTACTTGATACGGTTGGTCACACTAGATTATACGTTGTGATTCGCGTGCGTGTGCGTTCGACGTAAATATTTGTTGTGTTTACATGTTGTTGTTAATAAAGGTGTAATATCGTATATTTATTATTTTTTACACTTGTTTGTAGTTTGTACACGAAATTGCGATGGACGATACGCTGAAGTGGCGAGTAATTTGTTGTTTGTGATCAGTTATCTTTACCGTTTGTGATTGCCGCCAAAGCCGGGACCGCGATTTTCGTTGTTTTAACTAGTCTTTCACCAGCAACTGTTATTTATTAGTTATATTTGAATTACAAAGTTAGAAATTGGAAATGGGCGACCGTGTCTACGCAGCCGAAAAATTAATGAAAAAACGAGTTAGAAAGGTAAAGTGAAAATAAAAAAATAAAAAATATTCGTTGTTGTGCCATCAAACAAGTGTCGACTTCTACTTTTTATTTTTGACAGTTAGGAATCGAATTTTCGATAATCCAACACTTAAATGTACCTAGTTAAGATTTTCTACCTTCATAGTGGGTATTATGTATAATGCCCGTTGCAAACTAAACAAAAAAATTGTCAAAAACTAATCAATATCTCAATATTGGTTCGATTCTCAGCACAGTGCAAGAATTTCTTGTGGTATAACAAAACTTAATGTGCCGTCATTTGATTTAACTACACCATTATCCCCACTAGGAGTAACTTCCCATACTTATCTTCTAACTTAATGAAGTTTAGTTGTACTTTATCACTAACACATATTCAAAAGTTTTATTAAATACCATAGGACCGTTACAATACATTTTCCTTCAGAATCTATTCTTCTTCTTCGGGCAAACGGCCGCTAGGACCATCCCGTCAAACACCCCTCCAGGGGAACGCTAATCTAGCGTGACGGGTATGGCGAACCCGGGGCCCCGAGCTATGAACTGGACTTGCTTTAATTAGCTGGTCCAGTTCTCTCTACTCTGACCTTAATTGGTTGGAGTAGACTGGCCCTCCAAATTGGAGGTTAAGCGCAGAGCTAACGACCCTGCCTTGTAAAAAAAACTAACGTTCAGGACTCAAACACCAAGCCTTCAGAATCTATAACATTTTTTCAATCAGACGACTTCCAAATTTTTAACTTTCTGCATATTGTCTTCTTTTAGTAATAATTATGATTGTATGTAAAAATGTTGTTTAACAATTGCTAAAACCTTAGGTTATTATTCAAGTCTCATTTTATTTGATTTAATGAATTTAAGTTACAAAATGCAATGTAGTCAGTCCAGCAAGAATACGTCAACACAGAAACCAAAACGCATTATGCTCATATGCATTTTGTGTTTTCATTAGTTTTAAAACTTTGAATAAATTGTTTAAAAAAACTTGTAGGTTGTAACTGTAATGTATAATATTTTTTAAATTAAATAATTAATATGTATTTTATGTTTTTAATTTTAGGGCAGAGTTGAATATCATGTAAAGTGGAAAGGCTGGGGACCTAAGTATGTTAAGCAATATTTGTTTTACGACCATATAATATGGGATGAATATATTATATAATTTTTAACTTCATTTTTAGGCATAACACCTGGGAACCAGAAGAAAACATAATTGATACAAGGCTCATTGACATTTTTGAACAAAGGTAAGACAATTATCTATTGTATGTTAAGTGACTATGAGATACTTAATTTTATACTTAACTGGCATACCTATTTATATTATTTAGATATTTAAAATAATAATTAATGATTTGCTAATAAACTCTGTATCACAAAAGAGCATACTTGCGCAGAAACCATTACTCCTGGCTGTGCTAGCGTATATGAGAGTAATGCATTTTCATTTTTGTGCAGTTATACTCTCTCACACAACGAAGTGTATATGAAGTATATTATATACTTTTCTTTAATTTTTCCTATTCAATTTTTTTCAACTTTAGTTTTTAACTTAATTTGTATGAATAAATTTAAAAAATAATTTATTTTGATATAAATACTAATTCAGAAATATTAATTTGATGTGCCAAAGTTTTTGTTTAACCCTTTCGTTCCTGGAATTTTTTTTTTTTATGTATCGGACTGATTGATTATCAATATAGCTGTGTCGATTTTTTTTATCATTAATTTAAACTAGAACTTGTGTTTAAAGACATTTTTGATAATGATAGTACGTTGTTAATATTTTATTCGATTTTTAAAGTTAATTCCTCGTACAAGGATATCAGTAACAAAAGGGTTAATGAAAGTATCATGTTGTTAAGTATAACACTTTTTTGGCTATTTATAATAATTATTTGGTAAATAATAATATATTTTTTCTAGCCAAACTCGTACTGAAAATAACCCTCATAAACGTGGACCTAAAAGAAAAACACAAAATGTAATGTATTAAAATTTGTTTTGGCTCAGTGTTTTAGAACTCCTTATGTTGGTATACAAATATATACTAAAAACTTAAAAATATATTTTCTAGTCACTTATTGAAACACCAACTGCTGAACCTGCTAGAAGTGATTATGAAGATGAAAATGCAGATGCCGATTATACTAGCCAAGATGAATCTGAAATGTTGCCTGAGTCTACCAATAATGCTCCGTTATTGCCTAGACAAGATGATGAAATTGAAGAAAATAAACCAAGTATGTTATATTTTAAGTTAATTGTTATTGTATGTGAATTTTTTTTTGACTAGCCATTATAATTGCTTGCCAATTTATTTTTTTAGTTTTATTAAAAACCTGTTACTCAATGAGAAGATGCCTAATATTAGTGTCAGGCCAAATAAGTTATAGTAATACGTCATAAATTATAATTAAGACTGTTTTTTATTGCACAAATTACTTAATGCATTTTAAATTCTCCTAATATGATAACAGTCATTTTTATGCTAAACAATATAGATCATAGATACAAAACAACCCTTTATTAATATTTCTTCTAACGTAAATGTATCGTTTTATAACAGATTAATCGTAATAAAATCTAAAAATTTAGTTGTCTTATTAACAAAATAGTTCTAATCTATAGTTAAATGAATGATTGCATAGACTTTGTGTTTACACACACACACACACACACATATATACATACATACATGTTTTAATTTTTTAACTCTAGATGATGATTCAACAGCAGAAATGCCGAAGTTAAATGCTGCAGTTAAAGTAATAATAGATGTGGTGAAGCCGGAAAAAGTAAATGAAGATAAGAAGATACCACCTGAAGAACTTAATGGTATTGAAAAAGAAGGAGAAGAAAAATTACAGTTGTCTGCAAAGCCTATTTGTAATTTATCTGTTCCATCAACTCCCAAACAGTCTTCCAAGTCACCTTCGCCTTTACCAAAACCACATAAGGTTAAACGCAAAGCAGAAGTTTTGTCCAAAGAATCTGGCAAAGTCGGTGTTACTATAACAACAAGTCCTCCTATATCTGAACCTAAAATGCCCAAATTGCAGCAGTCACCTTCAAGTATTCAAAATTCTAATACATCTTTAATACAATCTACTCAAGACGGTGGAAGAACTCCTAAAAGAAAATCGTCTGATCATGCACTTCCTACTGTTTTGCCCAGTCATACTTCTTCACCTTCAGATAATCAACATCTAACGTTGACAGCAATACTTCAGAGTACTCCAACCAATGTTAAATCTAGAGACACCTTAGCTGCAGCTGCACCTATAAGTTCTCGAACTTCTGGTGAACCGGCAAGACCTCAAGAAGATGCCGCAACAGCTGTAACACAAGGTGCTGGTGGCCAACATCAGGTATTGGACACAGCTTCTATTGCGGAAACACCTACTCATCGTATACAGTATAAGACAATATTAGCTAACCCCGGGCCTGAGTATTGGCTTGCACGTAACCCTGTTGTTGATAATGTATTTATTACAGATGTAACGGTAAATTTAAATACAGTTACAATTAGAGAATGTAAAACAGAAAAAGGATTTTTTAAGTCTAATGTTGAGGCTAGGCTTTAAGGAGTCAATTAATGTTGAGTTTTTATTTTATTTTTTAAATATTTAAAGTTAGTGATGTAGAAGCAATATTTTTGTATTACTAATTAGCAAAATAAATGTATTATTATATTAATGATATTTTTAAACAATTTATACAGGGTGATTTATTAGGCTGTGTTTCAAAGTACTGATGTATTATATGTAATGTTAAATTTTTTTGATTTTATTAATGAAATCACAAATATTTTTTGTTCGCTTGAAAAATCATAATAATTCTAAATTGAATTAAGAATTTGCACTTAGTAGCAATAATTTTAAAAAAGAGATCTAGCCTACAAATCACCCTGTATAGTTATAAAGAATATTTCAAATGCTATTTTCTATATTTGATGGAATTTATTAATATGTTGTCATTTGTCTTTTAAATATTCTTCAACTGATCTTTAATACCAAATTATTTTTGACAGATAACTTTTTTGAGCATGTATTGCTTATGTTCTCAACATTATAACTTCAGAGTCAAATTCGTGTGTAACAGTATTTATTGATACTTATAAAATAAGTTCATATTAATATTATCTACAATAACATTTCATATTTCATTTAATGACTTATAAAATGGAACAAAATCTATGTTTTATGTTATTGTTTTTATTACTTAACTAACCACTATAATTTAGTCTATTTATTTCTTTATAAAATTAACCACTGGAAATGTAATTTTCAATTTGGTAATTTGATCTCTATTCTTACTTAACATCTTCCATTTTTAACTGTATTAAACACATCAAATTGATTTCTATGAAACCAAATTTTGTTTATTTATGCTTAGCTTGCGCCACGACGATGGCGCTGGATTTCAAAATCTAACAGATTTAGTATACACATACAGGAGAATATTGTGAGAAATTTAATAAGTATTATGGAGGTAATAATCAAGGTCGTTATTAATTATCTATAGAAAAATGTTTATGAATATTAAATAATTTTTTTTTTTTTATTAAATAATGTTTTATTATTTAAACATTTTAAATGATCCTAGTTGTTATGGGATTATTTTGAGTCGTGTACTGTTTTTGTGCTGATGCCATAAATTTGAACAACAAATTAATTTGTATGTATATTTTCTATTATTTCTAGGTTATTAATTTGTCTAATGATGATAATTTTTAAGTGTTATTTGTTATTTAAACTATGTTTTTCTTCGACGCTTTTATCTTTACACTTATTAATTTATTATTTTATCCTAACATTAATATTATTATCATTAATATTATTTGTATTATTGTTGCACTTTAATTTACTATAATTTATTAGCACTCGCAATTTAAAAGAAAATAATGTAACCTAATTTGCTTTAGAATATATATTGCTGGTGGTGAAAAAAATATATATCTAAGGCGTTCAAATTAATCTATTAAAAACCTCTGAAGTAAATTATTAGAATTTTTAAGCCTACATACAATAGTTATAAATTAAACATATGAATACATAGTTAAGTTGTATTTTATAATTTATGTAATAATTGCGTTATTTTATTGCAGTTCTTATTGAAAAAAAATTAGATAAATGTTTGAACTTGTTGAATATTAAATGTATGAACACAGTTAACATCCCATGCTATTCATGCATATTATCCAATTGTTTTATATCTTTTAATTTTCTACTGGTTAAAATAATCTTCCTGTATTCCCCAAAATTTTATTTTTTGAACTTGTAATAATGACCTAATTTTCTAATATATACCCGTCTCTCTAGTCATGGCCGGTTTTTTCCATTTTAGATCAACAAAATATATTATTTCTTAACTAATGTTTTTTTTTATTATTATTTTTGTACTTTGGAACTGGAACAATTTATTGTTATTTATTGTGAATTTTGACGCAAAAATATTAAATAAAAGGACATCTTAATTGTAGTATTACAATTTTCATATTTTTTTATGTTGCAGTTTTTATTTATTATGTTTCTACTGGTTAACCCGTGTCTTTTTAAATAATAGATACTTATTTATTCTTGTCTACAACTATATTTAAAACGAAATTTTAATCCTTACCAAAACTATACTTTGACTAACATGAAGCATGTATATGAAAAATAGTATACAAATTTGTGATATTTTAGCATATTGAGAATATATTAAAACATTATTTTTAAGATAAATATTGAGTAAAAAATTGAGTATGAGCTAACTGGACTTTCTAAAAACAAAAAAGAATTGTTCTTAACTTGCATGGCTGTGAACTCGCAATATCTCTTTAATCATTTGACCTATTTTTCTGTGTAGAAAGTCTTAGAGGATAGAATCGTACCTGAAAGGTACTTTACTTGAGAACAAGATAAAAAATATATCTTCTTCAAAATCTATAAAATAGATTGTACAGAAGATCTTATAAAAAGAAGTGTACTTGTATATGCTCAACATCTTGCTGTGGCCAGTGGCCCAAACTATAAAAAAGAGCAGAACAGCTGAATTCTTGAAACTGTCTCATCATAATATAATATATATGTAATGTAAAATATTCCTATTTCCATTTATCATTACATGTGGTTATACATTTTTATGACTGTTATGCGTGCGCGCTGTTATCAAATATCAACTATCAATCCTAATCCCTAAAGTTTTAAGACATAATTCATTATGCTATAAAGTAGTTACATTTTAAATTTTAATACTAACATTTCTAAAAAAAATTTTATCGTTGTTACAAAAATACAAGCTTTGGTATTTTGTATTAAATACAGAACATATTTCAAATAATTTTTAGTATAATGATATCGGCCTTAAAAAAACGGTTTCAAGAACAAACCTTATCGGCTGTTGATCTTTATATTAAAACCCTAAACGCTATAGACAACAAGTCTGGCCTCAATGCATTTATATATATTAATAAAAATGGTATTAAGGAAGCTGAAAAGTGCCAACAAAACATATTGAATGGTAATTTGGTTTTCGTAGAATGTAAAAGCATCTTTTTAATGTTTGAACTTACCATGTACTTAGCACTTTACAATTTGTAGGTACATCAAGAATACTGGAAGGTATTCCTATAGCTGTTAAAGACAACTTTTGTACTCGAAACATGCCTACAACCTGTGCATCAAAAACATTACAAAATTTTGTCCCTACTTATGATGCAGCAGTTGTGGATTGTTTGAAATCCGCAGGAGCCGTAATTGTTGGAAAAACCAACATGGATGAATTTGCAATGGGGTTAGTTAGTGCTTTATTTCATTTGATATTATACCAATAGTTTTAATAGTTCTGGAACTGTAGATTCTGCATTTGGGCCAACTAAAAATGTTTGGTGTTCTAAGCCAAATAAATGGCATATAGCCGGTGGCAGTTCTGGTGGAAGTTGTGTTGCAGTAGCCTCTGGAATGTGTGAAATGTAAATATTTTTTCCTTATGAAATTATTGTACATGATATTAACATAAAAATCTAGAGCTTTAGGTTCAGACACCGGCGGCTCAATCAGAAATCCTGCTTCATACTGTGGAATAGTTGGCTATAAACCTAGTTATGGCTTAATCTCACGACATGGCCTAATACCTTTAGTAAATTCAATGGATTGTCCTGGAATTATAGCAAAAACCGTTGATGACATATTTAAGATACTAAGTGTTATTGTTAGAGCAAAAGCGTATGATTCTACTTGTATAGATGTTTGCTTGGATACCGATGAATTTTATAACACTACTTTAATAGAAAATTATCGCATTGCTATACCTGAGGAGTATAATTGTGATAGTCTTTCAGAAGAAGTTAAAGATACTTGGAATTATGTAGCAAGCGTTATTGATAATTCTAAAGCTATTGTTCAAAAGGTTAATATATTCATTTATTATAATAACTTAGTACATATTATGACATAGTTAGAAATAGGGAACAAAGATAAAAAAATGTATGTTTCTTTTGTCTACCTTTATAGCTCAATAAAAGTATAAATATCAGTAAATCTAAAGATTTCAAAATTGAAAAATATTCAATAAGTTTTACTATGGTATAAACTATAAATATATTCCTTTAACTACCACATTCATCTTGGTATTATTATAGTCTCTCTGGCATTCAGCATATTAAGTTTAAAAGACCGTGCCTAAAAAAAAGTAATATTTAATTTGTAATTAATTTTCCTAATATTTTACAATTTATTCTGCATACATATTTCAGTATAAGGCCAATTCCTTATGAACTGTATAATTTCTCATTTTTCTTTAAATTACTAGTACTTATCTATTCATTCTAAACCAAGGCAATTGAGGCCTCTTACAATTTTTTAAGCAATTTACTGCTTGTAGCAGAGCTTGTTTTTAGAATTAATTTTTCTTACATCGGCCTATTCTTCTTGCACGATTGCTGTGGTTGGTTGGTTAGGAAATTGAACCAATTATTTAGTTATATTGACGACTCTTCTTACCTAGATTTCTGCTAGTCAGTATTATATGTGTAAGTGCCCAACTTGAAACAATTTATTACTTGCTTATGACTTATAAAATAAGTTAAATAATAAAAATTAAAATACGTTTGTTATTTTTCCAGTTTTTAAAAACAATCTCTCAAGTCATTAGCCAACAATATAATGAAATTGTATTGTTAATAAATAAATGATAATAATATTAACATCGACACATAACTTGTAGATCTCATTTTATGTTTGACCTTTCATTATAAAGATCAAATAGTGATAAACTAAACAAATTATAGCTTTATTTAAAAGTGAATCATGATCATAATAAATCCTTATTTTTTTATATACTTGCTAAGTTTTCTTTACATCCTAGAAGGCTGCTAAGTCCTCCAGTCTAACACGTAAAACCAGCATGTTCGCTTTGCGGTCAGGGTATATAAAGCCATACAATGCTTTATATAAAAACTAAATAAGTTGTTTAACAAAAAATAATTAATTTTTTAGGTCTCTATGCCTCATACTAGTGCTTCAGTAGCTACTTATTCAGTTTTGAATGCATGTGAAGTTGCCAGTAACATGGCTCGATACACTGGGCTGTTGTATGGATATCGATCATCGTGTGAACATGAAACATTTCAGTCTTTGATAGCAACGAACCGGTTCGACAGTTTAGGGGAAGTAGTTAGATCTCGAATTTTGAGTGGGAACTATTTTCTTTTAAAACGGTAAATATTACATTAAAAAAAATATATATAAATTACATTAATTTAATTAAAAACACTATTTTCACATATTTTTATTTTTAGAAATTATGAGAAATATTATGAACAGTCATTAAAAGTTCGGCGATTAATAGCTAATGATTTTAATAAAGTTTGGCAAAACGGATACAATTTTTTGGTCACACCAACTACGTTAACTACAGCTCCATTATTAAAAGACTTTAAGTCTTTAGACAACCGAACTCAATGTGCTACCCAAGATTACTGTACACAACCAGCAAATATGTCTGGTGAGACTATATTACTTTTGATAAATATATTACTCTTGATAAATTTTTATATTTTTCATCGTTAGGATTAAAAAATGTACAAAAATAATAATATGTGATTATAATCTATTTAAACCTAATTTTTAGTAGTGTAAATATAATTGTATAAATTAAACATAGAAATAGATAAAACAATATATTATATTGTAACATTTTAATACTAACAATTAGTTTACCTTAAACATAAATTTTTATTTTTTGAAGGATGTCCAGCAATTACAATACCAGTTAAATTATCATCTGACCAGATGCCAATCAGTATACAAATAATGGCACCAAATTTTTCTGATGTACGACTATTACAATTTGCCAATTGGTTAGAAGCAAAATTGCAATTTTCCCAAAAACAGTAATTATTAATGCATATAATATATTTATTAATCATCTTTATAATGCATATAAAATTATAATTATAATGTAATTTAAACAACAATTATAGTAGTAGTGTATTTATTGTTATTTTATATCCAAAAAAACTTGAATAATTCAAGTACTATTTTAATAATGACCATTTTAATTGCTCTTTTGCTGATTGGAACACCTTAAAAAAATGATTCAATAATCAATAATTATTAAAGAGTTACTATAAATAACATTTAAATTAACCATATTACTTACTTGAGCAACTGTTTGCTCTCCAATTGGAATGTCATCAGCTCGTAATGCAACTCTTTGAACCACAGCTCCAGAATCAGCTTCCAAAATGATACTAATTAAAGATAAATATTTATAATTGTTTAAATAATTTAAATAAAATATCATCCATTTTACCCATTGTCACATATTTCGTCTAATGCCAACATAACAACATCCAAGTTGTCAAGTACTACACGCTTCTCAACATTTTTTCTAAGGATTTGACTGATTGAGTCATACATACACTGTAGCACACTCATTAAGAGCAACTAAATATAAAAATAAAAACAATTTTAGAAACCATAACAAATATAAGTTTTACATCATATATATATATTTATTTATAACGCACGAGACTAAATAAAAAAATTAAACATAATATGGGTTAAGTAATTTTTGCTTAGATTTTTCAAATATTTTTTTATTTGTGTACAACCTTGGCAACTTTTGGCATTGGCTTTAGTGGTAGGTATTTCAGCTCCTTTATTTTGGGTTATTTACGTTGGACGCGTGCAGTAGGGGATGGACATGGCATGGACCACTACTAAGAATCTTGGGTAGTTATAGATTAGGGTCAAGCAATGACAGATGCGCTTAACTACAAGTGCCAAGTATCGCCTGAATAATGCGTGCCACACTATGCCCCTAAGTTGTCCTATTTTAATACACATATGGTTAATAACTACTTAAATTAATTAATATTAATAATTTCAGCTAACAGCTTCAATATGTTTTAGTATGCTAGGGTGGCCATTCACCCCAGATTTTCGGGACGTTACTAGACATGAATTTAGAAATTCATGTCTGAAGAATGGTGTTGTTATCGGGTTTGACCATTTCCCTGAAAAAACTTACTTATACTTAAGTAGTATAAATTTTAATACTTTCATTATTTTTCTTGAATATTGGAGCAACACGAGTTTTTTATATTCTTTGTGTAAATATCTGTTTATAGTTGAACCAATAATATTTATTATTGATGTTTCAATCAAAATTCGATGATAGAGTAAGATAGTTGTAATATAATAAGATGATTTTTATAATATAATATATAAACAATAAGATAAAATAACTAATAAGATAATTGGTAGTCAAGTCAAGTTGGAATTTATTTTCCTGGATTATTCAAAATTTAATTTGGCCACCCCATTGTATGCAGGTTATATACAAGAATGTAACCAAATTTTGTTTCTATACTTTTCCAAAACTGTACTTTATAACCCAATCCTTCATTATAGTAACATACCCAAACTTTGAATAATGGACACATATATTACCAGTTTAGTACCTAAATATTGAGAAATGGGTACATTTCAGATCTTTATCCAAAAAAACAAACTGGCCAAAATTATCTAATGAAGTTTTATAAATTATTTTTCAGTTTACAAGACTTATATCTTAATTTGAGCTGTCGGGCATCAACATTTCTTGGGTTAGTAAAGAATAGGTTTTTAAGCATTATTCCTTAATTGGTTCAAAAAAAAAACTAAAGATCTGAGTAGGACTTATATTATTTTTGACCGGGGCTAAGCCTAATTGTGTAATGTGTTACATGTGTACTTAATAGGCATAGGCAGGAGTTATGTTCATGACTAAATAAACGGGCATGATTGCTAGTATAGTAGGGTATTTTGTCTTAATTATTTTTAAAATATTTAGTGGGCTTAATTTAGAGGTAACATATAAGTAATGTTTGTTGCTACACAGTATGGGCACAACAGCGTGACTTGATAAGATCAAAATCATTCTAAAACGTCTTATTGCCTGTGTTAATTAAATAAAAAAAAGTAAGAGCTTTGATGACCGAGTTTAAGTCAGAATTTTGCCAAGAAATTATGGAAAGATTTTTTTAATTTTTTTGCAGTCGGTTAAAATACTAAGATTTTTTGAAATTCATCAAACCATTTTTTACATAAGGTCTAGTCACTAGACTCTCGTGTATACTATGTGTACGAAAATATACATGGATCTAAGAGGGGGGGAGTCATGGCCCCTCCGAGAAATTAAAATTTTCTTTCACATTTATTTAAAAGCTGCTAGAAAACGTTGGTTTTTATAAAAGATATTTTAAAGAAACTTACGTAGAGTAAGAAGCTCCCGCGACTGGTCAAAAATAATAAAATAACCCTTATTAACATTAACTTATATTTTATAAGTGTTTCTATTTTTACTTCATTATAGTTTTTTCTAATAAATTTAACTAATTTTCTAATAGCCATATCAAAATAGGCCTTTTAACTTCCATAGTGAAAATAGTAGATATGCCAAAAAATTACTTCCTCGAAAGTCATTTTTACTTATTAATATACTGATTTTTTTTTTTTAAGATTAAGTATTTTTTTTTACTCTGCGCAATTTGACCCCCAAAATGTATTTCTAGATTTAGCCTGACATATATATTTAAATAATTACAATACTCCATGGTATATAATAATAGTACAAACAAACATTATATTATGTTCAAGGGGGGCAGTAAACAATTTTTGTATTATTATTAGTTATAATATCTCATTAACAGCATTAGTCCGGGGCGGATTGGCCCATAGGGAAAGGGGGATTTTTCTTGTGGACCCGGGTCTAGGTCTATCTCTGTAGCTCTCACGTTACCACTCTTTTTTTTTAATATAATAAAATAAGTTCACCATGTAAGTATAACTAAAATTATAAATTATTGTTATTTTTTAACCATATAATAAGTGTTTTAATTTCTGGGTGAAGTATAACTTGTATACAAATGCCTATCCTGCCCTCTACATATAATGCTACAATTTACTCCTTCAGTCATCACTCAAGTAAGTACCATGATGTGAGCATGGTTACTTGAAACTAAAATATTTAAAATCGCATACTTAAGGAGAACCTTGACGCAAGACTCATTAGGCAGTTTTATAATTTATTTATTGAGAAAAGGTTGTTAGACAGTGTAGGCTGATGAAAACATTGATAAGGTGGCTTATAAAACTGTTAACAAATAAAAAAATATATATATATTGAACAATATGAATATTGCTATTGTTACAGTTTCTCATAATCTTCTAGTTTTAAGTTTAACTGCTGTTATTAACAGGTAATGGGAGTGAAGCGAGTACATTTTTTATCCCATTCTGGTAGCCCCCTTAAAATATTTCCCTGTTACAAGCCAAACTATCTATCCGCCCCTGGCATAAGCAGATTTTTTTAACTATTAGTGATGCCATTAAGGTTTTAAGTGATTAATAATACTATTCATATTTATACTTACTTCATTTTCATGAGAACTTCCCATAACATAAAAAAATAAATCAACATTACTTCTGTACAAGCATGTAATACCATCTAACATGATAATCTCTGCATTTGCTCTATGAGTTCGATTAAACAAATTTTTTTCAAATTCTTTTTGCTCCTTTATCGTGGGAAATATATTACCATCATAGTATTTGGCTAAAATGCGATTTCCATCGTTATCCAATATAGCCATACCTTTGATTGTATATAATGTTGGTTCCTAAAATATGAGTACAATATTATATTTGATGAATTAACAACATATTTGTACACACTATTAGTAAAATTATTCTTTTAAATAAGAGAATGCAGTTTACCTACCAACAGAGAACAATCCATTATTATTTTAATTGGAAGCTAAACAATTTCAAACCTTTTATTTCATTATATTATTTAAAATACTAATTAAATTAAATTTTACAACTTTTAATAATATTATTAGAAGTTAGGATTATTGGATTTTATTTATTAGAATGTCGTGTCCAACTGTGATAAAAATTTGTTATCATTTATTTACAACCGTGGCCATAGAATAATAGTTATTCCACGCTATTATGCCACGGCACAGGCTCGGTTCAAGGCATAGACCTATAAAGATTAAAGATATGGACTGCGCCTCCCACACACCCCGCCTATACTGCCACGTTATGAACATTGTTAGAAAGAGATAGATAGTGTTGTTAGGTTTCCCATGGAATAAAAATTGAAAAGACATGGAATATAATAAACAGCAGAATGTTCATTGATAAAATCTGAATGAAATTGTAATGTTTTTTAAGTATTTATTACCAATATACTATACATATCTATTTCAAACAATACATCATACGAAAGTATTGAATACCCGACAAAATAATGAAGTACATATCCTTAAATGCTTTACACAAGGTGGATTAATCCACCTTGGCTTTACAACTTCGAATAACACAATAACTAAATATGGTTTAATTTATATTATTCCATGTCTTTTCAATTTTTATTCCATGGGAAACCTAACAACTTTATCTATCTCTTTCTAACATTGCTTATAACGCGGCAGTATAGGCGGAGTGTGTGGGAGGCGCAGTCCATATCTTTATAGGTCTATGGTTTTAACCGAGTTATACTATTTGGCATTTATATTACCTACATTTACATTTATATATCGCTTCTCCGATGGAACAATGGTGTAAGTGTAAATTTTTGACTTTTTGACTTAATTACGATAACAATTCATTTTAACCCTGGCATAAGTATAATATCTATTATTGACCTCTAGAGAGCAGTTTTGTCGTTTACCATCGTGTATATGGTTAGTGGTTACCATTACACTAAAATTTTAAATCACGTTTCCTGAAGAACAGATAAATTTGCACTTACACCATTGTTCCAACTTCCACCAAAGAAGCGACAACAATTATTTTCATTGTAAATTAATTAAATGGACTCGATGTAGCTAAATGGTTGGGAATTTCCCATTCAGAGAGGTTAAATTTGACTAAAAATAACTAAAGCGAAATAAATTTGTGAACTACCCTAAATTCATATTATACAAATATATTGATAATAATAATTATAATTATTTATTAATTTTTTTTTCAATATCCCATAGATTTTATCGACTTAACTACTCATCACAACTGGAATGAGAGTTATAAATTATAATCAATCTTGAAGGTTTTTTCATATGCTTTTAAACGCCGGTAGTTAGAACCATATATCACCAAAATTTGCAAAGATAATTTAAAAAAATATAGTATAAATTGAGTACAATGTAAATGAAAAATGAAGAATGTCTTTGCGACTAGCCAAAATAAAATCCGTAATTTTTTTCCTTTTACCACACACATTTTTCGTTATGGAGGTGAAAAACAAAAACATAATTTTTGAACCAGTCTAATACATTTAACATATTTTTATATACGTACCTATATATTTTATTTACTTTCATTCTTATTGCTTTTTTGTTAATGCAGTATTTGTTGTTAAAATATTATAATTTGGTAAATTGTTGTAAAATTAGATTTGATTGACTTAAGAGAAATAAAATTAATTTGATTTGGCATCAACACTCATAATTAAATTCTTTCATTTTTTTAGTAAAATATTTAATAAATTACTTTTAATCTGTAAGTCAAAAGTTCAAATCGTTATTATAAATGGAACGCGTTATTTAGTGGTGTTGCATTGATAAATGACACTTAAAATTATACACTTGGAAACCATGTACATACCTGAATCAAAATGTATGTTTTTTTGGTTGTATGTTGGGATATTTCATATTTCAGAACACACTTCTACGTACGTCCTTTTCAATAAGTGATATTATTGTCATTTAGTGAGTGGGTGGCAGTGGTGTAATCAGCTTCAAAGTTTTGAGGGAGGTTTAACAAGTTAAAATAAACTTTGGTTTATTCAGGAGGCATTAGAGGAGTCGGAAGTTCGAACTTATTCCTCTAGCCTTTTCTAAATGCGATACAGTGTGAACGTAGTAATCGTTTTACAATTTTTTAATTTCTCAAAAAGGGCAAAAAAAAATTATTTTGATGGTTGATTTAACGATATGAAAACTAATTTCGGAAAAGGCAGTGGTGTATTCACAATTAAGCTAATTGTCTGTATATTTTGCCCGCTTAACCGGACCAAAAAATGTAAATTATGGTTTTTATTTAAGCAAAATAGTCTTAACTGGTTACAGTTTGTTTATCTACATTGTTAGTTATTTTGAAGTTCCATTTGGACAAAATGTATTTTGTATCCATTTTTAAAAATTCAATTACTGGGAAAAAGAAAGAATTAAAAAAATTAATAAAATTTAAGTTGCTATATTTTTTATAATAAAAATACAATAATTTACGTAATTTTAAATTGAAATGTTCTTTTTCTTGTGACATTTCGTCCAAAACTTCTATGACAGCAAGAAGAGTGCTCTATTTAAAAAATGGATTATTTATAATATATTAATAAAAATTAGGACTCTGGGATATATCACCCCAATCACCCCCTGTAAATACACCACTGGGTAAAGGTAACTATGCTTGTTCTTATATTTTACTATATATATCTTAACTCAGATCTTTATTTAGATAGGTACTTATTATTTCATTTAGTAAAATATATATTAATAATTGTTATATTTTATAAAGAATATGGCTGTCAACCAACCATCATACCCATAATGCAAAATTGCATACAAAAATAAGTAATAGGCCCAGGGTTGGCAAATAGTTTCGAAATATCGATATTTAAAAAAGTGACCGTTATATCGAAATTTAAATTATTTGGGGAACCTTAGCTATGACACTTGATAATAACAACAAAAATGTAAAATAATATAATATTATGTACGAAATACATTTTACGTATTAAGTTAATTGACTATATTTAAAGAGTATAGTAATTTTATATTTGGTCTATATACAGTTTTATTTCTGTGGTGCAAATTTGTCTTGTCTCTTACCCGTTATCATTACGTTTTTCCTCCACGCGTATGAACAATTTTCTCTTCTTGGAAATGTTAGTGCAGAGCGCCTGCGCATTTATCGTTGGCTCTAATCGACAAGCCTTTCCCGGCCTGCTGCTCCCTTGACAAATTTGTTATTATATTGTACCGATGTATTATTGAAGTTTTCAGTTTTAATGTTTCATTTACTATGGTTTTTGTGTCAAAATTTATACTTAATTCATACGTGATTGTATAAAATATCAAAAGTGATATGCTTCCGTATGTCTGTTGTGTTTGATTGCATATATTGTTAGTAAAACACTACAGGTAATTAAAAAAAAAAAGATAACTTAATCGCCGGCATAGAAGCCATCTTGTGGTAATAAATAATTTATTTGAAAAAAATTGTTGCAATTTTAAAATACAAATCTTACAGATTTAATATTAGTTTTTAAATTTGAATTATTAAATTTCAAACAATTTTATTCGATTTTTTTTACATTTCTTAACCAATCGAGGAAAATATAATTTAAATACGTTTTTGATAAGTATTTTTATTACCTATAGTCTCTCACGGTTATTTAAGTAATTTGAAAAACATCGGAGGAAAACTATTAAATATATATATTGTTTATTATATTTTATATATATTTTAAAAAGTTAAGTTTTCTTAATGTGTTAATATTTTCTAATATTTTTGTACAATATTCAATAATTTGCAGTCGACTATCAAAAATGGGTGTTGAAAAACTTTTGGAATATCTTGATAGTGGAAAAATAGAAGGCAGCTGCATAAATGTCAATCTTACACAATTGGGACATACAATTTCACAGCAACTTGCTAAAAAAGTGGTTATTCGTAAATCACATCTGAATATAAACCAAATGCAAGTATCAAAAGCTCAGTTTAGCTTACTTGTAGATGCAGAATGCTGCTTAGACCGTCTCTATGGAGGCTATTATTCAGGTAATTTTTAGAATAAAAGTAGTATAGTGCTTATAAAAGTATTAGAAACATATGTAATTTAGTTCTCAGTCACCTTTTTCAAATATTTTTTTTGGAATATGTGTTTTTAAACCACATTCTTTTGACATTACTTGTGTGTGCTTCATTGATGGATCTCTAAATTTATATGAATAATTTTCAAAATATGTTCATATCCCTTGCCTTTCAAACAATGAGTACTCTAAAAATAATTCCCTTACTTAAGAATACATCCGTTATCATCTCTATTAAATATTAATTATTACCTTCCAATAAACTAATTATTGTCATGCCCCATAAAATTCAATAGTTGATTACTTTTAATAAACATTTTTTCCTCATCGTGCTTCTCAACTATTATTAAAAAACACTATCTTGTTTCTTTTTTAATGTTACCAAAGAATTTAGGCTCTCCACACAGTGGTACATTTTACAATTAAATTGATTGATACTGCATATTTATAAATGATGAGCTATTTATAATTAAATAATTTTTTATTTAAAATATGGACACGCTTTTTTAAACATTTTTTTAAATTATGTTTTTGATATTTAAATAACATTAAACTAAACCTTAACTTTGTGAAGGAACTACCTGTCTGAACTACCTAACCCACCTGTCAGCTCCGGAAGCTGATTTGAGCCCCTGCTGGATTCTCATTAGGATGGGGGCTCATGCTCCCCAATCCTTTTAAGGTAGAAATTGCTTATCTAAAGGGAACAAAAAAGCTATCTTGGTAAGAGTGCATTGACTAGGTTAAATAAATAAATACAAAATAAATGTGTTTAATAACATTTTTTATTTTTATAATTATTTTCTTCAACTGTATTATGATGGCATCAAAAACCACTTCTTATGTATTGATGCTCAATTGACCGTGATATGCTAAGAAATTTTTGCATATTTTCACAAAACAGTTAAAGGACACATTTTTTACCTACACATATGATAATGTAACAATATTTAGATGAGACAAGTTGAAAAATTGTTTTTGCAAATAGATAAGTGTACATAAAAAAAAAAACTTTCTTTTTAACATGGATATGTTCGGTGTATGGATATATCGCTGGGGGTCATTCTAAAATTTGCATGTCATTTTGTGTCATAATTTCGCGTCTAGGCTCTCGGGGTTGATATTGTCAATTTCAAGATTGAGAGACTCAGTGATTCACTGTGTGCACACATGCGTTTTCAGTTGCTGTAGATGGAGCGCAGCAGGTGGCAGTAGTTATGTAGATGTAAGTTTTATAGCACAATATACGTATAGAATTCTCGTATCCAAATTAATAAATTGACAAAACTGTGACCGAGAGGGTAAAACTGAAGTGTATGGGCAAAACCTGACGACAAAACCTGATGGTTTTTATGTCTATCAAATCTTGATTTTAAACACGACGTATTTTATTGTATGATGAAAACCGTCATTTTTCATTGTAGTGTATGGTGCCCTTAAGGCTAAAAACATCCATGTTTCAATGTTTTTTTCTTGAAACAGAGAAATTAGCTAGGGTATTTACTGCTCTGCAACTCCAAGCATATCCCATGTATGATACATGTATCTATGTAGGATCTAATATTCTAACAAAATTTTAAACTTTAAAAATAATTATCCAAAACTGGTTTATCGACTATTCAAAATGTGTAGTAAATTATTCATTATAAATGTTACCATTTAAGTTTCAAAAGTTGACATTAAAATAATTAATTAAGAGTGAAATTGATAAAAAGTTAATGAAAAATTGAGATAACATTGTATAAAAAAAACTGAAAGATAAAAATTAAATTACTAATTAAAGCCCCTGGATACTGACGGTTTTTTTCAGCCAAAACACATTATTTTTTGTCCATCGCACAGGCCGAATCAGTGATCCGATAAGCAATCTAAAAACAGATATGAATTCGTCATAAAGTTTACTTGATATCGGTCAGAAAACTTTTTTCAATTTTTAATTTTAACCCATTCCAAATTTGATTTTAAAATTTGAAATTTTATAAAATGCTCAAACGTGATTTATGCGTAGTAGGAATAAGATAGCAAAAATGTATGCCAACCGATCTCAAGTAAACTACATGACAAATTCAAATCTGTTTTCAGATTATTTATCGGATCACTGGTTCAGCCTGTGCGAATGACAAAAAATGTACTATTATATTAACCAAAATGGCTTTTACTCATAGACAAAATTATTTAAATTAAAAATAATACCATGAAGCTTATATAAATTAACTGGTAAATTAATTAACATAGTCGAAATTTATTAAAACCACTTTTTTCTTAAATATTGCCTACACAAAACTCCTTTAAAATGGTCGGTATCCAGGGGCCTTAAACCCTATGAGATATAGCGTAGATCATTTTAAAAAACCATCCTGTATAAAGCAAAAATAACATAAATAGGGGCTTGGAACTAAACTTCATTTATGCCAAATATTTTTTTTTTTTTAAATTTATTTTGCTTTAAACCAAGAGTCTAGATAAGTTATAAGCTTATAATATATTCTACATCATAGATACAATATTCATGTAGTTTTAATGTTTTTTATGTCCTATGATTTTATAACAGATTGGGTGTGTGGAGGACAATGGAATCGAATGGTATCATTTTTGACAAATTTTGTAAATAGCTTGAGGCAGTCTAATGTTCATGTTGTTGTATTTTTTAATGGTGCTTATGAAGAAGAGCGTTTTAGTGAATGGACTCAAAAGCAAGAAGAAACCAGGAACAGAGTTAATGCTGTAATTATGTTGTTTTTAAATAATTAGTAATTCTTATTTACTGCTAACATAGATCATTAAATATATTTTTAGGTTTTAAGACATATTGCTGCTAAGGGTACGCCACCACCAAAAGTATGGTGGATACCTCCAGTATGTCTCAGAACGGCTGTTAAGCTTTATTTTCACCATTTGAAAATTCCAGTTGTTTGTTCAGTCAAGGATCACCACCTTGAGTTTATTACATATTGTCGTCAGTATAAGTTTCATGGGTTGATGGCCGACGACGCTGAATATTTAGCATTTGATCCACCCCGATTTTTTTCTGCTCATTCCCTTAAACTTACTAGACAACAAACATTAGAAGCCAAAGAGTATGTTGTATCTCGATTAATTGAAGATTTAAAATTGAGCAAAGATAAATTATGTGCTCTGCTATCTCTCTTGGGAAATTTTGTATTACCGCAACATGAACTTTTTGACTACTATAAACGTTGTGGAATAAACCAAATTATATCTAAGGTACAAAAAATAAATTGCCTATAAATAAATAAATAAATATTTTTTTAGTAAGTTTATTTATTCTGTAGGTTTCAGGAGAGGAAGTTGTAAAAAAAATTGTAGATTGTCTTCAAGATTTACCATCTATAAAAAACAATTTAGATGAAATTGCTGCTCATATACTTGGACATAAAGACGATAAACGTGTACCAAAGTTAAAGAAAAGTATGGAATATTATTTGGATGGTGCCAAAGAAACTTTAATCAAAAACAAGCCTAAAAGTCTAGAAAAGAACAAGATCTTGAAATCCAAAACAAATAATTATGAAACAGTTACTGACAAAGAGTTGAACAATTTAGGATCTGAAAATCTGAAAACGCAGGTAAAATATATGAAAAACTATAAATTTTCTTTTAAATATAATTAAACATAGGAAGGTTGTATAGCTGAAAAAGATGGGAGTGTAATTCACGGTCATCAGTTTGAATCCTGGCTACTGGGGGTTCGTTCCCTCTGGCAGGTGTCTGTCTATTTGGAGGGAGAAATGACCATCTGTTTTTAGGGTAAAGATTTAGGTCGGCAACCAGTTGTAAAAATCCCCAAAATTTATCAAACGTATATACCGTCTTAGCCCCTATTGGAGGGATTATATAGACGTAAAACGTGAAAAAAAATGATATATTATATAAATATTATTTAATTATATTAAAATTACTTAACACTAAATAAAATACTTTCTATTTTTATGTATAAAAAATTATTTTTTACCTGATAATAACATGCAGAGGGCTGAAGGGATATAGTGTTGTGCTGTGGTTACGTTACCTCAGGTGATTCTCGTCACTTAAGGTAACGCTGTGTACATCAATACTTGATTCCGGAAGTGTGAGCACCCAGGATTTTTAGCAGCGACCCGTACCATGCTACTTTCACCATGTTTCTACCTACAGACAATAGTGACTAATGTGAAAAACATTTAATTATATTTAAGTATATTGTGTTTTAGATGGAGAACTTGATGTTGTATGATGTTAACAATTCTGATTCTGGTTCAATTCCTCATTGCCTAAATAATCAAATGCCTATATCATCAAATAAATTAATTGATTTCCATATCCCTGAAGTAACTAGAGATGTACTGAATACAGCGTATGATAGACACACGTCAGGTTTAATGTCTACTTATCTATATCACATATTGACAAAAGTAAGTAAATAGCATGGAAATTTTTTATTTATAAAATATGCATTTTAATACTTTTTGTATATTTATTTATATTTTAGGCTGAAATAAAATTACCTGTTGTATTAGAAGATGAATTAAATCATGAAATACCGAATATTCACATATTTTATAGACAAGCTCGACAAATGGTTTATGGAATTTTGTTTAATCTCCATCATGCACATTATATAGCCAAATCTAACAATAATGTTCAAAAAGGTAATGTGTAAATAAAATGTTGTTAACATTACGTAATAGCGGATGTACCACATAATAACTATTTTTCAATATAATCCCAGGTATTTTATATTGATTTTTTAAAACCTGGCACAAGTTTTTCCAAACTTTTCTAGTAGAAGTGAGTGTCACTTTTTTTCTGTATCAGTGTTAAAAAAGTTGGATGGGATGAAGTTTGGGGAATATAGAGGGTAGAGTGTGCCCAAAAATCTATCATTTTCACTTTTCATGCCATTCACCGGTCAAAAAAGAAATGAAATGAGAAATTCATTCTTCAATTTTTTTAGTACCATAATTTTGAAAGTTATTAATTTTTCTTTAAGCATACAGTCAAGGATCTTGTTAGAGCCTTGAACATCTTTGATTTCTCTTGAAAATAATTTGAGTTACTGAAATAATTCTAAGTATGCTTTTTCTTCTTTTTGTGTACAATTTATTATTTAAAAAAACGCTCATTTTCTCTACAGCAAAAAACATTGAATCATGGATATGTTTTTGGTTATTTTCTTAATACTTGCCTAAATAAACGTTATATAATCAATGACTCGCAATCCACATTGTTAGTATTAATAAGAGATCCTTTTTAGTTTATAATTAGATTATTCTTAATCAAAGAATAACCTGTCAAAAAAATTTAAATTCTTAAAAATATTAAATTTAAGAAAAAAATTTAGATTCATGGCTCGGGATTGAACCCTGTACTGGTTGTGCTAAACACTTGGCTGATGCGTCTCATATAATGACACAAAAACGTGTTGCAAATTTCGATTGTGTATTCAGCTCAAAAACATATCCATATTAAAATATTCAACTACACTTTGAACATAAGAGCTAGTAGTATCAGGAGGGGAGGAGGGATTAATAAATTAGGGTAGTATATATTAAAGTGATGCCAGTTTTACAACAATGATGGTGTGAAGGGAGGGGATAAAAGCAGATGTGTCTGATGAATTTATAATGGTTAGCTAGGTATTGTTGAACATAGTAAATTAAGTATAATAATAAATGTAATAAATCATTTGAAACTTAAAAATACATAATAATAATATTTGTATCTATTACTAAAGTTAATTCTAGTTATTTTTCTAAATTTCTTTATTAATTTATTTTGATTATACTATTGCATATTATTTACACGCTCTTATTTGGTCCATTTTTATTAAATACATGATATTATGTTTTGTTTTCAGTTGATTTACCTGTGATTCAAGTGCGTGAATGGATTAGAGATAAAACTAATACTTACAAACGATACCATTTAGTAAAAGCGGAACCTTTGGGATGGGGTGTTCCTACTGTTCATCGTTTATGGTTTGGGTAATTCACTTTTTTTTAAATTAATATTTATACTATAAATTGCATTATTTGACTACATTGTATTAATTATGATAAATTTAAAAACATTTGTGATATCAGTGATGTTAAATACTACATACTAGTTAGTATCTACTACGTGACATAGTAACAACCCATGTTGCAAACGATTTTGAATAATAATGACAAATTAATTTTATTGTTGATATCTTAAAGTCAGTTAACTTTTAACTTCATTTTTCTTTTAAATTCAAATATACTATTTACAAGTGGATTTCTGTTATACTTAATAATTAATTACATTTTGCTAATAATTATATCTGTATGGAGAAGGTAAAAATTAATAATTATCTTTATTTATTACCTTCCTATTTGGGTGTATTTTTGTACTGTTTCGCTTGTGTGAAGACATGGCCAGAGGTTTGAGGGTTATCGCCCTCTAGGTCAGTTAGATTAGATGGCGAATTAGATGGGTCTTTCAAAATAACGAGATCTATTATTTCTAGTTACTTTAACCAGAATACCCATTTTTTATGTAAATAGTGGGCTTAATTGTATAATTACCCAGGCCGAAATTATATCCCAGTCTGCCACTATATTCATGCAATTAGCATTACCTTTATTGGTTTAAAAAATGGTTTATATAAAATAAGGACGAGGGGCTGAGTGGTTAAGTTGAAAGGGTTAGGGCTCGCTGTTGTGAGCTCGACATTCGGCTATGTGCAGTCTCTCTCTCTGATTAGGCGACTGTTTGAGGGAAGGAGGCTTTCTCTTCCAAAAATGGCAAAAACCTTAATGGATCAAAAAAAATACACCTAATAGACAGGCAAAAGTTACTCGAGAAATTTTTTTTCTTATATTTTCTTTAATTGTAGTAAAATTATTTAAACTTCCAGCAGGCACGCTGTTGTAAATACAACAGCTTTGTATTTATCAATTTTTTTTACATATATTGTTATCATTGTATATGCTTTGTGTGTATATATTGCTTTTAGCAATTTTGTTTTATTACAGCCTATAATTATATTAAGGTTTAAAGCCGGGTTCACACGACTCGTCTATTTGCCGAATATTCGGTATTCGTGTATATTCGCCATGTCGTGGGAACAGTGGATTCGTTTATTCGGTATTCGCCCTCTTCCTGCGGATTGTCGGTAAATGCGACACGAGTCAAAGGGATACCAAATGTACTCACTATACATTCGGCAAATAGACGAGTCATGGGAATGGTATATTCGTCTGCTTGCACAAATAGGCGAATAATCGGTATGCGCTATACATTCGGCGATTAGACGAGTCGTGTGAACCCGGCTTAAGGTATAGTAAATGCATTAATATTTGATACAAATTAATCGGATGTATGATTATCACTACTTATTAGTATTGTTGTAAATTATACAACACTCGACTACTCATATTATCACAAATAGCACGCCTGATAGAAAGTTAATTGACTTTGTTTTTTGTAGAACAACGCCCGAAGATAACATTCGACGTCTCAGAGCATTTTTAACTTGTATGCGTTCTGATACGCCACTTATGTATAATACAGATTATGTTCCCCAACACACATTAATAATTGCATCTGTATTAAGATATATAATGTCTTATACAGAAATACCAATGCTTCAAAAGTATGAACTTGATGCATTTATAATAACAGCTATTGCACCAGAGTTATCAAAAAATGAGAATACTCAGGAATTGCAAGTGAGTATTTGAATTTGTACAATATACAAGGTCTACAAGAGTTATAAATTGTTATATTACTTGATATTTGCTTAACCCATCAACGACGAAAATTCATTTTAATCAAATATATTCTCGACGTTGATGAGTTAAGTCTGTATACATATATATTAGACCGACCTGGTTTATTATCATAAAAAAATTCTGTATTAAAATACAGAATTTTTATTTTTAAATGAACTTTCACTGATAGATATTTTCTTCATAATATTCATTTTTTGAAGTTTTTCTCATCATCTTTCCAATGAGCTCACTTTGAATCATAGGCGCAATTTTAATTTTTAACTTGGGGGGCTGGAATTTTTTTTAAAATATATATAAAAGTAAATATATTTTTGTATTTCAAAATTGTATGCATAACCTAATTTTTTTGGGGGGCTAAGCCCACCCTAGCCCCCCCGTATTTGCGCCTATGCTTTGAATACTGCAGTTTCAAAACTAAAAGATAAATATGTACTTCACACATGTTAATCATATAGATCAGACAAAACAGCTTTGAGTCACCTCTACATAATAACTCTACTATATTTTCCAATCAAATTAAATTTTGTCATCTTCTTTCTTTGACCTTAAATTAAAGATTTTTCAGAAAAACAAAACAAATATAGTTTGAGTTAGTATAATATACTAACCTAAACCATTTTTGATATTTATATTTTTTTTGTAGGGTACTGTTAGTATAAGAGGTGTACAGCTAGCCACACTTCTTATGTGTGGTGTTGAAACTGCCATGCTAGTTAATGATGCATGTGGTGCTCCTGTCCCATGGCTAATGTCATGTCCATGGATGTATTTTGATGGAAGACTGTTTCAATATCATTTGGCTAGAGCATCAACTGCAAGTAAACTTGAAGATTTGTGTGAAAATCAGTTTTCCTTAACTATAAAAGTAGAAAAAATGCGTCAAGCTATATTAGAAAATCTTGGGGAGCGTTTTCAGTCAATTCCACCATATCAAGGAGCATTTTTGGGTATGCATTAGTTTATATACCTTAAGTTAAAATATATCATATTTAAAATATGTAGTTATATATATTTAAAAAAATATATATTTTCACATATCCAACAATAAAAAAATAATTAAATATTTTATAATATAATAACCACAGTTACTTAAGTTTTTTCTAGATCAAATAATATTTTTTTTTTTTTTTTAAGAAACCATTTTCAGTCAGAGAGGAGCCCTTCCTCCTCAGATAATAAATAATAATATTGCTCAAAGTTTGATGACATCATACTCACAACCTCCTAGGCAAAATCAATTAGTTAATCAAACTTCCAATCGTTTCCGAGATGTGCAAAGTATCAGACAAAGAGCTGTAATGAAACAATCGTCTGGTGGTCAATTAGAAGTTGCTGGTGCTGTCGTAGGAATTTGGGGTGCAAATTATAGCATGACTTCTTCTGGTAGTGCATACATGGGTCGAGGTGCCATGTTGCCTTCTCAACATGTAAAACTAATTAGTAACCTAATATTAATTTTTAATACTGGTAAACAATAGTTTATACATTTTTATTTAGATGATGCCACATGCAGGAAGACCAAGTTCTTTATATCAACGTGATATAGTATCTAGGCCAGTTTTTAGTACACGCACTTGTTCCAAAACAATTAGAGGCCGTGGATCTAGTCACAAAAGTCAGGTAATTACTTAGGTAAACCAAGCAGTTTTAAAACAAAATTTTGGTGGAATTTATTATCTTTGTAGAATATTGTAGTACATTATCTTGGTGCATATAGACTATGACATTTAATACATTTTTTTTTAAACTAAAAAAATTGTTTTATTATTGATTATTTATTTTTTGTTTTTATTTTATTTTTTAATTTATGTTATAACTTCTATGAAAAAAAAAATATCAACTAAAAAACAAACCGTGCATCAAGTGGTTAAGTGTTGGATAAAAAAAATTACTTCAAATAATTATGATAGGCTATGACTGTGATTGGTAATGATAAATTTCTTTAATTCTCTAATCAACAAGTCAACCTGACTAAATAATGTGGCTTATCTGTATCACTTATTTGCTATTAGTAACCAGTAAATAGAAACAAATAATAATAACAATAGCATTTAGGTAGTGTAGCCCTACTTATGAGTAGTCTTGTTAGTAGGAATGTTTGAACGAATAGCCGCGATATCAGAAAAGTAACAAATAAAAAATTCAGTAACATGTATGAAACGTGTACATTTTAGTTGGGTTTGGTCACTAGCGATCCTTGGAAACTAAAAATGTACGTTTTTTTTTATTAATGATTACATACAATTTATACCTACTCAATTAGCTTTAATTAGTGATGATATTTTTTACTTAATAATGAATGTTCTTTGTGTACATTTTTACATTTAAATAATTGATTTATTTTACATTTTATGTATAACAATTAATAATCTTTAATATTAATTAATTTCGGTCAGCTTAGTAATTCATATTTTATGTTGATTGGTTTAAACGTTGAAATAACATTTTTGTCTCTTATTATTCTTGAATCTCATGGATAAATTTGTCTTGTTAAATAGAGCTCAAAAAAGAAAATAATTCATCCTTTTATCAAGAGAGATAATAATGTGAAAAAGGTTACTTCAAAGGGTCGTGGAGTAACTACAGTTGCCCCAGATACAGGGTATGTGTTAATATATTTTAAATTATTTTATTTTTATTATAATATACAAATAATAAAAAATAAGGTAATATATTTTATTACTCAAATTGATATCAAAAAATGATAATTCTGATGATTTTGTAAGACATTTGGCATTTGCCATTTTGTCCCCAAGTATAAGTGTGACGTTTAAATGATAACAATGTATGTAATTAACACTATTTTAGAACAAGAACCTTATTATTGTTATCAATTTCTAATTTTATTAATATTAATTTTCGTATTTATTATATTATATTTTCTCACTGTAATAAGCCATTTGGCATTTATTTATAAAATATAATATTATAAATATTTATAAAATAAATCATCAGCATCAACTTAACAGGCCTTTAAGGCTCAACGCTGCCATCGTGAGATGACGAGTTTATAAAATAATTAAATAAACAAATTAAGTAACTATTCTATATTAATATTAAATAAATATAATATATGAAACATAATTTAAAATGTATTTATAGAATATGAATAAGTAAAAACTATAAAGTTGATTTATTCATATTTTGAATTTAATACAATTTAATTATGTTACAGGGAAACAATTTTAGCATCACAATTAATAAAAGAATCCAAATTGTCCATATTAAATAAAGATAATGAGGATATTAAGAATAATGGGTAAGTCAATTAGGTAATTTTTTTTATACCAGTATTATAATAGTGATTTAATATTGTAACTAAATTAAAAAATGTACATATTTTTTTGTTTTTGACAGCAGATTGATTAGGTTTAAATATCTCAAATAAATTCTGTATTTACTCTTAGTAAGCTATAGCATGCTATATTTTTAAGGGAAAGAAAACAATTTTGGCCTCATAAAGTAACTTTGGTCATTTACCATTTTTATCCTTATGACTTACAAATGCCAATGTGTTATATGTTTTTTTTTGTAGTGAATGAAAAAATCCTTAAATAGGTTTCAGAAAATTAGTATTGACAGTAAATATGATTATATTTATAATATAATTGTATATTACATAATTAGTGGCATACAATACTAGCAATCAAAAGAATATAATATATCATATTTATTTTAAAAAATATACCTTCTTGTAAATGGCAATTAGAGGCTTACAACTAATCTTAACAATTTTGGGCGAACTCTTTCTGGCGAGTTAATTATCCTTATCTTTTTTCCTCAATCTCTTCAAAATTTTAACTATAAATATTATTAAAATAAAAGGATTAAAAATACTCAAAAGAGGAAAAATACAAAATCCTAATGGTTTTTAGAGAAAATAATCATATCAACCATATCAATAATAATCATAATTAACCTTGTAAATATTTTGTCCTTTGTTTGGTTTTAAAAAAATTGTCCACTCTAAAAATCGGTCCCAAGTGAGTTTTGAAGGTATGCAAATTTGTTACATTTATTATTTTATATCTTAGCCTTCTAGTTTGAGGGAAAAATTGTTTTTTTCAAAATATTTTCATTTATTATATATATATATATATATATATATATATATATATATATATTCAGATTGAGAATAGTTGTAGCTACAGAATTTTTAAATTTAAGCATTTTAAAATGCTCATTTTCAATAAAATATCTAGTTAATAATAAAATGTTTAAAAATACTCATCACAAAAAAATTCACTTTCGAGCATATTTTGTAGTATCTGTCAAACTTTTTTTTTTTTATCAAAGAAATACCAACAAAAAAAAGAGGATGATTTTAGTAAATTTCTAAGTTGCTATGTTTGAGTGAATCGACAGTAAACAGGTCAGGGAATCAGAACAATATATCGTTCCAGATTATTCCATTCCAACCTTGGCGGAGCAATGTTTTGTTTTTCCTTAACAGAACAATATATTTTTAATATTACTCCGTTGTAGCCATATTTTTGAAATGTGTTGTTTCACTGTGGTTGAATCGAAGTAACCCAGAGCAATATAATGTTTATTAAGGTTAGAATAGAATAGTCTGTAATAGATATCTGTAAAATAGTTTCAATTAGGTTGTTAAGATTTACAGTAAACAACAGCAACACATTATTGTAGACAATCAACCCTAATCGTATCTGCCCTAACACTAATAATACAATTTTAAGCACATTATATTGCAATGCTTTTATTAATATTTGTATGTCTTCCATCTATAGAACAAATCTTTATTTGAAAGTGATTTTTAGTTCCTTGTAGACCAACCTCAAAATAATTTGTTTCTACTGTGCTCCAACCCCACTGTACTTGTTTATTTTATAATATGTTATTATTTTAGATTTTGTTTTTTAAATATGACACACTGCATGTTTAGGATATACATTAAATTACTTAGGTTTTAATATATGTATTTAATCCAAATACTTATGTTTATACAATTTTTCTTGTACAATAATACCATGTCTACACTTTTCAGTGCTGTATCATTTACAAATGGAAATTCTTTAGTAGAAGAACAGTTTGAAGATGCATCACCAATAGGTAACTTGAAATAAAATAATGTAAATTCAAATATTAAAATATCTCTCCTTTACATTCTTTACTACTCAACTACTTTCTTGTCTTTATTTCATTTACTATTCTCATTTATATTTCTGTCTATAATTTCTCATAGTCATTCTTACTGCTAAACTGCTTATTCAATTACTCATTTAATAATCTGTTCAGTTTAGGGTGGTGTTTTCAAAATGTAGATATGCATCAAACATCTAATTTGTTGTGTCTCTAACATAATTAAAACATTTAATATTTATGGACAGGTGTCTAAAAACAAATATTGTACAAAATAAATTAGGTATGCAGTATCAAGAACGTTAAGTTCCATATACATTTTTTGAATCTGAAAACACCCAGTTGTATACTTTAATTTTCAGTATGTAATCATTAATTGATGTACAATGTGAAATTGTGTCCCCTATTTTATTATAGTTTATTGTAATGTATTGCTATTTAATAGACAATTCACAGTCTTAATACATTTTTAAAATTTAAAAACTTACTCAAAAACTAAATTTAAAAAAATATATAATTTAATTCATTCAGTTCTAAATTTGTATTTAATTCTTCAGCAAATATTTTAACTTTTAATACATGCATGGTCGAATTATACAGGTTATTGCACATTGTCTTGAATTGTTATCTTCAGAAATAGAATCGCAGCGTAACGGGATATTAATTACTATATATTTTACCATGTACTTGATTTTGATTGACTGCCCGTTGCGCTGACATATTTGTTTTTATCCTAGAATATTTTATGTAGAAGGGGAATATGTGCAATAACCTTGTATATTCCAATCATGAATACATGTCTACAAGTTGTATCTAAAATCAGTATAATCAATTTTATGACTAGCATGATTGAAATGTACAAGGTTACTGCACATACGAGTATACCTCTTCTTCATAAAATATTCGATGATAAAAACGAAACTGTCAGCATAATGGACAGCCAATCGAAATCAAGTATATAAGTACATGGTAAAATAGTAGTATATAGTAAATAGTAATAGTAAAATTGATATCCCGTTATGCTGCCATTTTATTTCTGAAGTTTGAAACAATGTGTAATAACCTGTATATTTCAACCATGGACTATAGTAAGATTTTTTTGTGGAGATTGAAATTTTCGCGGTTTTGACTCAATTAGTTAAACATAAAAGGTGCTGCACTTAGCACTTTATTTCTGTAAATCTGTGAGAAGACTGCAATCTAAATCTCATAATGAAACAAATTCTGTCAATTCTGTTCATAATGTTTTTATGGCTGCTAAAGTAATTTCATATGTAAATTAAACATGTAGAATATTACTATTATATTTAAGAATAGTAAAATATTACAGAATATGTATACAACTATTATTGTAATAAAATAATTTATTCTTAGAAAATGGGATATCTAATTCTCCATCTGAAGATGTATCATCAACATTTATACAAAAACCGTCCATAATAGATAACTGATTTTTCACAGTAAAATAAATGATTTTTCAAAAAATCATTATACCAATTGCTCGTACATATGACTTTTGTAAGTACATGTTATTACTAAAGTTAATAATTAACTTATTATTACTACATCTATACATATATGTATGTATATAATTATTATTTTTGTAAATATATTTTTTTTTTTTATTGATAGACAGTGTTAAAAATTAGTCATTATTATTATTAATGTTTTTTTTTTTTTTTTTTAATGTAGTTTTTCTTTGTAAATTTGTTAAAAAACGTTTGTTATTTCTGAAGGCGACACATATTAACATATGTTATCCGATTTGTGAACATCTAAAGACTGATATTTAAAGTGTTGTTTCAAGCATACAATTATTTTGATATGCTTGTGCAGCTATGGTGATAATAATTAGATATTAACGTTATTATATTTTTAAATCAAATGAGGAAATAATATAAATCGTTATTCTTTATCTACTGTCCAAAAGTATTATTGTCATAATGATTAATGTAAATCATATTTTTGTAACTTAACTCCAGAGACTTATTGTAACAATATGACTTTTTAATTACATTTAATAAAAAAATTTACTGATCATAACCCGAGAACAGCTGTGCTATTAAACAATTTTAATCCATCTATAAAAGTAAGGGCCATATTAAACTATACACGTATAGTTAAAATGATTATGATTATTATACACAATCTATGCACACACCTTACATTGTTTACACATTTTGCCTCAATTGTGTAGGGTAATCGTGAACAAATATGTATTGTAATTCTATAACCTGTCACGTAGAAATACAAAGAAAACAAAAATTCAACAAAACAATTTTTTTTTTAACTTATTTTAAACAAAACATTGTGAAAGTTTTATAATGAAAATTAATTTTTAAATTATAAATGTCTTATTTATGAAAGAATGAAAGTAAAAATTAGTTATTAGTATAAATGTGTGCAATGTTCACGCGGTTTTATGTTTCTTATGTCATGTAAAGATATTGGCTTGTCTGTGAGTAATGAATTTCCTCTTTCAAACTAACTTTATACGTAACAAACCTTTTTTAGATTAATATTATTATTAGTAATTTTAAATTAACCAAAAACAATTAAATATATTTATTCAAACATTTAAATTAAAAAATATTTTGGCTATATAAACATATTTTTTTTAAATAGTTTGTTTTAGTACCAATAATTTTTGAACTGTTGTTTATTGTAACTAATCATTTTAGTATGATATAACATTTTGTTGCAGCTCTTCTCTTAAATGTATTATTTATTTTTTGACCATTGTTTACTTCCGTAACTATAAAAGTAATATAATGTATTTTTTTAAATATTCAATTTTTAACATATCTGAAGCTGACAAAATAACCATTTTAAAAAAATCAAAAAAAAAAAACTGTTGTAAAATTGTTTGATATTTTTCTTTTTTATTTGATACTTACTAAATGTGTTATTTTCCAAAACCATAAGACAAATATTATGTGTACTAGATCTGTCAATAGTTTAGTATTTTGTGGATGTGGAATATTTATAATTACATAGTTTTTTATTTAAAAATATTTACTTAATTGTATAGTTTTATGATTGATTAAAAGTTGTATGGAAAGAATTGCATTTACTGTTATTGATTATTTTCAAATATTTTGAAGTTGTTATAACAATTGCTTAATCATATCTATACTTTATAGATATTTTTGTTGTTACTAACTTAAGGTTTTTCAATTTTTAAGTACTTAAAAATTTGAAAAAAATTGTTCAAGGACATTATGAAAAAGAACACTTAATTAAAATTGTTTAGTGAAAGGTCCATTTCGATATCATAATTAGTCATTAAGTAATGTGATTGTGAATTAAGGTGTTTTCACAATAAAGTCCAAAATTTTTTTTTATAAATAATTTCTTCAATTTTCTGAGTTTATGGAACTATCTGCATAGGATATGTAAGTTTGAGGCATTTCAAAAATCCACTCACACACACATCAGGTGATTTGGCATGGACTGACCCATATACAGATATAATTAATGGTTCATGGAAATGATTTAAGTTATTTATCTCTATATTACTTTATCTGTTTTTTTTGTTGCAATATTTGATTATGGAGAAAACCATCACTTTTGAAGTTTTAGGATTATGTATTGTGTTTGTTAATTTTAGTGCAAAGGCTTATTTAACGTCATTGGCACTTGCAATTTTACATTAGTGAAAATTGAGTACTGGGATTAACAATGACAAAATTGATTCATTTTTCATGAAAAATCAAATCATCCCATACTAATTATATTTTAGTCTTCTGATTTATGCATAGAACATCATTTTGGATACTAAATAAGGACTTAAAGCAAATTTACACTACAACATATTATAGTACATATATATTTGCAAATTGCAGCAATGCGGTATCGTTAAACTACACTTTTAGGTCTACACTATTCTGACAAAGTTTGCATCGGCTGTAAACGGTAAATAGTAGAGGTGAAAAAAGGTCCGAATGTAATTTTATCATACATATTGTGTAAAAATTGTATATTTTATCTCAGTTAGGTAACAGGGCATAATTTAAGAAAATTTACTGGGGAACATATTCGGACGGCTTAATACTGACTACTAGTCCCAAAATATATTATCTACATCATTAATTTATTTTTGATATAAATGTCTTTTTGGCTAGGGGTCTATCAACTGTTTTTGAACAGCTTGTTCAAACGTACAAAATTCAAACCTCAGCAAAAATTAATATATTGTTATCTGGTTTGCACTAACTTATACCTCATACTTTATTGTTAAAAAAATATAAATAACATTTTATGCTACCACCCTATTCAAATTTAAATTAAATCTTGCACATTCAATTTTATAATTTTCTCACATTTTTATTTAAGTCTTTTATGTAACTTCATCATAACATGATTAATAAATGATTATTATTAAACATTTTTTGATTTTAAATAAATTTATCTTGACGTAATTTCAATACAATGTGTAATTTTATTTGCACATACAAGAATGAAGAAAATGTATAATCAATAATCATTATTTATTTCTACCTATATATAAAATATTATCTATAAACCTCGAGTGGTTGGTACGTCAACTGTAGATAAAATTACTATCTGATAATGGAAATGTGAAAAATAAATATTATGATTTTGATTTATCATTCTTGCCTCCTGGCTTACTGCTCACCATTTCTTTTAAGGTGGATAGAGCATTTCGATGTAAACTTTGACATTATATATCTGTATTCTGTATCTGTAAGGGTTCCGGCTCGCACATAGAAAAGAGAATAACGTGTACATTGTGTACTTAATGCTTGTCGGGATTTTCGACGAATCCGAACATAAACCCCGTAATTGCTCAAGTGTGTACCCACCTTAAGATGAATTGATTGTATTTTGTGTACTGTGTATCTAATCTTCTTGTCTTTGAATTGTGATTATTAGGTATGTTGAAAACCTTTTTTTCTTTTTACGGACTGATTGATCTGCTTGTAAGATAAATGGATTGTTATATTTGATATAAAGTTAATATAACATAATATAGTTTAATTTTGTATAGTGAATACCATATTACAAAATGTCTATCCATAATATATACATTTTTGATCGTATGGGTACATTATTGTACTATATGGACTGGAACCGACAAAAAAACTCGGGCATGAGCAAAGAGGAAGTAAGTCATTTTAAATGTTGTAATGAGTTTTTTGACGATTGATATTATTCTGCAGGAAGCTAAATTGATGTATGGCATGTTGTTTTCAATTAAGTCATTTGTAGCTAAAATATCACCTCATGATCCTAAACGGGGTTTTTTATGCTACAAAACGAATAAATATGCTTTGCATTATTATGAGTCCTTGACTGGAATTAAGTTTGTGTTAAACACAAATACATCGGTTAAAAATGTTCGAGATCTATTACAACAATTATACAAAGATGTAAGTAAAAAGTGTTTATATTATATTATGTATTATTTTATGTAAAACATTTTGTATTTATTGCAGATATATGTGGAATACGTTGTCAAAAATACTGAGTGTGAAATGGGACAGCCTATAGTGAGTGAACTTTTTAAAGTCAAGCTTGATCAGTTTATTAAACAACAAGTCAAAACACTTCAATAGTAGTTAAACATTGATAATACTGTATTATTTACAAATTACAATGATAAAATTAAAAAAAATATATATATCTATTTTAAGGGAATATTACTTTTTTAATCAATGGTCCCACTGTTGGGAAACTTAATCCCCTCTATTTTTCATAGTAAACAAACATTTAAAAAATTTTTTTTTATAAAATTAATAATATTTATATATTCAGTTTGATTTTGTACAAAGGTATGAGAAATTGTTTTTATTTGATTATTTATAATACTTAATACTAATAAACATTTTTGTTAAACATTTAATTTTATTGTATTGCATTTCAAACTACATCATTGAATCTATTAGTACTATTATCATTTAATATAATATATATATATATATATATATAAAAGTTAATGTTTGCTTTTAAGTTGCCATGACAATATTGAGGATTTATTTTACATCCTAATTACATTTATAATGGATATTACTGGCCAACTTATATAAAATGAGTTTATACTTTGAATTTAAAGTTAAGACTAATACGACTGATGTTATTACTGGTGTAAGTTACCATCAACAGCTCGGTTTATTGGCAATATTATCTTATTCTCATGATAATCAACCTCAACTTGTTATTTGTGATGAAGTTGTAAGTTTACTTCTAGGGAGCTAAATTTTAAAACTTCTTGTATTCAAATTGCAAATGCTTATTTTAGGGTGATGAACTGTACAGAAATTCTATACCTAGTGTACCGAAAAATTGTAAATCGACATTTAGCTGGCATCCTACACAACGTGCATTAGCGTTCGGTTCAGAAACAGGTGAAATATGTATATGGAATGGGGGATCAATAAGAGTTTTGAAGTCTTCTTTTAAAGGACCTTTAGTGTTTTTAAAATGGTCACCGTTTGGAGGTTGTTTAGTAACTGGCGACCATGTAAATAAACTATATTTTTTAAGTTAATAAGCCAACTAAAATTTAATTTTTAATTTGATAGAGCGGTGTAATAATAGGATGGAAATCTGATAGTCGAGGGCTGCTCCAACAGTCATTTCAATGTAATTTACAAACAGAGTTAATTGAAGAAATATCCTTTCGAGCTGGAAGAGCAGCTACTGACATTTCTGATTTAGCAAAAATGGCTGTAGCCGGTGATCAGAGTGCTTTAGATATTTTCAGTTCATGGCGCCCGCGTACTACATCACATGGACTACGCTCTGTTACTTCTGACAATATAACATTTTATTGTGCTTCAACAACAGGCAATTACAAATTTATAATTATATATAAAACAATTGTCTTGTATTATACTATGTATTACATTACAGTGTATTTTAATTTTAGGACACTTATTTTATTTTAATGAAGACTGTGAATTCAAGAATGTGTATACATCAAATTCACCTATTTCCAAAATATTGTGTCACGATTCAAAAGATATATGTATTTTAGCTTGTGAAGATTTGACCCTAGGTCATTATATATGTCACAAAGATGGGTCTTTGGTTGAACTTTCAAAAGTATTAACTTTTAATTTCTCAAAAAGCTAAAAAAATAGATGATGACTAAATTAGTTTTATATTTAGGTAAAACTAAACGGACTAAAAGCTGATTCCCTTATAATTTGGGTAGGCTTATCATTATTAGCTTGTACCACAAATGAATTATCTGTACGTTTTTGGGATACTCAATCGGGAAATAGTTATATTCTAAATGCTGCATCATCGTTCAATAACTCCACACTTCTAAAACAAACATTTGTAACTATAGTATACTTCAAAGAAAAAGGTACTTAACATTCTAGCAATATTTTGATTTGATTTCTAGAATACTAAATTAAATTATGATTAGGATTACTATGTGCTGCAACAAATCTTGGCAATATAATTGTTTGGCGTTTTAATGAAGAAGCTGAAAATAAATGGAATTTTCATGGATCGTGTAAAATTCAGGATAAAGTAATACACTGTGTATGGGGTCCATCAAATTTGGCTGTGCATACTATAAATAGTGTTTATGTATTACAAGAACATGCACTTTTAGCTCATTATAATTGTCAAGCTGTCATTATACAAACATCTGCGAACAACTTCATTGTATTTAATTATATTACAGATGATTCATTTAATTTTAGTAGTAACATTCAAGTTTTTGGTCTATCTCTTACCAACGAACATGTAACATTTTGGAATAGTAAATATATTGAAAAGATAAATTAATATTATGAAAATTATAAATTTAACTTAACAGATTTTTTTTTTTTTAATTTAATATTTAGGTAAATTGGTAGAAGTTTACAATATTAAATCAAAAGAATTACATGCATTAGTTGGAACTTTCAGTTGTGATGTTCAAGAAGTTTGCATTTATGATAGAATTCTGATTGTGGCAGAAAATAATGGAAAACTACAAATAAGAACATTTCAAGGTACTATCAAGCAGACATTAGACATTGATGCACCAATAGCATGTATTGGGTTGAACAACTCTTATTTATCAGTAATTACAATTTCTGGAGTTATTCACGTTTGGGACTTGGAACGAAGGTAATTATAATTGGTTTACCTTTAGATTTGGTGCGGAACTGGAAATGTATTGATTTAACAAATATTATGTTTTTTACTTTTGTGTCTGGACCCACAATATCACCTAAACTGCTCAACTGGTTTCTCCGTGTAACATCTCTATTTTCTATAGATCAGAAATTGTACCAAAAGGTACTTTATTGGGCCAAATATTTAAAAAAAACACCCTTTTTACTTTCAGCGCTAAGCAAAACATAAAAAGTTTACATCTTTTTTAACTTTAAATTAAGGCCTGCTATAACTTTTTAAAAAATAGTCTACTAAGCTTAAAATTTGAATATTGAAAAGAATATTTTTAGACAGTAATATTAATATATGTTAAAAAATTAAAAACTTTTTCCTGAGAAAGGATGGACATTTTTTTAATATTTCACCTTTTTTAGTGTAGTTTTGAAACTAATTGTCAGGAAAATGGACTGAAAGTAGGGCTATAACACATACAATTTTATCTTAGACTATAATACATTTCTAGGGTGCTATGTGAGTGAATTAACATTCAATAGGTATGAGTAAAATATTTTTCCTTATAATGTTGATTATGATATATAGGTAACAACAGCAACAAACTTAAATCGTGTTCACCCTAACACTTAAAATACAATTTTAAACACATTATTGCCTTTAAAGTTGTATTTACTAACTAGGGAAGTATAACTACAGGTTGTAACCAGGTATTTAATATTTGTACCATGTACAGATTCACATTGTTGTGTTTTATTTCATTCCCAGCTATAATAATTTTCTACAGTCCAGTGAATACACCGACCTCACTATGCTCTGACCCTACTTTACTGGCTTAAAAAAAAATGTATGTTTTAGGGAAGCAAAACCAATGTGCCAACCTAAAGACGTCATGTCATGTGTTGATAATTTTGGAGAAGCCATACAATTACGGTTAAATAATAATGGTACAAAAGTTTCATTTACAGCGGCCAATCAAAGTCTAATACCTATGTCACGATTATATGTTTGGGATCGTAGCTGTGATACGATATACATAGAACATTTTGAAAAAAGCTTTAATGTCAACAACAAGTGTGTTAAGTGACAATGGAAGTATACATTTTGTTTAAAGTTAAGAAATTTAAAATGATTTGGTTAATAGGAAATATGACGATACCAAATTTATTGTATCACATTATTGGGATTCTAATGAACCAAACTTATTATTTTGTGAAGCAAAAAGTATTAATAGAACCGAAAAGAAATCGATTAAACCCAACATGTATATTTCAACATTAAAACATACAAAAAATACATCTGCTAGTTCTTCAGTAAGTGATTTTTTAAAATTTTAAAAAATTAACTTTGATGATGTTAGTTTTATTTTTAATTAAATGGTTTAGATTATTTTAAGTATGTTTTATATTGAGCAAAAAGGTATTAAAATACAAGATATTATTAGATGTTCAGACCAGTTTTCAACACTAATTGGGCTTGATGCTCCTTATTATTTTATACTCACTAAAACTAATACAAATGCAGTAAATATACCAATCTATAAATTGATTATTTTGCTATTGTATTTTTTGCATTTATATATTTATATTTTTTTTAATATAAGAATATGAAAGTTGAACGTATATTAATGAAAGAATTTGAAGGCATTGAAAATTGTAACTCAGATATTCGAGCTGCTATTGTTAATTTTGGTTATAATTTATGTCTTGGAGATTTAGACCTTGCTTTTAATTTCATACGAAATGTTAAAAGGTAAATATTAAAAAAAATTATATATTTTTGATATTTTCAAATCTATTTTTTTATTTTATGTATATTTAGTGCTGCAGTATGGACAAGTCTGGCTAAAATGTGTGTGAAATCTAAACGTCTAGATGTAGCAGAAGTGTGTTTAGGTCATATGAAAGACTGTAGAGGTTTAGCTGTTCTGCGATCATCAACTAATGAAGAAGAGTTGGACTCTAGAGTAGCCAGTCTAGCTGTTCATTTAGGAATGCATGTAAATGTGTAATGATATTGTACACTATACCTAGTGTGACCACAATTTTGTATTATCTAATGACAGTTTAAAAAATATATTTATATTAAAATTACTTTAAGTTTTATACTATAGTAAAATTCAAAATTGTATACACTTTTAATTATTAGCTAATGGCCAATGTAGCCGAAATAAAAAAAAAAAAATTAAAAAGTACAATTCGATCATACTTGATACTTTACAATCTACATGAGACTATATACATAATAATGTAATATAAAACCACATACGTGAATTTCTACAATGTATCTAGAGGACTAATGACAAATCATTAACCATCATGAATTGCCTATCACATTTTATATTATGCCTTAATTATTATTCGATTTTTTATTTTAAAAAAAGCATAATTTTACATTTTTTTAAAAAAAGTTTAGCTTATTAAATATAAACGCAAAATCTATGAGCTCTCATGTTATTTATGGTTACACTATGGTTATCATAAGTATGTAGAAGTTATCAATTAAATACATTTTTAAGGATGAAGCTGAAGAATTGTATAAGAGCTGCAATCGTTACGATCTACTCAACAAATTTTATAGGTCTGGCAATCAAATAACGTCTGCTTTAAATGTTGCTGAAACAAAAGATCGTATACATCTTAGAAATACATATCATTGTGTTGGACGTCATTTGGAAAACAAAGGAGACATAATTAATGCAGCTATCATGTATTGTAAGGCTGAAACACAAAGCACTGATGTACCGAGAATGTTAAAAGATGATTCAGTTAGTTTAGAAAAATACATTCAAAAAAATAAAAATCCGTAATAATAATTTAAAGTAAAGTTTAAAGATTAGTTCTTGTGATTATTTACTTTTATTTTTAGTTTGCTATTGAAATGGTGGGCTCAATATTTAGAAGGTAATGGTGATATGGAAGGTGCAATAAAGTATTATAAACAAGCAGATGATAATTTATCCACTGTTCGTGTACTTTGCTATCTTGGTCATTTGGAAGATGCAGCTCAAATTTGCATGAATACTAGCGATAAAGCTGCTTGCTGCCATCTGGCTAGATCATATGAAGTCCAAGGATTGTATGAAGAAGCTGTAAAAATGTATATAGAAGCTACAGCATATGTAAATGCAGTACGACTATCTAAGGTATTCTAATTTATATATATTTATAATTTTTAATTGAATGTATGTATTATTTAAATGTAATAATTAATATAATTGTGACCTGACAACTTTAGTGTTGATGCTTGATAAAAATAAAAAAAATGTCATAATTATTTTAAAACGTATTAACAAAAATTTGGGATCGAGATAAATTAAAGTTAGATTATATCAACCTTAAGTCATAAAATTAATTTAAACTAAGTATTATATAATATTTAGACAAAATATAATACGTACAAAAGATGTATCGGGGAGTTGTCACCTCCAGTCAGGTGACCTCTGTTCAAGTTTAAAAAAAGTCCAGATTAAAAAATGATTCATAGTTTTATTAGTGAAGAATTTTTTTTAGCTTTGAAACATAGCTAAGAAGGTATTGTTTTTACAATGATTAAATAATGTGTTTTTGTTTTAAAATTTATTATTATAAATGAATTAATTAATATAATTTACTAAATAATAATTTATATTAATAAATTTGTCTCCTATTTTTTTAATTTAATGAAATATAAATATTATGATAACTACAACAGAATAAAAAATACCCATTTATTGACTGTGCATTTTTTGTTTTAGGAACAGTTTTTTGATAATCATTTATGGAACATTGCCTTATTGGCAAGTTCTAGAGAAAAATTGGATGTGGCACAATACTTTGAGCAAACAGCACCAGATAAAGCTGTTGTTTTGTATCATCAGGCTGGATATTTACATAAAGCAATCGATTTAGCTTTCAAGTATTTTTACTGATTTTAATTATTACAGTACACTTGAGATAACTTAAAGTTCAATGAATACTGATAATAAAAGCATAGTTTTTTTGAGAACTTTGAGGCAATAAAAAATATTGTAGTTTTTTTTAATTTTTTGAAAATAATAATAATGAGCTACTGATAGTTGACATACCTAGAGTTGACTATATTATTTTTATACACTTACAATTAGATAAATAATTAATTTATACATTGAATTTTAGATGTCATAACTATGATGCTGTATCAACAATATCTCAAGAACTAAATGTAGAAGATGATTCAGATTTGTTACTTAAGTGTTCAAATTACTTTATGGACCAAGGACATTATGATAATGCAGTTAATTTACTAGCTATGGCAAATAAAGTAAATATTGTAACATTTTGAGTTTTGATACTGAAGGTAGACAATTGGTGTGACTTATAACTATTTATTGACTGCTGTTCCTTTGAAAATAGTAATTTAGTAAGTCGTAAAGGGGGAGTCGCAAGGGTAGGGACTGTAATATAGTTTATTATTTGCACATTAAGGATGGCATAATGTACTTTATATGTCTTCAAAACCCTACTTCCTAAGTGGGATTATCGGTTACAAGTATCTGAATACAGAGGGCACACCATCTACGATATGCTCAACTGTGCCTCAGAAACGTTATCCAGGACATTTAGTGCGTAGCACTGATTCATTCATTATAGTATTTTTTAAACATACTAATTAGTAATTGACCCAATATTTTTGGTATTATAAACTATATTATATTATAAATCAATACATATATGGTTTACTACTTAAGTCTAAATTGCCTGATGTGTCACACCTTATTTTATTTCCGTGAATTAATTTTTACCTTGATATACTTTTTAATTTTTAGTATGAAGAAGCTGTGGAGCTTTGTAAAAAGCATAAAGTTATTATTACTGAATCACTAGGTGATCAACTTACACCGCCAGTCGATCATACTATACGTATACTAATTTTAGAAAAACTAGCTGAATGTGCTCTAATGCAGGCAAACTATCATATAGCTGCTAAAAAGTTTACGCAAGCAGGCAAAAAGGTTTTTATTACTTAAAAAAAAAAATTTGTATTTATATATTTTTTTTTAATTAAAATATTGAGTCAAGAAGTAATAAAATATACCACCGCCATCATGCCAAAAGTGACCAAGTGCAAAAACGAATTTAAACATGTTTTTGCCCTTGGTCACTTTTGGCATGATGGTGACGATATGGCCTAAGATATTTTACGAACAAAGGAAAAATTAAAGGAATGTGGTGGTGTAGAATAGGTAGAATTTAGAATATAATATGTAAAAGTATTAGCGGATATACTTGAAGGATTGTTAAACAGAATAAAAAAGGAGTATATAAGAGAAAGTCGGGTGAGGGAGCGGTGGTTATGCATCAATTGTAGGCAAAATGGTAGAAAGCAGATCGAGATTGATTGGAGAGGTAGGCTGACAAAGAAGTAGGTGGTAGTGCATATAAGTAAGCATATTTGGAGAGAAAAAAGAAATGGCAATGAATACAAATTTGTAAAATGAGCAAATTTGGCAGGCCGATCACATTGTTATGGAATAAGGCAAAAAAAGAAGAATTAAAATTATGAGTACATGAGGCTACCAGTCATAATATAATATTAATCTAGATATTGTTGTTTCAATTAGGTTAAAGCTATGAAGGCATTGCTGAAATCTGGAGACACAGAAAAAGTGATATTTTTTGCTAATGTGTCAAGACAACCTGAAACCTACATTATGGCTGCTAATTATTTGCAGTCTCTTGACTGGCAAGAACATCCTAATTTATTGAAAACTATTGTAACTTTTTATAATAAAGGAAAAGCACCTAACCTTTTAGCAAACTTTTATGTGGCTTGTGCTCAGGTATGATAATTAATATTATTTATTTTTTTTTTAATTAATAGGCTATTGAGGCTCAACACTACCTTCTCTGAAGTGTAGGTTTCTTATTAATATGCTTGGAAGGGTAGTAAGTCTATCACTAAGCAGTTGGTGATGACTCCTCTTTGCTGATTTCTTGTCCAGCAACAGAGCACCTAAGACCGAGTGTTGAACTGGCAACAGTGAGCTTCTATTACACATACTGTTGCTTTAATTAAGATACATTTTCTTATTTTGGTTTTTGACCTATCTCTGATATGCACTACACTCAAATTTAAAATTATATAAGCCTAATAAATATATTTACATTTTTAATATGTTGTAAATTGTATTTTTTACGAAATATCTTTTGTTTTACTTATTTTTGGAAACAGTAGAAACTTAATAACTATATAATTTATGTCTTAGTTAGAAGTTGATGAATACCGTAACTATAGTAAAGCTGTTGGAGCTTTGTCCGAAGCACTTAAAGTACTATCAAAAACCAGTGATCAACACAAATCATTGATTGAAAACATTGCAAAGAAAATTACATTGGTAAAAAAGTTACTTGATGTTAAAAGGTATGCGAATTATGATTAAAATTAATGTTTTTTACTTAATATGCAAATGTATTGATAATAGGCAAATTGATAGTGGAAATGGTGTCATGGCAATGACTATGTGTCGTCAAATTTTATCTATGCCCAGTTTAGACATCATACGATATGGGGATATTTACTCTATTATGATAGAGTATTATGCAGCACATGGTGATAATAAAATGGCAGTTCAGCTAGTTAATGAGTTGGCTCATTCACATCAAAGCGATAATCTTCTTTTTTATATTGACAAAGGTTTTTACAATAAACTTATTATTTTATATTTTAAAATAACCCATTATTTTTACTGTAATATGTCACATGAATTTGTGTATTCATGTAACAAATTTACGAATTCAACAAAAATTTGTATAACATATAACATTTTTTAAGTACAATACAAATTATAATTTTTTTTATTTGAATATTTTTAATGATGTAATATTAATATGTTTGTTGTTTTTTTAAGATATTTTATCTAAATTAGGATATGAAACTGAATGCATCAAAGAAAATAATCCAGATAACGAAGAAGAAATATTAGAAGCCTAAATCTTTTCTTAAAAATATAGTACAAAATGTTTGAACAATTTTGGTAAAAAACAATGATTTGAGGAAATATGGTTACTTAATATGAAAGATAACTTTTTTTGATTATTTTTTTTTTTTTTAATAATAAGCCCTACTGAATATTTTGACTGATAAGTAAAATTTATTAATTAATTTTCTCAAGTTTAGTTTATAGAAAGGATGTTATATGTGTGGATGTTTGATTGTGTTTTTATATTCAAATATTCATAATAAAAAATAAAAATAATACAGTTACACTAATAGACATTGTGAATTTGTAATTTATACATATCTTGTTTTTGATGTTCTAATTCATATCAACATTAGAATGATAAATTAATATTGTTAAATTCTCTAAAAATAATAACTTTTGGATTGCTGATGTAACAAACATTTTATGTAGAGTCAACAAGATATTGGTTTTACAATGATATGCATGTATATTTATATACATTTGATTGTGCTTCATTTGAATTACACTGGTTTAGAGTTTAGACTGTGATTGTTTTTATACTTGTTTTTTTTTTTTAATTACCTATAGTATTTTACAAAAAAAGTTACTGCTTGCAACTCGTAAAAGAATTGGACAGTATATTGTCGTCATTGTAAGGATGATTTTGTACTTACAATTTGCATGCTTCAATTTGTAACGAAAATAACGTAATATAATACCTATTGAAATTTTAAATGCCGTCATTTACGATAAGAAGTATATAAAATATCAAAAAAAATAATCAATGCCAATAAACAAATTGAACTGCTGAATACCTTTCAATTCAGGAGCTGTCAATTTAAATTGTTTTTGAAACATATACATTTTTAAGCAATAAATAATTTTTTATATTGTGTTATATATAATTTAAAATATATAAATTAAATTAATTGTAATCAAATATAACAGCTAAAATTCATAACGATAAGTATTTTATTATTTGACACATAATACACATTTTTCAGTAAAACGTTCATTTTGGTGCACGAAAAAATGACAAAAAAAGGTATGTTTTAACATTAATGAAAAAAAATGTTTTCACTAGAAACATACATAACGTTCAACAAAATAAACTATTAAAAATTAAAAAAAAAAATTGTTTTGGTTACTTTAAGCTTAATTGAAAATTGACCTTTTAATTACGAATTTTTGTTAATTACGTAATTAATTTTTAACTTAGGATTTTGAAACTCAAACAGTTGTACTCAACGCAAAAAATACTACAATTTAGATGTGCTAATGATGATTTTTGACCAAAAATGTTATAATTTAAGTAACTTTTTGGTTTTTTGAGAATTTTTGGTCAATTTACTTAAAACGCGTTTAGCGACTAATAACATTTTTTTTTTTTATCTCAAATTTTCACCAAGTCTCTTTTTTTATGTATAGAACAGTTTTAAATGTTGGCACATTAACATTTCGAAGATTGATTATTTTTCGCGCCACCCTACCCAACACGCTGCACTTGTACTCCAGTTACACTCCTACAGTTAGATCCTTTGATTAGAGTCGTATAATCCTTTTTTTTGTATTTTAATGCGTTGAAGTTTATATTATAATACATAGACTTTTTATCATTTTACCCTTTGAACTGGTAATCAAATTTCGGTCTAGAAAAAGCTGTTTTTTTTATATATATATTTATAGTGTATTTTATTTAACTATATAGTGTAACCAGAGCTCAAGATGAAGAATATTGTGACATTATTTACAGGAACAACGCGGGAATTAAGGATGAGTGCAGGATTAGGATTAGTCTTTAGAGATGTCACCGTTGGCTTCTTCCTCGTGCAGATGACAGAAAGTTACAGAATTGAGCTCCATTTTGAAGGCATGGGCCGAGAGTAAATTGTGACTTATTCTAAGTCGCGCTTGGAGGAATTGAATCACATTAATTAAAAAATGTATACAGATAAGATTATATAACAAATAGAAATAATATATGTAAGAACTTAGAAACAAAAAAATAACTAAAAACACTAACATTATAAAGAGATAGCAGGAATATTGGAATTTGAGTAGAAAATTTTTCCAACATTATAATATGAAGCTATACAAAGTGATCTACTTATCGTGAACCACTCAATATCTCACTGGGTTTAAATAATAATTGCATTTTTTTTTATATAATGTGTTTATACAATGTGATCTCAATTTGTCACATTTTGTTTTTACCCCTCTCCCAACTTTATAGCAACTTTTGAAACTTAAATGGTAACGCATACGTTTCATTAACTTTTTAAATTGAGAATACCTAATGTACTAAAAGTTTTGACTGGTCGATAAGGCGCATAAGCAGTTTTGTATAACTACTTTTGAAGTTTCAATTTCTGGGCAGGAGAAAAGGTGGAGTGTAGTATTATTTTTATCAGTGCGCATCTCCCAACCGCACTTCCCTCCCATCATAACTTTAAAAATAGTTAGGTATCCAAAATTGATTATTATCCAGTCAAAATGTTTAGTACATTATTCTTAATATAAAAAGTTAATGAAATATATGCGTAACTGTTTAAGTTTCAAAAGTTGCTATCAAAAAAACTATGTTGGAAGGGGTAAAAACAAAAAAAATGTGACACATTAAGATCACATTGTATAAATACATTATAGAAAAAAAATGTAATTATTAATTAGACCCAGTGAGATATTGAGTGGTTCAATACAAAATGTATTATATAATACAACCTCAGTATTTTTCTCAACTAAATTATAATCGTCGTTATCGTGGAAAATTCTTCTTGGCTAAAGGAAATAGGAAGGACGATTAAATCCAATGCCGTTACCCGTTACTTCGAATTACCTGAAAACACGTCTCAGTTGCATGCTAAATAATTATTAATTAATAACTATCTACTTCCGCCTTCCTATCTTAATAATCTTCCATAGTATAAATTGTATTGTTTATTTTGTAGCTTGTTTTCAAAATTCTCCCTTCTATCAGGTCTCTCAGATGTGCATTTAATTTAAAGCGTTATCACCTTAGGATATTTTTTTACTAAATTAACATGTATTGTGTAATTTGTTTCTTCGTGGAAACCAATAAGCTTTCGTTAAAAACGCTTTTCACTGATTTAAGTCCTACAATTGTATCATTAATTTAACACATACTAGGTAATTTCATTTACTTTTACTTTGACTTCATAACATAACATTTGTTTCTTATACAGTGTTTGTAGCAACTGTGTTGTCATATTCTAAGAGTTAATGTTTCTAAAAAGTTTTTAGAACAGATACCTATTGATTAGAACCTGGTTCTTTACTTAAGGAAATTAAACAAACATAAAATAATAATATCATGTGTACATAATTACATAAAAATGAAATCAATTTTATTTTATTATAGATATTGTAACTTTTGCAATAAAATTACATTTGCAAGTTTTGTTAATATAATGACATAAAAAGCTATATTTTAAGAATAATTTATATTAATATCTATTATTTTTAATACAATATTGAACATGTTTTAGTTGTATAAAAAACATTAACATTATTTATCATATAAAAATTGCATTATTACTGGTACCATTAATATCTAATAAAGATATTACTTACCCTAATCAAAATTTAGTAATGATGCATTATTAAATGGTTTAGTATAACAAATTAATAATAAGAATAAAGTATATGACCGTTGACTAGTCTTTTGTGGGATAGAATAGTATTGCATTATTACAAAATTCAATTGTAATCAAACCAGTTAATCCTACTGAAAACAGATAACCCTCTTTCCAATATCCCACATTGTTACCAATTTAATAATACACGGCTTACATATAACTAAAAATTAAATCAATATTAATATTTATGATATAAAAAGCATATTAATATTTGAAAATATATAAAAAAAAATTATTGCAATAAATTAGCATATACAACTGTTATCAGATTCTTGAGAGTCCTCTTGATTTGTCGCATGGTTCTGCAAGTCAACGACTATAATTTGTGTTAAGGACAAGACGTATTATTAGAAAATAATTAAAAATAAAAGGCGATAATAAGTTTTAAACTATAAAATATATTTACAATAATATTTACCACAATACTATTAATAAATTTTAATAATTGTGAAATAAATAAAAATAATTGTTGACAAAAAAAAAAAATATAGATTTGTAAACGTTCTGGGAATGTTGAGTGAAATAGTCATTTTTCCAATCCCTTTTTTATAATCTTATTTTGTTTTAATTAGGCTACTAATTTCTTATATGAATTTATCAAACTTAAAACCAAATATTAATACAGGTCTCTCTTTATTATGTACACAATACATAAATGTAGACCAAAAAAAAAGTATTACTACTTAGAAAAAAGTTAGTCTTTTTTTTTTTTTTTAACTTATTTTACATAAAAATTGGATGGATTGTAAAGTATTTCTTTTTCACTATTTTATTTTAACATGCACAACTCTTCTCTGGATTTGCTGCATCATTTGGTGTATCTTTAAGCACGACTTCTTGCACTGGAAAACAAGCAAGAGTTAAGGAAACAAACATGCCAGAAATTAAATAGGTACCAAATAATAATAAAACGGCAGAATTTTGAAAGTAAGTTATATCAATAAATCAATTTTAGAAACACCAATTAAAAGTCATTGTTAATTATAGCTTAATTCAATTCATGCAAATTACTAAAATTGATTATAGTATAAAAAGGATACTGTCTTCAGGGGGCCTATTTTCAGCTACATCCATACCAGGTAGTGCGGCTGCTACTCTTCTGAACAACTAAATAAAAGTAAAACATATTGAATGTGAAGAAGCATATAAAATGTGGTAATACTAACTTGTTTCACATTATAACCAGCTTTAGCGCTAGTCTCAATAAACATGACATTAAGTTCTTTGGCTTTTCGCTCTCCATCTTCAGCCAATACTTGTCTTTTATCGGTTAAATCAGTTTTGTTTCCAACCAACATAATAATTACATCACTTCCCCGTTCGGTTCGAACATCATCTATCCATTTTGATGTTTGATGAAAAGAATTAGCATCTAATAAATTCAAACATTTATGATTAAAGAAATTGTATTCATACTGATGACATAGTGCACAGATGTGTTTGGTGGATTTGTTAAATAAGTATAGGAAATTTTTTTAAAAATTCATATTTCTATATAACTACATGTAATTATTAAAGTTCTGTTTTTTGAGAAGCATATTTCGATTTTTTGCCCACATTTGTTTAAAAAATTAATAATCATTATTATTATTTTGCTCTTTAACATCAAAATTACATTATTTATATACAAAATGTAGTATTTATTGCTGTACATCACTGTCAAAATTATGCACTTATGGTATTATACCTATGCACTACTCTATAAAAAAATATACATTTTAGTCTTGTTATTTCTAAAAAAGGTTGGCTCTTATGCCGGGTCCACACAGAGCGAACAATATTAAAATAAAACAAAAACACAATGTTTTTTACAATTTCTAAATAATTTTGTTTTTTTCAACAAAATGTTCTGTTTTTAAAAAAACAAAACCGTGTCCCGTTCGTGGTGGGAAATTTTGTCGATGTTTTTGTTTTGTTTGTGAATTATGAACACTATAGTATATATATACTTGTAATATCATAAACAACAACTGCAACTGTTGAATCTCTTATATATGAAGGAATGAGACTTCGAAACCTTTCTTGTCCAGCAGTATCCCATAGCTGTAATCTTACCTAATTTCATAACAAATCATGAATTATTACTGTATAATTGTAGTAGTGTATATTGTAGTCATATACAATTACATAAAAAGCAATTTGATAATACATTTCAAAAACATAAAAAGCAAAAAAGCCAGCTTGGTGGGGTAAGGGTAGTAGGGATGAAACACAGAAGGTCGGTGTAGTCACAGGGCTGAGGGAATTATTACAGCAGAGTGATTGAATCACTTAAAAAATTGTGTCAATGCAAATGTAGATTGTAGAAATATTTAATATCAATAAGTCATTGAAAAGACAACCATGTATTTTAATTTGTATTTTTAGTGGGTGGTGGATCCAATTAAGTTTAAGGATTGCTTGTCTATGATGATTAGTTGCTGTTGTTAACCATATATCATAAACAGCAACATAAAAAAGTATTTTCAGATACCTGCTGACTAATGATTTATTCATACATAGCAACCGAGAAATTTAAATTAGTCTTAATGTAAATTTTTCGTTTTTATTGAGGAGGGGAAAGGTTTTATTAATAAAAAAAAAGTTTAACTACAAAAGTTTGAGAATGTTATAGCTAAAAACTATGCTCAATAAAATGAAATAAAGAAAAAGTTTCTACCTCCTCTATAGTAAACGGTTTCAACATCTTTTTTTTTTTGGATTGTCAAAAGTTAATTAATAGAACATTCAGTATACAGTATATCTAACGAACGTTCCATAAAAATTTGTAACCAATTTTACTATTTTAAAAAATGTTATAGCTATACTCTGCGCCACGAGAGAAGTAACCCATTTCGCGCATGCCGACTAACGGCAGTGACTGTTGTTACGAGGCCCCGTTTCCCCCACTTTGTGCCATTCAGTATCGTGCTGAGACGTGCATACAGCGCAAAACAAGCGATATACAGAGTGATTGTATATAGAATATATTATTTATTATATTTGTGAATGATTATATTATATTGTCATTTATAAATTATATATTTTATTATTTATTTATTATTTAAAAGTAAAAAAGGATCCTTTTTTACAGAATGGTATGACGCATTGTCCATGACAATTGATTTTTTTTAATGGGTGAACATATTTCTGAAGAATCATTGTTTTGTTCAGTAGATGTAGTAGGTTCATTGACTGATTCTTCGTAGGAAACGTTCATTTAAATTAAAAAACAAAAATAACGACAATAATGTAAAGTTTAACAGTAAAAGCAAGCGAGTGGTTCAAAGATGTAAAACGTTATGAGTCTAGTGACTTGTGGCACACTATATCGAGTATACGTTATGATACACCCTATATATGAAGCGCTGCCGTCACTGCCGACCGTGGGTGTGGTCTATCGGTGGGGAGACGGGTTACTTCTCTCGTGGCGCGGAGTATAGCTGTAATTTGAAGTTGAAAATGAGTTAATTTTTTTAGGGCGTTTTTTTAAGACTTTGAAGAGGAAGACCTGAACATTTTTAATATTTTGACTATAAAAATACCTTTAGGTCAAATTTCTGATCCATAGATTTGCTACATGAAAAAATCCGTGCATCGGTTTAGGAAGTGTTGGGTTCCCATTTATTTTTCAAGGAAACTTGTTTTACTAAACCTTCAAGGTTCACAGAGCAAATAGATTGTGACAAACAATTAAGATTTACTAGTTATTTTTTTGTTTATAGTGCAATGTAGAATGTTTCAAAGTGTGAAAACGTAGCTAGACAAAGGCAAATTAGTATTAGGTATGTAATAATTTGATTTGACATTGTTACCATAACTCTTCACTAAACATTTTTAAAAATATAGAACAACGGATTCAAACTAAAGTCAAAATAAATTAGGATCAACAAGTATTCTAATTTAATTTTTAAGTTCATAAGAAACTGCAAAATATAAAACCTATTAAGATGTACAACTTTAACTGTCAACTATAGATACCAAAAACACAATTGTATAGTTGATTTTTCTGCTCCAACGCAGCTGGGGGCCCTAATCGTTTGCGGCTTTGTGACCCTGGATGGTAGGCTTTATCATGCTTATAACTATCCAATAATATGGTAATGTAATTGTGGTGAAAAATGTATAAGTTACTATGTGTATCCTAATTCTTAAATCCAATATCAATCAAAATGCTTTGATGATTTATCTATAATTATTCTGTAATGTCAATTGGACTATTGACATCGAGTGAATTAGCTATTAGACATTGATTAATACTAAAACGTCAAATACAATATTATCCGCTATATACTAAACTGTCCTTTTACTGACAAGTGTCATAATTACAAAAATATTATACACATTAATATATAATATAGAGCCCAAAAAAAATTTCTTGCCTTCAGGACAGTGTGCTAATATAAAATGCTTTAAAAATAATATCAAGGTTAGAGTAAAAAATGCTAAGTACCTAATTGCTTAGTTATAAAATCACACAAAACACATTTATACTTACAGTTCTATCTTCAAGGTACATAGTTTTAGACAAAAAATCAATACCAATAGTAGCCTGCAATAATAGACACATAACTATTTAACATAAAATAACAAATTTATAGTTTAAATTTACCTGGTATGTGTTGTCAAAACTATCATACATGAACCTTGTAATGAGTGATGTTTTACCCACTAAAAATAATTAAATTTTAACAACGGTGAACAATTACATCCATACCATTTTAATAATTGAGTTAACATACCGCTTTGTTCTCCCAAAAACACCAATTTGAATTTTCTTAGAGGATTACCGAAGTCTCCAGAAGACGACATACTTTAAAGATAACTGTTAATCTTAATTTCTAGGTATAATATACAAATCTAGCACTAAACAGAACACGTCATGATCAATCTTACAATACCCGTCACCCACTATTATAAAAGAAAGGTACTTCAAAATGTTTAGCTGCAAATTTTGATATCATTAAAATATAAATACTACATAAAATAAAATTAAACTAAAATTAAAACTGATTGTAGTGCTACAGCCTATAATATTATTAAACGCCACGTTCGATTGTAATCACACATTTATATTGTAGCCATTTTGATTTGATTACCCACATAGGTACACGGCAGCAGCAGCTGATGACTACCAAGGTAAGTACAGTTGAGTCGGCTTTGGTCGACCAACGATTTCTCGAGTTATCACTTGCCGACATCTTATTATTTATACCTACTCTGTACTCGGTAATTTTTGACATTTTGAAGGGCAATTGCCAATTAAGTAAAAAGATACTAGATAGCATATTCAGTACTGTATATTAGAATAATTTTTTATGTACTGTAAGCTTAAGTAATTTGTTGAGAATTGTCTTATTTATTTCTGTTAGTTGTAGTTAAAAATTAATTAAATTGTCAAAATGCAAACTAATGTATTCTGTAGATTATCTGCGGGCATAAAGGTTTGTATTGTACTTTAAATATAAAATTAAAAATATGACTAACGGTCCTATACATTGTTCACTAGCCAACTGTGTTAAGAAAATACAACCGTATAGAAATTGGTGATGTATTCTCTGTTGTGAATCGCCGTTATTCTAGTGGTGATTCTGTGGATTTAGTTGTCATTGGTTCAGGACCTGGTGGCTATGTAGCTGCTATCAAAGCTGCCCAGTTAGGCCTAAATGTAAGTTTAATACACTTTAACAAGTAATATTGTCCAGTATTCATATTATTACTATTAATAATTATTATGTAATTGGTATTAGACTGTATGTGTTGAAAAAAACCCAACACTTGGTGGCACATGTTTAAATGTGGGGTGTATTCCTTCTAAAGCTCTACTAAATAACTCACATTACTATCACATGGCTCATTCTGGTCAACTAAACAGCCGAGGAATTGAAGGTATGATGAGTTAGTTTTATACAAAATAGCAGTTTTTAATTTATACTTCTCAAAATATTTTAATATTTACTTATTTATTAAAAAATGTCTTGTTTAGTTGAGAATGTCAAGCTAAATCTAGATGCATTAATGAAAACTAAAACTAATGCTGTTAGTGCTTTAACTGGTGGTATTGCACATTTATTCAAATCCAACAAAGTTACATTAGCAAAAGGGCATGGTAAAATAAAGGATCCAAACACAGTGTCGGTACTCAAAGAAGATGGTTCCTCAGAAGATATAAAAACTAAGAATATTCTTATAGCTACTGGATCCGAAGTAACACCATTTCCAGGAATTGAAGTAAGCCAGCTAAACATAATAACCCAGTTTTTTTTTGCATATGGCATTAATGTCCAAGAGTAGGCCCAAAAGCCTAGTTCGGACGTCTGCTTGGCAGAATGGGTAGTTTTCTGCCAAGTTGTTGATAGGGGGATGGCCAGGTTCAAACTGGCAATGGTGCACGCATTGAAACCGCCTTAGTCCACTTGGCCACTCGTCCCAAATAACCCATTTAGGTATAAATCTACTTTACCGGACACCTTTTTCGCATATTCGTAATCAGCGTGAAAAATACTATAGAATCAAAATAATAAGGGGTCTGCTAAAGTAGATTTGTTCCCCCATTTATTTGTTTCCATTGGTATATTTATTTTTATTTTTAGATAGATGAAGAAACTGTGGTTTCTTCTACAGGAGCCTTAAAACTTTCAAAAGTCCCAAATAAAATGATTGTTATTGGAGCAGGTGTCATTGGACTTGAGCTAGTATGTTTTATAAATGCAAACGTATACATTTTTTAAAATAAAATAACCTTAATTGGGTTATAGGGATCTGTATGGAGTCGTTTAGGTGCACAAGTAACCGCTATTGAGTTCATGCCTTCAATTGGTGGTATTGGAATCGATGGTGAAATATCTAAACAGTTTCAGAAAATATTGACTAAACAAGGTATTGCGTTCAAGTTGGGTACTAAAGTAATAAGTGCTAATAAATCTGGTGGAAACATTTTTGTGGATGTTGAAAATGCTAAAGATCCGTCGAAAAAAGAAACTGTAAGTTTTTATATATTAATAATTATTAACGTTCAATTAGCATGGTGTCTGAAAAATATTTTATCTAAAAAAGACTATTCAAGATACTGAACTCTATGGTCGGTTATAGGCAATTTTTCAAAGTTATAAGCTAAAATTAATGTGTATATAGTTATTTTTTTTTACAATGAAGATTTTTCATTGTTAATAATTTTTTTTAAAATAGATTATCACAGTGCAATAAAAAAGTTTTTAGTTATTTCTAAAACCAAACATAACTACACTATAATGTGTAACCTAATTTGCTTAGTCCATCATGACTTAAGTGTAAAAATATTCAGCATCAAAGTCTGGCAGTTGAAAGTTTGGCAGCTTTGATAAATTAAAATGTTTTTCTAATATTTTATGAACAAAAACCTTCTTTTTATTTATTATGAAATAGCTATAAATTATGTTACTAAGTACATATATAAAAATCTGCCAATGTACAGCCTTCAGAAGTATTACATTTTACAGGTTTGATAATTGGTATGTTTAATCTAAAATTACTCATCAGTATAAATCTGATCTGTGTGACAAAACTTTTAACATACAAATGTTACCCCTCCTAAAAATAACTACCCGTAAAATATTTTTATTCTATAATCTAGTAATACAAACATCAAAGAGATTCTGAATACGGAACTCGAAAAATTTAAGTTACTGTTGTATTCGTCAATAATATAGAAAACGTGTAATATATATATAAGTTAAAAGCAAATTAAAATGTTTTTTTTCTTTGTTGATTTGTCTATAACGTTGGTCTTAATTTTGTAGTTGGATTGTGATGTGCTGTTAGTTAGTGTAGGACGACGACCTTATACCGAAAATTTAGGACTTGAAGAAAATAGCATTGAAAGAGATGCTAAGGGTAGAATACCTGTGAACTCTCGGTTCCAAACTGTTATACCAAAGTATGTATTTCTAAAACTAAATTTTCATGTTAAAACAAGAAAAATGTTATTCATATTTTTGTTATTGTTTTTAGTGTTTTCGCTATTGGTGATTGTATTCATGGTCCCATGTTGGCACATAAAGCAGAGGATGAAGGTATAGTTTGTGTTGAAGGTATTACTGGTGCTCCTGTACATATTGACTACAATTGTGTGCCATCTGTAATCTATACTCACCCAGAAGTAGCATGGGTTGGAAAATCTGAAGAAGATTTAAAAAATGAAGTAAAATATTTGATTACAAATTAATTAAAAAATTATTAAAACTTGAATAGGGTATTATATTTACTCTGTAATTTTAACCATTTAAAATGTCTAGGGTGTCGACTACAAAATAGGAAAATTTCCATTTGCTGCAAATAGTAGAGCAAAAACTAATAATGAAACTGATGGTTTTATAAAAGTAGTTGCTGACAAAGCTACAGACAAATTATTAGGATGTCACTTAATCGGACCTGTAAATTTAAAAACAATATTAAAATATCTTATAAATTTTAATAATTAAATTACTCTTTATTTTTAGGGTGTTGGGGAGATAGTAAATGAAGTTGTATTGGCTATGGAATATGGTGCATCATGTGAAGATATAGCTAGAGTGTGTCATGCACATCCGGTATGAACAAATATGTTATATATTTTTAATTTAAAAGTTAAATTAACTAAAAGATAAGCTAACAAATCATTATTTCAATTTTTTTATGTAACAGACTTGTTCAGAAGCATTGCGTGAAGCCAATTTAGCAGCATATTTTGGAAAAGCCATAAACTTTAGTTAATTAATCCTCTTTTAAAAATTTTCAAATTATACATATGTGACCTTTAACTTGCAAATGGAATGGCAACTTATTGCTTTAGTTACTCTTTTTTTTTTTTTTAGTTTTTACTTAAATTTTGTACTCTGAAAGTTGCTTCTATTAAAAATTATGTCATTTTCTTAATGTAAAATAATAATTATTAAGAATTTTTACCTCTCTTTGTCTATCACTTAAGCATAATAAAGTTAATATTTGTTTTGAAGGTTGTTAATAAGATTGTAAAATCTGATACTGTCATAGCTTCTAGATAATTGTGTTATGTAGTTTAAACTGCTGAATTACATTTTCTTGTATTCCAGATGGAAATTGTAACAAGCTTATTTCTCAAAAATTATCCTTTAAATATTTTAAACTCTGTTGTAAATACAACAGATATTAAAAATTTAATAATTATTAATTTCTGACTTAGTTTTAATTACACCATATAACACGATTAAGAGGTCTTAGAATTTGTTTAGTAAATAGTTATTTTACAACTTGCCTTTAAAGTTAAAAACACTTCTGTGACTGCAAACATTTTTGTACTTGTGAATTAAATAATTAGCATATAGTCTATTCTAAAAGAAAATATACTTGTGCAGAAACTAAAATGTATTACTTCTAGTTGTGCTCATGTATTATAGTTGAAATTAAAACCAGCACAGTATACACAGCCCACAGGCGTAGCTGATAGTAACAATTGTACTATGGAACTTAGAGCTTTATTATCCATTTTAATTATTAATTTACTTAACATTTTAAATTGCACTGCTGTATTTGTAATCATATTATATTTATGTAATAAAGTGACAAACCAGGAAAAAAATGAAATTGTTACAACTATAAATAAATATGTGGCTGTACATAAGGCTTCTTACGAGCAGTTAATTATTTAGATGGACTGTTAAAACTAAAATGGGTTGTGTATAAGATCCCATCTAGTAGTTATTTGAGTATTTAAATAATTCAATAGAAACAAATTTTAACAATAATTATAAATACAACTTATTCATATTGGAGCTAAAAAAAATGTAGCATGGAGTTACACAAGTTTATTTGGTAAACAGTAAAAGACAAATTATAAAAATATTTTAATTTTAAAAACTTAAACTAATATTATATTTGAGTTGGTTTTTTATTTTACTCATTATTCCTCTTCTAAAACGTTATGAAACTTTTCAAACATCAACTAACACCACAAGGTAAAAATCATATTTTAAGCTTTTTGTTTAAGATTAGTGCTAGTTGCGAGGTGAAGTCTGAAACATAAAAACCCGTCTAGGGCTAAGACATGGGCTATAGATGCTACAGACATATTTTCAAAACAAATCAAAAACTATTTAAGAAAAATTCGTGAAAAGTAGACAGTTAAAGCATTAACCATATATTTGTATGAAATGTGAAAAGGGTCACATCCTAAATCGTAATGGCAGATGGTTTACCATAGACCTATAAAGAAATAGACTGATAGTAGAGAGAGAGGTCCGAATATCGACATCGTTAAAAAGAGACAGAGAGAGTTGTTAGGTTAGTCATGGAAGAAATAATATTATCACGGAGAAATAGTAATATGATAATACCCGATAACGAAATTTGGTTACACCTCAAAGAGCCACTCGACAAACAACCACCGAAAATCGACACGGAGCCACTCCAAGGGGTACCAACATATACAATAATTATAAAAAATGCACGATTATTATTCGTGTATGTTGTGCGGCTAGTATTGTTTATTTAAAGGGGAAAACTTGTACATTTCATAATTAATGCAATAAGGCTTGGACTATTTTGAATTCACTGTGTGACCTGTCTCCTGTTTTGAGTTTTTTTATATAAGTTATAATCAAATCAGTTTTTATTATTGAAATTTATATAAAAAAAAAAACTTAAAGTATATGAAACAATATTTACAATATTATATTATAGTGATAATTTACCAACAATAAATTGTCTCTTGAGTTTGTAAAAAAAAATGTTTTTCAAAACATACTTACACGTTTTATAATAAGTAAAACAGAATGTTCATTGATAAAATTTCAATGAAATTATACATATTTTTTTAAATTATTTAATACCGATGTATTATACCTATCTATTTAAAACAATACATCGTGAATACCTCATACGAAACTATTCGATACCCGACAATAAAATTAAACACATTTACTTAAATACTTTACAACTTCCAATAACACAATAATAAATTATAGTTAAATATTATTTAATTCTGTATTATATATTTTCATATCAGTGTATTAGTTATCATGTTATCATGTTATACATGACAAAATAGATAGGTATGATGTCAAAATACGAGTTTATGAATCGAATGCGCAGAAATGGCGATAGCTTTTCTCCGCCTGTGATTGGCTATAAATTATATCTTATCAGGAAATTATATGCCCGCCAAAACTTTAGTTTGTAAATGATGTATATAATAAATAGAACTAAAGTAGAGAATAATTAACTATTAAGACTGTATAAAGGGTATATTTATTTTGTTTATTTAAATATAATTTAAAATGCCTCTTTGTGTTTTTGATGGATGTTTAAGTGGCAGTAGGCACAAAGGTCTCAACAAAAATCCACACATCCATCTTCACAAATTTCCTAAAAATGAGGAATTAAAAAAAAAAATGGGACTTGCAAATTCAAAGTAATAAACCTATTAAGTGTAGATAAAGGTAACAGATATTAAATATTTAGTTTTTCTCGAGATAAAAGGAGTTGGTGTTGTTGTAGCTGTGGTATGTTCATTACATTTCAATGCTAATGACATTGTTGAGAAAACTTTAGTACACAAATTAGCAGGCTATTCACCTCAAAAATCAAGGAGAGCCAAATTCAATACTATTGAGGTATGATATTAGTAAGATACTCAGGCACCGGTCCAAGTCTAAGTGTTCATAAAAAGGTGTAGGTCGCACATTGGACAAATATGAGTCGTACATTGGACCGGTGCCGATAATCATTTTACTATAACTACAATTTAGGTTATGTAATTTGTTTTAATAGAGAAGTATGGTACTTAAATTACATTTTGTATCATTTTTTTTTTTTTAATAATAATAGTTTTAGTCAAGACGGATTAGCTAATAGTACAACACCATATTTTATATGAAATTTCCTTATCTATATCATTCTTTTCAATTAGTACTAACCCTAAGTATTTAAACTGCTTGGCTCTGCTGAAAACATAGTTTTTTATACAATTAAATATATAATAAATATGTATTCATGTATATATTTTAAATCCATAGACAGGTTAAATGATGCAAAAAAGACTTCTTTCAATTACTTGTAAAAGCCTTTTCCTGCAACCAACATAGTTTAGTTTATCCTTATTCTAAGGAAAGGAATACAGTAGGTAGTTCTCTCTTGCTTTTTGCATTACAGTTGATGAGCCAGTATGTTTTGCGAGATGTACAAGCTGCTGTAGTAGTAGTTACTGTGTCTTACTGCTACGTCCCTTTAAGCGCCTTTAATTAGCAGGAGTTACTGTATATCTATTCTTAACCCCAACCCACAGGGGTTAGATTGTGAAAAGATCTATAAAATGTATATATTGTTATAATCTCATTCCTTGGTTTTTATACATTGGAGCATTAACTACACAATGTGTGATATTAAAGACATAACTCTATAAGAAATGTTTTGTCTATTAGGAAAAATCATTGGAATAACTATTAGATTTATAATTTTAATTAAAAATAAATTATTTTAACATAATGTCATCTCACGGAACACATGTAAGTGATAGCATGAATATTGATTACTACCGCCTGATAACGTTTGGAGCAAGATGGCCGATACTGCGTATCACGACAGTTGACATCATACCTATCTATTTTGTCATGATGTTATATATATGCCGAAAATAATAATTCCGAAAAAATTTAGAACCGAAACATATATTAACCGAAAATATAATAGCCGAAAAATATTTAAGTCGAAAATAATATTTACGAAAAATATTTAGGTCGAAAATAATGTCATCGAACGTATTTTAGCTGACACTTATTATTTGAACAGAACCTTATAAGTTATAAATTATAATAGTATACATAAACACTGTTACGCGCGTCGTGTGACCGCGTTGTGTCTACTGTCTACACTATTTTTATAACATCTGTGATAAGTTCCATTTGTTATTGAAATATACAGCTATTTTTTATTTTGTGGTTGATATTTTTTTTCATATACACTACCAATGCTTAATTGTTAGTATTTGTTTATACTTAGCTACACAATAGTAAATTCAAACAGGGACAACCTATGGTAGACTGGCGCCTTGCCGATGCCGAATAAAATGTTTATATATTATTAAGCCGGCAGTAGTTTTTTGGGGTCTTAAATAACCGGTACTGTTATTACTTAAATTTTAGTACTAACAATTTTTTCAGGTAATTGATACAGTTCATTGAAAAATATTATAATTCCTGGAGGTGTGATTTTCATAACATCAGGGACATGTGTATTCTTAAAAGTGAACAAAATTGCTGCGTTTACTCCTGGAATCCGTCTGCATTTATACTATGTGAAATTACTCCTATTCTCGGCACGTGCAATAGGAGTTTTTATACCAACTGGCCACGAGTCTTCCGTGCAGCGATTTAGATAAGGTGGCACAATAATATCAGGTGGACATTTTCTGTCCTCCAACGCATGTCGCATTGTTGATTGTTGCAGCCTAACCGATTAACTCCACTTTTTTCAAATTGCGAATAATAGTATGGTTGGATTAAAAAAGTGTATAATTTTCAGTGGCCAAGATAAATAACTCCATAGTTGAATTTTTCACCGCTACAGTGCGCTAAGTATACATTGGCAATTGTACTTGGCGCACTAAGTACATACATTGTTTCAAATAACTTTAACTGCCTATCCTGAAAATGTTCATTTTATGGAGTTCATCAGTTTGGCTCCTGAGCGCATCATTTGACAATTTGTTTATAATTATTTCTATTAAATTACTGATTTGAATATTTTCAAACACATTTTGGGCACTTTATAGTTGGAAGTTGGATGCTAGCTTATGCGTTTTTTTTCAGTACAGAAAAATTATTATTATTAATCCGAAATTCGACAAAAGACTGAGATTCCACTGTTAAAACTCAACCAATCAATTTACTTAAATAAAAAACGGTATAACACTGATTATCAGAAAATTAAAACATACATATTTCTTGAAAATTACTTAGCTTTAGTAATAATAGCGTTAAA